TTCTATTTAGTAAATAAATGAGAGATAGAAAACAATGCTCTGCAATTAACACTGTTCTCTCAGTTGTTTATAATATTTAAATAGCAAAGTATGAAGATCTGGTCTCAACTGCAGTTTTTATTGATATAAAAGATATATTTGATCATGTTTCAAAGTCAAAGTTAATTCAGACTTTGAAGATGTTAAAACTGTCATTTTCTCTAATAAAATGAGTTAACTGTTTTATATCTAAAAGAATTATACAACTATTCTTTGATGAAATGAAATAAGACAAGACTGAGATAAAAATAGAAGTACTGTAAGAATCTTTAATCTCACTCATTTTATTTGCAATATACACTGCATATCTATTTAAGAATAGAGACATGAAAATAGTGAGATCTTCAAGTTATATGAATGATATTGATCCAGTCTACAGTTCAAAAACAATCAAAGAGAATTTAGAAGTGATTAAAAAAGCAGCAAAGAAAATCTTTGTTAGAGTAGATATTAATCAAATTCAATTTAATATAAATAAAACTGAGTTAATTCATTTCTTTTCTAGATTCAATGAGAAAAAACTATGTCTAACTCTTTTAAATAAAGAGATTAAACTCAGTTTGAATGTCAAATGATTAGAAGTATGATTAAACTCTAAGTTAAATTTTAAATATTATATTCAATAAAGAACTATCAAGACAGAAAGACTATTGAATAGTATAATCAGACTATTAAATACAGAGAGAGATCTATTCTTCCAGACTATGAGATAGTTATATATAGTCTGTATTAGACTGGCCGCTGGGACCATGAATTTCATGTTTGATTCCATTTGGTCTGGTCCCATACATTTCTTGGCGTGAATCCCGCTGGGACTAGTCATTAAAAAAACATGCAAAGTGACTATATATAAGATCTTAAAATGGAACCATGACTTGAAAAAAATGAGAAAGTGATTCCATTTGGTTCCATTTAGTCCCATTCTTGGCATAAAGTTACTATTTTTAGACATTTTAAGGTTTTTTTTAGACTATTTTTAATTTTTTAAAAAGTAACACTTTTTGGTAACACTCAAATGAGATTTAAAGTCATTTAAAGCAATAAAAATAATTTAAATTGAGAAGTGAAAATCATGGTCTCATTTGGAAAATGTGACAAGAGTAGACAGTAAGTCTCACTGAGACAGTATGGGACTACTATCTAATGTTAAAACCGTGTAATGGGATCGGTCGAATTGATAATGAGACTATCAAAAAATCTGGTCCTGGTCTCAGACATGGTCACACGGTCAGTCTAGTCTGTATTATCTCAGTAGCTGATTATGAAGTTCAAGTTTGATGAAATAATCAAGGAAATTTCACTGAACTCTTTCAAAGTCTGTAAAACAGAGCTTTGAGAAGAATTCTGAGAGCATTCAAATCATCTTCTATTAAAGCAATGAAAATTGAAGCTTCAATTTCTTCTTCTACTATTAGATTTGAAAAGGCCTGTATGAACTATGCTCTGAGAGTTATAAAGATAAGCTGAAATTATATAATCAGAGAAAGAGTCTCTTCTTCATTTTTATTAATTAACTCAGGAAATAAACTGGATTGAAATAGATTTCTTAATTGAAATGAAAATAATTCTTCAAAGAAAATGCTCTCTCAACTATACAGACTATACTCACTGATTAAAAATCAATTTTCTTCATTAAATGTTGAAAAAGTTGATCATGAGAAGATATCTCTCTGAAGAGAAAAGCTTGAATCTCTCATAGACTTGCAAATAAATGAACTATCTAAAGAGAGAGAATATAAACAGTATTTGAAGAGAATCTCTACAATTAATATAAAAGACTCTATTCTGATTTACTCAGATGACTTAAAAAATGAGAATTTAAATAGATTAGACACAGGCATTGCTTATACTGAAGATAATATCAATTTTATCTCAGATTTCTGAAATTTAGGCTGTGAATCTGAAGTCTTTGATGCTGAACTATTTACAATAGTGAAAGCTTTTAAACTCATTGAAATAAAATCTTATAAAAGAGAAAATAGTTTGACAGAGATATGAATATTCTCTGATAGTCAAGCTGCTTTAAAAAGACTTAGAAATAGTCAGATTCATAATGATCAAATGAATCTTGAACTGATTTTCAACTCTGTTTTAAAAATTTAAAAGAGAAGAATATCAAAACTGATAATTCATCTGCACTGAGTTTCTGCTTATATAAATATTCATGATAATGAATTGACTGATTTAGCTGTAAAAAAGAGTTCAGAATTAAGCAGATCTATTCAAAAAATAGTGTTCTGATCTTTTATAAAGAGAAAGATAAAAGAATCTTGTTTAGACAAGTGAAATGAAAGCTGACAGAAACAAAAGAAGAGTATATATTATTCAAGATTTAAAATAAAACTCAAGTGAAAATCTTGTTCAATTAAATGTAAAAAGAAAATATTCTCATCTATAATTCAGCTGAAACTAGAATATGATTATTTCAAATCTTATATACAAAGATTTGATGATAGATTTGATTCAATAGAATACTTATTCTGCAATGTAAATGAAAATTCTGAGTATATTATAATACACTGTGCATTATACAATAGTCTCAGAGTCAGATTGAAAGAGAAGTATAATCTAAATTAATTAAATATGAGATTCTTATTCTCAACTGAGACAGAAATCAAATACTTAATAGACTTTCTATCAGAAACTCAAGCAGCTATAAGAAAATGACTAAATTCAGAAATATCTGAATATGAAGAGAAGGAAATTGATCAGATATAGTCTGTTAAAATAGCTATATACTATCTTTTAATAATTTGTTTTATTATAGTCTCTCTTTACTTTACTTTTTCTTTTCTATTCTTTTCTGTTCACTTATTTAATGTGTCTATCTTTAAGACTTTATTCTCTTTTTCTTTGTCATGATATTTTCAAATGGTTTCAAAGTATCAGAAGATGTTAAAATACTGTAATTTGTAAAGAGTTTTTATATTCTGAGCTGAAATTTTCTGATTTTACATATCTGAAATTGGCAAATGTATAATAGTTAACTCTATAGATATTAGAAAAACCCTGAGAACTTTTAATTCTCAGATAGATATCATAGTCTATGACTGCATACATCTATAATTGAAGAATAATAATAATAATAAAGTAATGCTTTTTGATAATACTCAGTCTCTGATATCATTAAAATAGAGTCTCTTCATGAGATTTGTTTTTATCAGAAGTTGAGAAATCTTATATTTCTCAACATCATCTTCACACATCTTATTCATGAAATCAATGAGAGAAATCATTGATTTCAGTATTCTGTTCTTGATATTATTCAAGTAGCAGCAGAGTTCACTCTGATCACACTTTTTAAGTGTATATTTTCTGATTATTTACATTTATACAGATATATACTGATTATTTATTAAATGATATTAAGACAATAACTTATCATGACTATGTTACTCTCACTGTGAGAAATATATAGTTAATGATAAACATTGTAAAGACTCTGAGAAGTGCGTGTTTTAGAGATGCTGCAGCTCTGTAATTCTGATTTTTTTTGTTTTTTTTTTTCTTTTTCTTTTTCTTTTTTTTTTCTTTTTTCTGTTGTGATTTTTTCTCATTTTTATTTTGTTTTTTGTTTTTATTTTTATTTTTTTTATTTTTTATTTTTTTCAGAATTAAAATAATATAAATTACAATTTATGTTCAGAAAAGTAATGATATTTGATAATACTCTCTATTGAATTTTCAATAAATGAGCACTATGTGTAGAATATTATGTAAGTGAGAAATGATTTCATAATCTCATTTAATACCATTCTTCAGAATAGAATCAGAATGAAAATATAACTAAGAATTTAAATATATTCTTTATCTGAGACTAAATTTTTATTTGAAAAGTGAATCTGAGATCTTTAATATTTAAAATAAAGTGATTTGAGATTAATGTAATGAATACAAATCATGATCAGAAGTAATGCTTTTAGATAACATAATAACTGTAAAGTTTGATTCTGGTCTCAGACACAGTCACACAGTCAGTTTAAATACTCATTCTATAATATAAATGAAAATTCTGAGTATATTATAATACACTGTACATTATACAATAGTCTCAGAGTTAGATTGAAAGAGAAGTATAATCTAAATTAATTAAATATGAGATTCTTATTCTCAACTAAGATAGAAATTAAATACTTAATAGACTTTCTATCAGAAACTCAAGTAGCTATAAGAAAATGACTGAATTCAGAAATATCTGAATATGAAGAGAAGAAAATTGATCAGATATAGTCTGTTAAAACAGCTATATACTATCTTTTAATAATATTATTTTATTATAGTCTCTCTTTACTTTACTTTTTCTTTTCTATTCTTTTCTATCTACTTATTTAATATCTATCTTTAAGACTTTGTTCTCTTTTTCTTTATCATGATATTTTCAAATGATTTCAAAGTATCAGAAGGTGTTAAAATACTGTAATTTATAAAGAGTTTTTGTATTCTGAGCTGAAATTTTCTTATTTTACATATCTGAAATTGATAAATGTATAATAGTTAACTCTATAGATATTACTAATTAGAAAAACTCTGAGAACTAAAAGTTCTCAGATAGATATTATAGTCTCTGACTGCATACATCTATAATTAAAGAATAATAATATTATTATTATTATAGAGTTCTGTTATTTCAATTACTAACTAAGCAGATACACTTAAAATATGTAAAGTAAATATAAAAGAATTCTTCTATCTGTAGTGAACACATTCAATGTTTACACAGGTGTTTTTAAACCAAAGTAAAAAAAATAAACAATAAAAATAATGTAATTCTTTGTAAAAATGTGCTATTCAGGCTATAACCTGTGGGATGGTTAATCTGTTGTATTTGTGTGGGAAGAGCTAGCTATTATATATATTACATATGAGATCACGTGTAGGCGGAGCGGTCGCTATGGCAACGCGACTAGGGCGGACGCTACATATAGTTTCACCCTAGGAGCATCCTTTCTCGGAGCAAATCAAAACACGGATAATTTCACTTGAAAGTCTTGTTGGCGGAAGATGACGAGTAACTTAATTTTTAAATCACTAACCACGGTTTACTACATTTCTATGGTTATATAGTAATTAATTTTACTTTTCTTGCGCAGAAACCCATAATGAATGCGATGATAATATTAGTTGTAATCGTTGCGTGCATAATTTTACAAATGTGATATTATCATTCTTCCGAATACAGAACCACGCAAACAGCGCAGTGTTTCCTCTAGTTTATAGATGGCCGGTCATGAGAGGCCAGTACATGCTAAATTGAGCAAGCTTGTTTGAAGTCTCTAAGACTGTATCCCAACCTTCAGCACAGGTCGAGGACCGTGGTTCGCGGCCTCCTAGATTTGGGTCGAGTCAACGCCAAATGGATTTCTCTTAGAAATGAGAAAAGCGCCTGACACTTACTACTAGCATCAAGCGTCCAGCTCCTAATAAATTAACCCAATTTTTTTTCTTTTTTGGTGGCTTGACGAGCTGGTACGGAGGGGATTTATCATGTATGCGTGCACAGGTTGTTTATCCTCACCTGTGCATGGAGGGCTTTCAACAGGTTTGTCTCGCGCATTAAAGAATACACTAATCCAGAGTTTTCAAAACAATCTTAAGGAGTCCCTACACTGATTCCGCTTTAAGAGAGAGTACTTCTTAGCTCTTGTGGATGTTGATGAGCTTAGAGCACTTGGCTTGAATCCACCTGGCAACTCTTGCACAGAGTGAAGTTGATTAACAAGAACGGGCTGTCACTAGATGTCACGGCACACAGGAAGTTTAAAGGCTCTTCTTAAACGGGTGCAAGGATTCGTTATATCAAATGTGTGTGTAATCATTCTTGATTTGTATCATATTTACTCCTAAAAGCTTCGCACGAGGGCCTCCTGTTTACCCTCCGGGATGACAATTATCGGCTATGAAAACATCCACGATGGCATACCGGCGGTGTTACGACTTACAAGTGAGACAGGGAATACAAGAAGCCGGGGACAACAAAAGTGAATTGAACGTAACGAAGTCCGGGGGCATGCCACGAGTCTACTTGTTCCCCGTCCAAATGATCGATAACCAAAGTGTCAATAATTGAGTCTAGCCTGCGGAGTTAAGAGGTCTGTTAAAGTAGCAGAGTGGACATAGAGCTTCGATTTCGCTAGAACGCATTGCAGTGTCGTCAGGTTGCGAAGATAACCTCCAGCTAAAATATGACATATGGGGAAGATACGGAATTGAGGTCATTGGTTGATTGGCGCTGCATCTTATATATATATGCGCCCAGGAATATCTCTTGTCTGGAAAACATGAGCATGCTTCCGGACACTTGCGCCAGTACTCTCTCCGCAGAAATGTACGTCACGAGCATGTTATATTACATTGCACTAGTCTCAATCATGTTTCAAGCACACTTAAGAGGTAAATGAGGAAAGGGCGTCAACGATCTTTGCTCTGCTCCACAGCTTTGGCCGCATAGAGCTGTCGCGTTTGGTATATGTCATTTTCAACGAAGTGATAGCATTTGCGCAGGTCAGGTAATGGGCTTGCGACATTATCTAGATGAGATGGCTGACATCCATTTCTGTTCATCACTCCTATATACAGCCGAAGATATAATCGTTAGTAACCGTCCTGCACAAATACATCAGAGAAGATATAGGGTAGTGAAAAAGACATACGTATCGAAATGCAGCAACATCCCCAATACTGGAATGAGCTGCTTCTGATAATTTTTATCCTTCTGCTCCAGAAACTGTAGCAATACATTCTTCAAATACACATAGTCAACTCCACCCACGCCGGGACCCTTGGGGGTCGGACTCCTATCCTGAGGATGCGGCGAAACGCCCTTGCCACCGCGGGGTTGCTGCATCCCAGAATCCAGCGACGGCCGCGGCGATCGACCAGAACTAGTATTATTCGAATCGAATGCACGCCGCTTGCTAGCTTGAAACGCTTTTACATCCTCTGTGAGCGCCTTGTTGGACTTACGTAGTTTTTCTAGGCGTTGGTTCGTTTCCTCGACGGAGCGGCGAAGTTCGGTCTTCTCCTTCTCCAATTCCCGTATCTGCCTCTCGCTCTCGTCGAGGACGTCACGTAGCTGCGTCATCGCCGCCTGCATGTCGGCAAGATCCTGTTTCGATCGCTCTGTTTCGGCTTCTAGTTCCTCCCGTCGCCGTTTCCAATCCCTCTGCTCATGTTCTAGTTCTTCTTTGTCCAGTTCCGCTCGCCGTAAAGTGCGCTCCATATCGCGTGCCTTCGTCTTCAGCTCTTCGACCTCTCTCGCTCGTTTGCGTCCGACAAGGCTAGCCTCATCTTCCGCCCGATCACGCTCTTCAATGGCGGCTTCTAGTCGATCTTTGAATTCGCGGACCTTGGCATCTGTCTTCATCTCGACGTCTGCTAGCAGCCGTCGCATTGTTTCGCCCTCTCGGGTGCGCTCTGAGAGCAGACGGTGAGCATCAGCAACTTCCTCCTCGAGGCTGTCACAGCGTTCGCGGGCTTCTTTAACCTGCATTGCCATCTCAGATGTTTGATCGCGCATGCTATTCATGAGGCTTTGCGCGCTGGCATGCTGCGCGGTTTTCAATTGGATTTCATCTCGTAAGCTTTCGATGTCTCTATTCAGCTGTTTCACGTGCTCCTCTACCTCTGCCAATCTCGTTTGTGATAATCTTAGCTCTTCCTGTGTGTTCGAGAGGCTTTTCGTTGTCTTCTCGTTCGTCTCTAGAGCCTCCTGCTTTTTACTTTCAGAGTAGCGTAGATCAGATTGCGCAACTTCCAACGCTTGCTCTGCCTTGACGCGGCTGGTCATTTCCTGCGTGACATTTTGATTCAGGGCTTTGATTTCTGCTTCTTGTTCCCCAATCCTACCTCTTAAACTCTTCATTTCAGATCGAACGTCTTCGTGTCGTCTCTCCAAGCGCTTCAGGTCATTGGTTTTGTTCTTCAGTTCCTCCTTTGACGTTTTAAGTTCGGCTGATTCAGCGCGGAGATTCCTCAATTCCGGCTGAACTTTCTGAAGTGTTTCTCTCAGGTCAGTTAAATCTTTAAACCGCGATGCAGCGAGTTGTTGAGCAGCGGAAAGGTCTGTTTGCAGTGCTGTGGCTTTTATCTTCAGCTCTTCAAATTCGGCGGCTAGGTCTTTGTGCGCGTCCTCAGCTTGACAAGAGCTTGATGCTGCGCTTGATCGTAGATCAATTAACTCCTTTTCTAGTTCCTGGATAGTCTTCTCAAGAGCCCTCTTCTCCGTCAGAAGTTCCTTGACCTTATCCTTTGCCTCGACACAGCTTTGTCCAATGTCACGTAGGTCATCACGTAAAGAATCAATCTCTTCCCGTAAATTGTCTTCACCCTTAAGCTTGGAATCTAATCGGCTTATGGCGGTTTCCTTCTCTACTAGTTGTGTTGTCAGCTGTGCTATTCTCTTCTCAAGTTCAGCAACAAGATTTGTAGTTTCGGGGGAAACGAATGATCCCGTAGTTGGAGTGACCGCAGATTCAGGGACTTCATCTGCTCCGCCCTTTCCACCCTTCTTCTTCTTCTTGCTCCTCTTTTTACCACTGCCTGCAGCAGGGGCATTTTGAGCAACAACACTAGCTTGATCATTGATCGTGACTAGACTCTTCCGGAGTTCGTCGAAATCGGCAGCTTGTCCGTCTGATATACGTTTCTTAGCAATCTGCCATGTTTGGTTATCCCTGAATCCGTTGTCGATGAAATCAATGATCCTTTGAGTATCTTTCGCCTTAGCGTCTTTAGAAGAAACCTCGGCCTTCAAAGATGATATAGTAAACTCGGCATCTTTCAGCTGCGCTTTCAAGGTTGCAACGAGGCTGTGTAGTATACTCAGCCGTTTTTCGCCAGAAGCATTTTGCTGTTCTGTCGCGGCTACGTTGGTATTGTGGTCATCTTTCTCGTCGCTTGCCTGGCTCAATTCCTTCGATTTTTCATCCAACTGGGTCTTCAAATTTTCCATTGCAGCACTTGATTTCTCCACATCCGCCTCAGCCACAGAAAGTTTAACCTTGAGATTAGAAATCTGCTCTTCCAACACTTTCCGCTGACTCTCCAGGTTCCACTCGAATCGATCCTTTGCCTCTCTCAGTGTAGTCAGTTCCCGGGTAGCCGATTCCAAACTCTGTGCCATGCCCTCCGTCGATTCACGCGCAACGGACAAATCCCCTTTAAGTGTTTTCACCTCCGATTTCAGCACCTCAACCTCCTGTTGTCTCTTTTCCAGTTCCGATTCTAAACGGGGTATCTCGTTATCAAAGGAGAAGAACTCTTCGTTCTCTTCCACGGGAGGAGGTGATGTGACAGCCTTCGCTCTTGGCGAAAATAACGATATTCCAGGAATAGATGCGATCGAAAGGGTTGGGGATTTCTGTGAACTTTCCAAGGAACTGCCTTCTGCGGACGCAGATGGCGTCTCGATCGTGGGCGCAGTCTTTCTGTTTACTCCTTCGCCGTGCGTAGAACCTTTTCCATCGGAAGAAAAGCTCCGCTTCCTCAAGTTAGCCACCTCTTCCTGAGCATCACGAGCTGATTTCTCAGCTTCAGTGAACTTTTTCTTATACTCATCCCTCTCAGTGGTGACCCTCTTTAGCTCCTCCAATACCATATCACCCTTCAGGTTGACCTGATTCAGGTACTCTGTCAAAGCGCGGGGGTCACTTATGGAGGTTAATGGAGTATTCTCGCGTAGGCATGCTTCGAACGGTTCGATAGACACTACGCGGGCCTGCGCAATTCGGTAGGCCTTCAATAATTCTATGAATAACAATAAACGTATGAGTTTAGTCCAAGCCAGAATAAACAGGAGCAATCTACACCGACCTTGATATCTCCCTTCTATCTTGTCGAGCCTCCGTAATCTCACCCTCACTGCAGTCGGAAGCTCCATCTGTGCAGGTTCCTCCGGTGTGGCGTCCTGGGATCGTGTGGAGTCTATTTCCCTTTCCTTCGTCCTCCCCTGACCCCCTTCCTGGTCTGCTGCAGTCCCAGCATTTCCGTCTCTCCCAGCTTCGGGCATTTGAATAGGAGTGCTGGTTCTGGTTGATGAATCATCGTCTCCTACAACGAAATCCACATCGAATTCAGCAGGATCCGGTGTTTTCGTGGAAACGCTGTTCTCTCGCTTTAGCCTTGTAGCGCGAGACGCTGCACGGGTATGCGATTGGCGTATGTGCGAGTTGGATCGGGAAATGGAACTGGACTCTTGCGCTGCTTTCTGGCGGGCTTGCTCCTCTGCTATGCGAGAATCTATGGCGCCCTTGATCCGCTATTTTGTCGAACGTGGTCAGAACCGAGCGCCTATCTGTCTGGGGTTTTCTGGGGGTTATGGATTGTCGTATGAGGCTTACCTGGAACATTGCCGCTGTAAACTGCGGGTTTATCAATCAGCGGACGGAGCGAGATGTGTTGTGCTTTATGCTCTATATAATATTCAATTATTAGAAACCTTAGAGACACGGATGAAGACCTGAATTCAGCTGTGTTACAACCTACGGCTGAGTAAGCCCAGTTGGATAGCGTTGGCTCGCGCTGTTCTTGGCAGCCACCGTTAGTCTTAAGCCTTTGCGGAGTCAGGGGCAGAATTTAATTATTTTTGCCAATTGACACGACATATCATGCTGAGTGGAGAAAGGGGAGAGGGGAAAAAAATTCATTCGTAGGCTCGATTTCGAGAAAGCTGTACAATACATGAAATAACGACAAAAAATAATCATCTATGGTAACATGAATTAAAAAACATAAATCACCAAAGTCCTCAGCATGACAGGTTGCCCAAGCCATCCAGAGGCGCAGACTTGTCCCACAAGCAGAACAAGAAATACGATGTGCTACATGGAGTGTTTAAGTGTGCAGTGGATGATGGAAAATATAAAAATATAAGGAAAAGCAGAGAAAGAAAAAGGAGAAGTTAGGGCACTTATAAACATGGCCTGTCAAAGAGAGGCCAGATGCTCCAACCGAGAGGATTCACCCCAAGCAGATAACCATCGTCAGACTGCGATAACCGGTATTCCCCAAAAAATCAACCCTGAACCTCTGCCAAAACAGGGGGAATGTTAATATCAAACTCCTCCTGGTCATGCGCCAGCCTCCCCATCAGGCATTTTGTCCGATTCAGCAACTCCTGTTCCGGCCTTGTCTTATGTCCCCGAATATTTGCTCCGTCGTGGGTGCGCAAGTGTTCCATGAACGTATCCACATTCCCAAATATAGGCGCCGGTCCCCGCTGCTCGGAACAGCAGTAGATGCATCCATAGCTACATGTTGACCCGTCAGTGGTCGGTGGCACTTTCTTGCAGTACGCGTGAGATTTAGCAAGGAATGCCCAGCGGTAGCGGATACCTGTTCCCTGATGCACTTGGACGCGCTGGTCAAATGAGCGGGATGGTTGGTCCAGGGGTGTTGTGCGCGAGAAACTGGGTGTGTGCATGCTTGTGGAAGGGGGGTTTTCGGAGGAGAGGTTCATGGGGCCTTCAAAGTTACACTCCTTACAGCGCCAGAAGAGGACTTGCGAGAACATCCCTGCCGGCCGTTGGGCGACGCGCATGGCCTTTCTTGTACCGGTTTGCATTTTCCAGGCACCTTTACAGAACCCCGCGTATTTGTTCTCTTCGCTGGGTAGGTACAGGGTCCCTGTGTCGTTTTCCGAGATGGACGCGCTTGCACCGGAAGACCCTGACATCGACGGCGGTCGTCGTCTCAACGTCGGCAAGAAGTTGGCTCTCGAGCTTGATATGGAAAGCGTGAGAGTCATATCTTCTGGTGTTGATGCTGAATGACGGTGTTTGAACCCCCAGATATTCGATAGCGCGGCGGATGGTAGCGTCGTGGGTTGGGTTTGCTGTATGATTCCGGGAGTATTGTTTGGGTCTTTGCTCTGCTGGGTTTGCTCAGAGCCGTATTGTGAATGTTGAAGCTCCTGCTCGAACCCTGGCGGCCTCGCGTCGGTAGGCAAACCTCGGGAACTCAGTGGCTGTGGAGCCCTTAAGCTCGGGCTATATAGAAGCTCACCACTAGTTTCCCTTATTGTCGGGATGGGGTATTGAGTCCCATTGTTTCTATTGTTGGAAACAGAGCCCCCGCTGTATCGATTCCGATTCCCTTGCAGCTGCTCGCTATCAGTGGTTGGTAGCTCGATGCTCCCTTTTGGCAAGTAGGGCAGTGAACGTCGGCAAGCCAAAATGCCGGTTCCCCTTTCCGTAGTGGTTGGGCTGATGACACCATCTGCGGCTGACGTATTCTCTGAGTCCACGGTCAGTGATAAGGAGAGTTCAGTCTGGCTCCTTGTATCTCCGGAGGATACGCTTTTGGCTACCGAAAGACATGAAGATTCCGGGTCGGACAAGTCACCATATGCAGGCATTTCCACAGTTCCAGGATCCGGGGGTGAAAGGATCGACGCTTTATATCCTGGAACGCTAGGGGCCAGGCGTTGACCCAGCTGACTCAAGCAGATTATCGAGTCGACACGACTGCTGTCCGAAGACGCCTGCAAACTGCTATAGTCTAGATCGAGATTGTCCATCAATGCCCGCTGTAGGCCGACCAGGAGCGTCGCCTGTAGGCTCGACAGAATAAATCTCATATCTTCCTGGGCAATTTCGTCCCCGTACACATACTTTTGGCCAATGCGCTTGACGTCCAAGTCATATTGGCCCTGTACTATGGGGGGTCCAAGGGCAAGCGAGATTTCCAGGCTTGCCAGGGCATCTTCAGGTAAAGGGCGGCTGTTGGTCCGCTTAATGCGCTCGACCAAATTTGTAGCATTCAGATAAGTAGTCACGACTTAGTTAAGCTTGTCAGCACCAAAATAGATGGGGTAAATCGATCTACCTCTAAGAGAAACTCAAACAGCGATTAAAGATCGGGTGTGCAGCCGGGGGCCTATGGCGTGAAGGGTGTATGTATGTATGTAGCACAAAGAAATAATGGGGAATGAAGATAAGCACTCCATACCTGCAGAAATGCAGTCCACTACCGGAGTGCGCTCGGGTCGCGACATTCTTTGTCGCACCGGCGCTTCTCCTGTGAGGTCGTGACGGCCTTCAAGTGGCCAAACTGCGTCACGGCGTGTTGAGTAAGAGGGTGAAGCGGGTGAAGCGGGTGAAGCGGGGTGTTTTCTCAAGAGCGCCGCTTGCAATATTCTTCTAGGAGAAGTATAGAGTCTTATGAAAATGTCTATCTCAATGCAGAGAGAAACGGAAAAGAGCAGTCATCAGGGCCAGGAGCAGACATGAAATCCTCAAGCGCTAGCACGAGGCTCAGCGAATTCGCTGCTTGTGGGCAGTGCAGTGCAGATGCTTGCGGGAGCGGATTAAAACGCACAAGAATGCAGGAAGAAATATCCAACTAAATTCAAGAACTCAGAAGCCGAAAACTCGTAGGTGATGGGCAACTAACTTAACTTTTGTGCTCTCTCTTGGATTTAAAACCAGGGGAGCGGGAAACAGGCGAGAGAGAAGACAAAGTTCCCCATTCTGCAAACTTATAAGTTACTTAAATCGTTAGTTAAGTTATGGATTGCCTAGTTAACTAGTTAACTAGTTGGTTTGGTGAGCTCATTGTCAACTGAGCCCAGTCCTTGGCTCGAATAACTACTCCGTACGGGCTGTGGTGTGAGAGCTTCAACAAAGACAGCGTTGTCATGTTGTTCAAAGTTGGTCGCTGAGGGGCGAGTCCGTGAAGAGTGTTCAAGGTTCATGTCGCTCACTGGAATAAATATTTAAGGAGACCTTGGTGCGCAATCGATTCTCATTGGCATTGCACAAAGAGTGCTGTTCAAACATTCAACGATATTTCCATATGCTGATACCCCCACGATGCACTAATTAGAGTAATAAAATTCTTGATTTGCAGAGTACAGCTTATTCCTTGAACTCTTTGAGACTGACAGTCGATTCAGTCGATTCCCAACACATTTGATATTGCAAGAATCCGTTGTTCCATCTTCCACGGGCCCTGTATAGCAAGGCAGCTAGCTAGCTAGCTAGCTCTATGTAGAGAGGAGTTTGGAGGCGGCTGCTTGCTCTCTGCCACAATTCATGGCCTTAAATATCATGGCTCAAATTGAAACAAAGAATCGAGCTGTGCAACCCACTCTCACTTTAACTTCAAAATGAAACCGATGTTGGAGTAACAGAAATAATCTATTGTCCAGTTCCGTAGTATGAAAAAGCCAGTAACTATGTAGAAAGTAAAACGTAATTCCTTCTCGTTTTGACATGTTGGTGTATTTAGATGGAATAGTTCGGCCCCTTAACTACCAGTATATACAAAATATGAAAAATAGATTACTTCTACTTAGAATGGAATGATATCATATATTCAAGATAGTTTGAAGAAGGGGGATGAGTCTATTATATACTATATCTAAACCACCAGAAATCAATATCTAACCCATTTGATATAAAGGAACATTAATATACTCAGAACTCTGCAATTTAATGAATCTCTCTGATTATCAATAGAAAAGAAAATACGGCATTACTGATATGTAGATGGATGTAACTATCAAATTAATCGAAGATTTTCAGCACTATCTATTCTACTACAGACTATCAGAATAAACAATAAACATAAGACCAACCCACAGCTCATGTAGTTTTATATGCAGCGGCCCGACCCCATTTACAGAACAGAATGTTTGAATCAAACTTTCAATTTTGATATTGCCTCAACATGACTATTTCTACGGTTTTCCACAGTTTGTTGTGTCACTCAAGAACCGGACAACACCCACGGGCACTGTTCGTTGGATCCTCAACCCTCCCCTCAATGATCTGCAGTTGGGAGCAGTGAGATCTAATGCAGGATTCTGTATGCCGCGCGTTTATGCAAGTTGTCAATATGATCGGATCAGATCGTGTCCTCATCCATATCGGCATCGACGGCTGAAGAACTGGATATCAGCGAATATTGATACTTATACTCCCTTGTGGCGTGTGGTGGGGATGGGTTCAGGCGGGTGATCGATATATGGACGAAAGGGATAATAGGCCGATTGATGCACCTAAGGAACGTATGTGTACGTACGTTACCAACGACAGTGGTTTTGTACACATGTACAGTACATGCATGCATACGTCCTGGCTTAAATGTGGGATGAGGTTGCTATGTGTTGTTGATCGATCTACGTCCACCCAAGGTTTCTTCCAACAGCTTGGTAGAGCTGTGGTGTTCCAATGGGGACAATTGTAAGCATCTAATTAAATCCAAAGGAAAAGATTTGAATCGAAATATACGATCAAAGATAAATATCAAGCAGCATATGATAATACACTTAGAATTGGTATATCAGCGGCCTGGGGTCGCAAATATATAGAGGATGACGAATGAGACAGGGAGAGAGACGACCTGGACGCCCCTCCCATGACCCATGATCCATGACCGAATCCCTAGCCAGCCCGACAAAACACATCCATTAGTTAAAGCCCGTATTAACAAATACGCTCTCAAGGAGATCGTAGTGATTCATACAACACGCACACCTTTCATCCACCCCATGAACAAAGGCTAAGCAACACCGGCCAACAACGCCCGCAAGCACAGAAATTTAGGATAAATATATAAAACATGAGCGAAAAACAGGAAGCAAAAACAGATTTATAGAAACACATCCTTTGAATGGAACACGATGGAAACTGATTGAAACACGGCGAAGAGGGAAAGAAAACAATGCTGATGCAAATCCGGAAAACTCCGTGTGTAAATGCACGGTTGAGTTTTTGGAAGGCGAGTGGGAATCCTCCAATTTTCCCGTTTTAACGGGCCTGCGTTAGAACGATATGGAGAGAGGGGGCGGAAGGGAAGAAGGGGGGGGAGGAGGAGGAGGACGTAATTCTATACATTAATGCACCGATAAGTGGGCAAAGAAAGTGACAGAGACACGGAAGAAGGAATAGAATACAGCGGTCGGTTAACGGATTGGAAGAGGGACTCGTGAGCATAATGGCAAGAGGAATATGGTATCAAAGGAAAAAAAAGAAAATATAACCGTTAAGGAAAATTCATCAGCAGCACCTCCCCTGCCGGCTCTGAGTCGATCCAATCGGTACATCGATAGGTTCCTCACCCAGCACGAGACCGGGCGGGAACCCAAGCCAGCTTCGTCGTTTATCTGCCGTCCCACCGCGCACACTATTGTTGCCATCAGACACAGCTCCTTCCATGTGTGCGGGCATTCTCTCCGCGCCACCTGATCCACCCCGATGTGCTGAGTCGGCGTCTAGTGATTTGTTCCGCTGCTCCACGAGCTTGCGGGTGATGACACGGAAGACCTCCTCGATACCCTCGCCATCCTTGGCGCTGATCTCATGGCAGCAGTCCCAGCCGATATCCTGGCCCCAGAAGCCGCTGCTTCGCTTGCTTTCCGCGCCGGGATTGTAGTTTGGGTTTGAGGTGCCAAAGGTGGAGCTGCTGATCATGCCTAGGCCGGAGCTGGGCGGCGGGGTGGATGCTTGGGATGGGTAGAGCTGTTCCGCGACGTAGGCAATGGTGCGTTCGAACGGAACTTTGCGTAGATTGGGGTCATCTGCTACAATATCTGATTTCGTGCCCACAACGTGGATGACGATGGGAGAGTCTTCGCCAAGGTTCTGTTTCAACTCGACGAGCCAACCGGCCATTTCCTGGAAGCTACTTTCGTCTGTGATGTCGTAGCAGAGCAGGCCAGCGTTGGCACCGCGGTAATAGAGACGGGAAATACTTCGGAAACGTTCCTGCCCGGCTGTGTCCCATATTTGCAAGCGGACGACGGTGTCTGAGGTGGTGTCGAGGACGCGTTTAGTGACGAAGGAGGCGCCGACGGTGGAAGTGGTTGTAGCAGGGTTGAAGGAATTTTTCACGTAGCGTTGGACGAGAGATGTTTTCCCAACACCTAGGCCGGAGTTAGTACAAGGGAGGATGGATGGGGAATGAGAATGGAGAGCTGAATATGAAAGAGCGTACCTTGGGCACCCAGGACGACGATCTTCGCCTCGAGACTGGAGCTCATAGTGAGGGCGGAGTGCAAGAGAACAGGTGCATCATATAGCAGGGTATACCGGGAGGGAGGTATGGGAAGCTATGAAGCTATTTTTTTTATTTTTTTTCTTTTGTTTTTCTTTTGGTTGTACGAGGGTTTACTTGGGAGCAAAGACAAAGAAAGCAAGCAGCTGCGCGCGTCAAGATGAGGGAAGAGAATGACGAGTCACCAGCAAAGAAGAGAAAGCTGTGTATAATTTGGTGAGTAACGTCTACTTTTGGATAAGAGAAGAGAGAGAGAGAGAGAGAGAGAGACAGCCAGGCAGGCAGAGGGGTTGAGAGCTAAAAGAGAGCGACAAGCAACCCGGCTGAGGCCAGCGAGCGTGACTGTTCTGCGTACAGGACAGCGACTTGGTCACCAGAGAGAGGATAGCCTGCACGTGAGGAGGGAGGAGAGAGCCCTGGAGGGAGAGAGGGAGAGAGGGTTGGTTGGGTTGGTTGGGTTAAGTTAGTGACAGAAAGAGACAAGAGGAGACAAGAAGAGACAGAAGAGACAGAAGGGCTACGGAGCGAATCAGCCAGCATTGACCCGGGTAACTATAGTCCATCCGGGCATCCCTAAGCACATATCATAGGGGCTGTCTGCGTGTCTGTATATCCAGATGCCCTGTGGATGTCACTGTTCGTCCGTTCGAGCTGGATGGTTGGATAAACAGTTAACTAGGTTAACTTAATTAACTAGTTTAACTAGTTAACTAAAGTTAGTGATAGAGTGATTGATGAGAAGGTTGATTGACTACGACCCAGCCCAAACAAGAAACAAGGGCAAGGGCTGGGTGGGTCATATGATCCCTGGCCAATGACGTCGTCGTTAACTACTAGTTAACTTAACTAATCAGCGGCTGCCGAGGCCCCAAACATCAGAAGAAGAGACGATGAAAGAGATGCCATGTCGTCTACAACATGTCTACATCGAGAAGTCCCAGAGATAGAGACGCGGAAAAGACGTAGATAATCCTCGTTATGCACATCTGTGAATTATTCACGCTGTCAACTCGATTAGAATCATTATTATCGAATCGGCCGAGAAACAGCCATGGAGCTTCCAAGGTTTTTTGCCTCAGTGGAGACGATTCTAGATATCGGAAATGGGAAGATGAGGATGGAGAGGGGATGCGAAAGGAAAGGAACCAATAATAATAATAATAATAATAATAATAATAATAATAATAATAATAATAATAATAATAATAATAATAATAATAATAATAACAATAATAATAACAATAATAATAATCAATGCAGCACAGATGAGACAGACTATTATATCAACATGAGAAGAGTAACTTACTACTATCATAAGTAATAATCATAATAAGTACACAAGAAGACGTAGAAATACTTTGTTACGTGGCTACAATCACTCTATATACAGAGTACATGTATGTACATACATACATCGATGATATCGTCATGATCCGATCCAATCCACGCTCTCCGCATCTCCGAAACCAGAAGAAACTTCTCCAGAACTTCTCCCCCGTCCGCATTTCTTTCCGCCGCCACTTAAATAATAATAACAACAATATCTCGCACGAGAACAACGAGCTGGCTCAACAATCATCTTTCGGCATTTTAATTTAACCCTCCTCCGTCTCCCAGCCTGAATCGCTGACCTCTTGAACTGAACTACCGGCCCCTTTCTAGAGCTCCCATTTGCGCCGCCCTCTATAGCTTCCGCTGCAATGCCCTCGGACGAAAAACACGGGGGAAATCTCCTTACAGGCCCAGAGATACAAAAACACAACTCCAAGGACTCATGTTGGGTCATAGTTCACGGGAAAGCATACGATGTCACCGAATTTCTACCTGGTACAAAGCAAATCCCCCCTGCGGCTAAACCAGCTGCCACCTGCACATGGATTTTTACTAATACCAATATAGAGCACCCTGGCGGTCAAAGCACTATTCTGAAGTATGCCGGGAAAGATGCCACGGAGGAATTCGAGCCCATCCACCCCCCGGACACCCTCGACAAGTACCTCGACCCTTCAAAACACCTAGGTCCAGTGGCAATGGACACTGTCATGCGCGAGGACAAAGGTGTCGATCCCGAGGAAGAAGAGCGCCAATTACGAATCAAGCATATGCCTTCGCTAGAACAATGTTATAACCTGCTGGACTTTGAAGCCGTCGCCCGTCGTGTTATGAAGAAGACAGCCTGGGCTTATTACTCCAGTGGCGCTGATGATGAAATAGTTCGTCTCCTCCTTCAACATACCAGTCAGTATTAACTATATATATATATATATATATATAGCTAACGCAAGGCCATCATAGACCCTCCGCGAAAACCACTCCGCCTTTCACAAAGTCTGGTTCCGTCCGCGCATCCTCGTCGATGTCGAAAATGTGGACATCTCCACCACAATGCTAGGCTCTCCCGTCTCCGTCCCCTTCTACGTCTCGGCCACCGCCTTGGGCAAACTCGGCCATCCAGAAGGTGAGGTCTGCCTCACCCGCGCTTCAAACACCCACAACGTCATTCAAATGATCCCCACCCTGGCCTCCTGCTCCTTCGACGAGATCGTCGACGCTCGCGGCCCCGACCAGGTCCAATGGCTACAACTATACGTCAACAAAGACCGCAACATTACCAAACGTATCGTCCAACACGCCCAGCAACGGGGCTGCAAAGCGCTCTTCGTCACCGTTGACGCGCCCCAGCTCGGCCGCCGGGAGAAGGACATGCGCTCCAAGTTCTCCGACCGCGGGTCCGCGGTGCAGGCCGCAGATGGGGAATCGACATCCTCCATCGACCGCTCGCAGGGTGCTGCCCGCGCAATCTCCTCCTTCATCGACCCGTCGCTCAGCTGGAAGGATATCCCGTGGTTCCAGTCCATCACAGACATGCCCATCGTGCTCAAGGGCGTCCAGCGGGTCGACGACGTGCTGCGCGCGGTGGAGATGGGGATCCCCGCCGTTGTGCTATCGAATCATGGTGGGCGGCAGTTGGATTTTGCGCCGTCGGCCATCGAGCTGCTGGCAGAGGTTATGCCGGAGCTGCGCAAGCGCGGGTGGCAGGATCGCATCGAGGTGTATATTGACGGCGGTGTGCGGCGGGCGACGGATATCCTTAAAGCGCTCTGTCTAGGCGCGAAGGGGGTCGGCATTGGACGGCCGTTCCTGTATGCTATGGGTGCGTATGGCGTGCCGGGCGTCGAGCGGGCTATGCAGTTGCTGAAGGATGAGATGGTTATGAATATGCGCTTGATCGGGTGCTCGAGTATTGATCAGTTGTGTCCAGATTTGGTGGATACGAGGGGCCTGGCGGTGAGGACTGTGCCGAATCCGGTGGATTCGCTGGGGATGGGGGTTTATGATCCGCTCTCGTTGCCGGTGGATAGATCGCCAGCACCGGCGGGGAAGTCGAAGCTGTGATTTCTTTTTTCTTCCCTGGCTTCTAAATAAATTCGGTCTGGGATATCATGATGCTGGGGTTAGATTTTTAGTTTTATATCTTCGCTGCATATACATTTTTCATTCGCGTGTTGTATGTACTGTACATATCTGCACATACTCTTTTTTTTTTTTTTTTTTTTTTTTTTTTTTTTGGGGGAGCACATCTTGTGCCTATAGAATTATATTCATTCATAGAGTATTTTTGATTTTTGTTCTTCGCATATATACATATATATGTAGTTTGTTCGGAGCTCTTCAAGCTCAGATGTTTCCCCGCAGCGCCCCAATTCCTCCAAAATAACATATATAATAATATGACCCCCCTATATCTCAACCACAGTCGCCCCCCGCAAGACCTTCCCACTTCCATCCAAACAAGCCGCATTAACCATCCATCCCTCCCTCCCCAAACCCATACTATCCCACAACCTTCCCACAACCACAGCTTTAACACCCTCCCAAACAACCCTCCCCGCCATACCCCACACCCCATCTACCCCACACAGATCCCTCCACCACCCGCCGCCCGCCACAAAGCTCCAAATTCCGCTTCCACGATCCCACAACGCCCCGTTCTCCGCCCGCGCCCTGCACAACGCCTCCCACGCGTCCTGCGCACGGTCATAATACGCCCTCTCCACGCCGCGGCCGACGTGGACGTGTCCAAAGACATGTAGGAGCGGGCGGATGCGCCAGGCTGCGCGAAGGAGATGGGGGCAGCCGGCAGAGTAAGGGAAATTGTCGAGGTGGTGGGCCGGGGGCGTGTGGGTGACTAGGATGTCGGTGTCCGGGGGGATGGGGATTGGATATGGATATGTCGTGCCGTGGCCGTCCCCGGGTGTCGTCGTCGTCGTCGTCGTGGGAGGGTATTGGAAGGCGTGTATTGAATCCGGTGAAGGGTCCAGCTGTGGGATTTGCGGGGCACCGTGTATTGTCAGCGTTCGCGATGAGGGGCTAATGGTTGTGGATTTGCCAGCTGTGTCGTGGGCGGTGGAAGTGGGTGTAGGAAAAGGAAAAGTCAGCGTCACGCTGCTGTTTTGTAGATAATGTATTGAGCCCCAATCTATGCCTTGTCCATCCCCGTCCTCCGCATTACAAGCCACAATAATCCCCCGAACCCCCTCATCCAACCACCCGTCATGATTCCCCGCCACAACCACCTTCTCCGTATGCGGCAGCGTCTTCAACCAATCCACCGCCGCCTGAATATCCGCGCGCGCCCCGCTATTCGTCAGATCCCCCGCATGGATCAGCAGGTCCCCGTCCGGCACGCCCAGTAGGTGGTGATCGTGGGTATCGGAGATACAGACGACGCGGATAGGGCGTTGGGAGGGCGTTCGGGTGCGCGGGGCTGGGCGGAGGTTGAGGAGGAGGGTGTGCAGTGGACGGAGGAGGAAGAGGATCGGGGAGGAGAGGAGGCGGGTTAAGAGGGGCGGGGGGTCGAAGGGGCTCATTACTGGGGATATGTAGGGGTTGAGAATGTTTTGGTTGAATTTAGAATACGGCTATGGCGTTGGAAATGGCATGATTGGAGTGGTTTGTTCGGATAGAGGGTTGTGAGTGCTGCCCTCGCAGTTTGTGTTTTGCTAGTTGGTTGTTCATTCATGTTGGTGACGGTGAATGCAGCGCGCTGGGGTTGAATATTATTCAGGGGAACCAATAACGCAACAACAGCCCAAAAGCTGGCTTCTACTCGCACATTTACGAGGCTCTCGATCTCCAAAATGAAGCCCAGAGCCATATTATGCTTAATAATGGCCTTGAGGCAAACTCGGCAATATGGTATTGTTCGCTCTATACACACGAGTGTCTACTAGCGGCCAGATAAGCTACTTGGATCTATATAAGCCCATTGCAAAAACGCGGCCTTCGAGAAATGTCATGCGAGATTATGCTCTTTTGCATTTCTACTCCCTATTTCTAGCTCCGTTCCTACTCATTCACTTTGCCATCCCCAGCCGGTACCAATCGGTCCGGTGTTATTGGGATCAGAGCAGGTATATAACCCATCAGTTCCAGCTCCAGCTCACACAAACTACGAAAACCCCAGTTGCAAGCAATAAACCAAAAACTACAACGCACGACAACTACCAAGTCACAACAAACCACCATCCATGATGGATAGCTTCGAGGCATAGTTCCGGAAGGTAGAAATAGGCGATGTGGACTATACCACTATACCTGAAAAAAAGCTGAAAATGCCGGTGTACAAGGACTATCCACCAATCGTCGCAGAGAAACTCCGGGGTCTGGCTCAAGCTGTCAACGAGGGCAAAAGCATCGCAGTTGCAACTGGGTTTGAAGGAGCGCGGTACCAGGAGAGAGATCCGGTGAAGTTAGCATCGTTCACCCCTCAGGAAAAAGAACAATATAGTGCATGGTGTACCGGGAGTGTGAGCCTCCCAGAATTTGACTGGACAGCCAACATCGACGATTCCCAAATGCCTCCAAGTGTTGCTAGGAAAATGGAAGAGCATGTCAACGCGATGAACATTATGTGGCATACGAATAAAGCCAAAACAAGCCACGCTCACTGGCTCTTGAACAACTGGAGTTACATGCTGCCCCTTGTGACTGCACTCGCCCGGATGGAAAAGGCCAAGAAAGACCTTGTTGACGGTTCGGAATATGCTACAGCCGACGAAATGGCAGAAATCCAAACAATAGAGAAAGCATTCTCAGAAACCCATCAGGCTTTACGCCGCGAGAAGAAGTCGCTTCTCTGAAAAATGGTAACCCGCGATATTGCATATTCACAGGTGACGTTGGCCAACCGCACACTCGATATCAGGAAGAAAATTGCAGAGCGCATCCCTATGGGTATCACCCCACCCCAGCGGTGCGTTAAGTTTACCAAGTCAAAGCCTTGTTTCCACCCCAGAAGAAGTAGAGTGGGAGGCTGACATTCCTCAAGGGATATCGCTCTCCTCCAACAAGAACCCGATTTTTCCGCCTTAGCGGAGATAGTATCTTAGGTATGAAGGTTATTATCTACCTGTTCTTTCACGGTTCCTCCTCATTCTCAAGAGCTAGGTTGGCTTATAAATGAACATGTTGTTTCAAATAGCTCATTTCGCATGCATGTCTCTGATCGGGCGCGCGGGTTGTGCGACATGGAACACGGAACATGGGATCTTGTATCGAAATTGTGCTTCTGGGACAAGCGGGGATTCAGGGGAGCTGACGGTTAGGGGACTTCTGCATTGGTTCGTTTCAACGGAGACGTTGTCTTGAGATAGGGTGACTCTGCGGTGGTGACTTGTTATCACGGGTAGGGTAGTTTAGCTACAGGAGACTGGACAATCAGAAATACAACAACAAGGCTATGGCTTCGCTTGCCATATCCACACATGGTGTGGTGTGGTGTCAGGTGATTCCCGCCAAGCCATTTCTCCGTATACGCTGTACATACATACAAGGGATATTTACACACTCACTCAGGCAACCGAGTCAACGTTTAACTAGGGGCTGCCACGGGCGGCCACAGCAACAGAAGGAATTAGATTGCGGGCATCCCGCCAATTCTCCTTGCGGGGATGCGTTATTTATTTGGCACCCCTCTCAACACCCCCAAGTGTTCCTAGGTTGATAGGGAAGAGGTACTCCGTATAGAGGTTGTTCTTGGGGCAGCGATAAACCTGATGAACCTGATATATCTGAGGAACCTGGCCAGATGCCCCCCGCAAGTTAGGTGAATACCGCAAGGCTCATATCTCTCAGATGTTCCGTTAGTTCAATGCGGCCGTTCCATAACTCTCCATGCTAGCTACGGCCGTGGAAGGGGGAATGAACTTCTTGCTGGAAAAGCTCTAAGCTCCGGATTTTTACATCTGGCAATAAGAATGCCTGATATAAACCGTCAATCTTCCAGTGGGTGGGTGTCTTGAGACCGAGTTAGTATCTCTTTTGTCCGGTGCTACGAGATTTGCGTATGGCAGTTGAAGAGGCTGCTACCATAGCAGAATTCAAAGGGATAGAGAATGAAAGCAACGGCATTACTACCGTTTCAAAAAGCTCCGTCCTTGAAGCTTCATTCTCTGTGTCTTTTTTTGTTTTTTCCTTCTCTTATGCGGTATATGTATTCACATTTATAGTCGCGGTCCTCTGGCTACTCTCGTTCCATCTCCAGCTCTTGTTCTCGGATATATAATATGAGCACCAAACCCTTTTATGTGAAAGCAGTAGAAGGTTGTTACTGCTGACCAGTCCAGTCCTATTATGTTTTGGTCAGCGACGAAGAGCACAGGAAGGACATGGAGGGGTTGCAGCCGAATGCCCCTAACAAAGCAAAGCGGGTTTTGGCTGGGAGGAAGACACCTGGTTCAATAGGATAGCCAGTCTAGCTGGACAATCCGCCCTGCAGAGAGCCTGACACCCGAGCAGCGGCCAATCGCTTTGGCTGTCGAGGGCATCGTGGAGAATAGCCTGCTGCACTTTATTCCAGAGCGTGTGGTGTCTGTGGTTGCATCACGAAACGTAGTATGTACATGTATGTACCTTGGAGGTAACAAAAGAAATATATAAACTGCTAATCACCGTTATATATGTTTTAAATCGCAATATCCACATGATGGTCATTCTAAGCTCCTCTTATATAACTGATGGATGTTAATGTTTTAAACCTTGTCCCTCGGATGCTTGGAACAAGGTACCAGGTACCCCCCGCTCCCCGCACCGCTCTGTGCACAGCTGAGGTACAGAGTACTCTGCCCACTGTCCTTGGCTACATCATTGCTTCAACCCTGGTTGTTTGTCATGATTTTTTATTTTTATTTTATTTTTCTCTTTTTTTTCTCGTTTCTTTTTTTACTTTAACTACACGCCCAAGAAAGAATCCAATGCCTCAACCCTCACTCAAAATTCCTTTCCACTCTCCTGGTTTTTATGCCTCACTCATATTGAAGTGATTAAATAACATTTTTTTTATTCTATTTTATTCCTCGCCACCCCCCATCTTCCCGCTGAGCTGTGGATAATAGAGCTGGCTGGAACGTGGTGGTTACCGGGCGTCATTGGCTGTTTGTTCTGTCTCCTGCCAACCTCCCCTCCCGACCCCAAGTCAACCCCAAGCCAACCTCATCGCTTCATCTTCGCCGTCTTCCATCATCCGCAGCACCAACTCCCTCTTTCTCTCCCCTTTCGCCAGCTCGATCATCTGCATATCCTGACGCCGCGTTATAATCATTTCATTACTGCTCCTCTGGCCTGGCGCGAGTCCAGCTGTTGCCTTCGTTCCGTGGGCATCTTCTCGGTGTTTTTCCCTCCCGTAGAGTGGCATTTCGCCCGTTAGGCCGCCCTACAGACCCGCCGCCAGCCCACCACACACCTCTCGTCACTCACCTATAGGCTATCACCTATCGCCGATCACCAGCCACTCTGCTCTGGGCAAACGCTTCCAAATATTCCCCTCCAATATTGTCCATACTACCCATACTTCGCACACTTCTTTCTTAACCGCCACCGGTAGACACGGGAAATAGCTGAGATTCCTCGCACCGCGGCTCTCAACCTGGCTTCACCAGGCTTTCCCCCCCCCCCCCCAGAATAGACGACGGCTGGAGGTGATATCAAGGACGCTGCAATTAACAGGGCAAACCAGATGGCCAGCGCAGCGGCCAACTTGAACAACACCGCCAACGGGAACGGCGGAAACAGCGGGAACGGCGGGAATAACTCTCTCAAGAAGCGGAGGAAGGGCACTGACCTTTGGCCCATTGTCACAAACGAGGCGGTTCCATCTTCTGTGATCGTTGAGCCCATTTCTGGCCCCACCATGCTCTCGCCGGCATCTAAACATCCAGGGTTAGTATATCATTCTATATCTATACTTATCTCTGCGTCTATATTTTATCTACCATCAATTTTTATATGCGTATGTATCTAAACTAAAAATACACTCCATGCAGGGCTTCTATCAATACCCATACACTTAAAACTAACTACGGCTCCCCCCTCTCCCTCTCCCCTTCCTCCTCCTCTACTGAAGACCCCGAAGAAGAAGACTTAAAGGACTACTGCGAGGGTGGCTATCATCCCGTCTATCCCGGCGAAACCTATAACGAAGGTCGCTACATCGTCCTCCGCAAGCTAGGATGGGGCCATTTCTCGACCGTTTGGCTGTCGCGCGATACTACAAATGAGAGACACGTTGCCTTGAAAGTCGTGCGATCGGCTAAACACTACTCCGAAACGGCTAATGATGAAATCAAACTTCTTAAGAAAATCGCAGAGGCTAACCCGAGCCACCCTGGGCGGAGGCACGTCGTTAGCCTTTTGGATGACTTTGTACATTATGGACCCAATGGCGACCATGTTTGTATGGTGTTTGAGGTGTTGGGCGAAAATCTGCTCGGGTTGATTAGGCGCTGGAATCATCGCGGCATCCCCATGCCCCTGGTCAAGCAGATTACGAAGCAGGTCCTGCTAGGCTTGGATTACCTGCATCGCGAGTGTGGCATTATCCACACCGATCTGAAGCCAGAGAATGTTCTGATCGAGATTGGCGACGTCGAGCAGATTGTGAAATCTTTTGTGAAGGAGGAAGAGTCTAAGAAGGAAAACAAGGAGGATTATCGCAGTGGACGACGACGACGAAGAACCTTGATCACCGGTAGCCAACCGCTTCCAAGCCCGCTCAATGCCAGCTTCAGCGGTTGCGACCCTTTCCGCACCCACGCCACGAATCAAAGCACTCATGGCAGCCTCGACCATATTTTAAATAATACATCTGGTCAGCCTATAACTTACTATCTTTTTTTAAGTTTGATGTGCGCTAGTTAACTGTTCCTCTCTTGTGTAGCTTCACCAAGCACATCCAATCTCTCCATGAAAGATCGACTGGGGATTAAAGATCAGGAGTCGCTGGAGGATGGAAAGCAGAAGCAGAGGGAAAAGACAACGTAAGTTTTTTTGGGTCGTTGCCGTGCGCAGTTTTGTCCTAACGATGTTTTCAGAGACATTTTGGAACGGGAGGTCTCGGGTATATCCCTTGATAAGAACTCTACACCGAAGACTCCAAATGACGAAGACATGGAGATCTCAGTGAAGATTGCGGATCTGGGGAATGCATGCTGGGTCGAACATCACTTCACGGACGACATCCAGACGAGACAATACCGCTCGCCGGAGGTTATACTTGGCGCCAAATGGGGTGCCAGTACCGACATATGGAGTATGGCGGCAATGGTACGTCAACAACGCTTCAATATATATATATATATGTATATGTCTATGAATTTTTCCCGTTTGCTAACAGCCCAAAAGGTATTCGAACTCATCACGGGCGACTACCTCTTCGATCCGCAATCAGCTGCCAAATACGATAAGGATGACGATCACATAGCCCAAATAATTGAACTTCTCGGGCCTTTGCCCAAATCCCTCTGCTTCTCCGGTGAACGGAGTAAGAATATCTTTAACCGCAAGGGCCAATTGCTTAAAATCCACCGACTCCGCCACTGGGCGCTCCCGGACGTCCTCACAGAGAAATACCGCTTGTCCCTGGAGGAGAGCAAAGCTCTTTCCGACTTCCTCCTGCCGATGCTTGAGCTGTTGCCTGAGCGCAGAAAAAATGCGGGATGTATGTCGAACCATCCGTATCTGGATGGTACGAAGGGGATGGAGAATGTACATCTAAAAGACATCAATGTCGGGAGTCGTGGGGAGTTCATAGAAGGCTGGGCACAAGTGGTTAAAAGGAAAAAGCATAACGTGGTATGAAAATATTAATTTCAATATGGATGAGTGACATGACATGTGAAAAAAGAAATTATGGGAACGAATATATATTGAGCGGCAGGACGGGGGGCGGGAGGAACTAAATGATACTGGAGCGGAAATTTAAATGAGACAAAAGAGTTGGAAAAATCTAATATGCCATGATTCCCCCGCAGCCCGCCCAGCAGCCTTTTAGCGGTTCATTTGTATGTGTTACATATCTTGTTTCCCTTGGTTCGTTTTTTTGGCCTTGGCCTTGGTCTTATATTTATTTTTCATTTTCCCAGCCAAGTTTGTTTATGGATTGTCGTGGTCTGATATTTGCCTCCTTCGCCCCCCTTTTTTTTAATTTTTTCTCACCTGCCCACTTCCTTTTTCACAAAGGTTTTTTGTTTTTGGAATGATCGTCGTCCACTTTTGATTGCTCTACTATCTCTTTGGTTGCTGGTTGTGGTTGTTAGGTCTCCCCTTTTCCTTCTATCGAATCTTTCGCCACATCATACCATATTGTGCACATCATCTCACATTTTCCCCCTCCTTTTTTCCCCCTTTTTTCCCAGTCTCAGCAGCCTGTCATCCGCCATCCTTTAACCAACTATTATATAGTTGACTTGCTCTCCCCATCACTCTCTATTAGTTTCTATCATTTATTACCCCTTGGTTTTAGCTGTTCTGATTTCATTTTTTAGAAACATCTTGAATCTTCCGAATTGCAGTATCATTTTGAGTGGCTGTCTGTCATGACATGACATGAACACGCTGCCAACTGGCTGACTGGTGGATGAAAAGGATTGGTGGAATGATTTTGAGTGATGGATTTTCATCGATTGATAGAATGATAGACGCCATTTGTTGTTGTGCATGTACGTATGTGACTTGTGGAGAGAGTTTAGAGGATATCTTTTTGAGGGGAAGAGAGGAGAAAGGGATGAAGGAAGCAGGGAGCGGAGTAGAGTCTCCTTCCTATACACACTTATCTCCATACGTTTCTTCACACTCCACCCAATATCTATTCATTGCCTAGCCCCCACAACCCATTTGCCTAATATATATATATAGACATATGTCAGTATGTAGGTAGGTAGGTGGTGGGTAGGATTAGCGAGAGACTTGAACATATGGTTAGGTTTTATCCTTCTTACTGGCCCAATCTCTTCGCTTCCTATATATAGTTACCCATTGTTTTCCTCTTCTTGTCCTCCTTTTTCGCTACCCTCACCAGTTCGGATTGTAATTGTGTTCTGACCGACCTTCTGTCCCGCCTCCCCCTGCTGTTCAAGCACCTACTCCTTAGTGTGCTAGGCTGTTCTCTTTAATGACAGAGCCTTACCATTTCCATCTAGGCATCGTTACATTTTGGATAGTTAGCAGGGTGTTGAGGGAGTTTTGTTAGAGATTATTTATACCACTTTATAATCACATTATCGTATATTAGGAGGCCGGATCTGGTGGAATTAATAATGTGTACTGGTGTAAATATATATTCATGCCATATTACGTCATGTCCAATGAATGGGCTTAGTTAACTGGTCTTGCTGAGCTACACTTCATGGCAAGTTTGCAGCGTCTGCTGCTCTAGGTCTTGGGAGTGAGAAAGTGGTTTCCTTTATGATAACTCCGTACGTTTCAAGAAATGGGTATATCTAATAACTATGCCGTAAATCATCAAATTCCTGCCCTAATTTTCCCACGAGACCAGCTTCGCAATTAATTAAAACCTGGTACAAGGAAATTGAAGAAGAGAGACCTCCAAAAAAAAAAAAAAAAAAAAAAAAAAAGCACAACCCAACCCCCTACTCGTCCATCGTCCAAGCATACTCTAAGCCTTCCCGCATCTTTATCTTATTCCGCGCTTCAAACCATTGTTGCTCAAATCCATTCCCCCGGTCTACCCCGTCCCACCTATGTCCGGGCCGTATCCCATACCGATTCGGCGCAGCGGGCCCTGTATATACCTTCCTCCCACTCTTCCCCCTACCAACACTGACACCAGCACCAACTGAGCCAGCGCCTTTGATCGAAGTCAAAAACTCCGCAGCGGGGTCATTCCATCTCACCCTAGCCTTCAGCTCCGCATTCATCTCTTCATCCTCGACTGTCCTTGCCAATGGCATATATTTGGCCTCCCGCACCGCCTCCCTCCGCGCCTCCCTCTCACGCCGCTGCACGTCGCCCTTCAACGCCTCTTTGGCCGCCGCTTCGGCTGCCGCCGCTTCCTCCGCCGCCCGCCGTGCCTCTGCCCTCTTCATCGCCACGTTGATTATCCGCCCGCTCGCGTCGCGGTAGATGGTCTCGGACTCTAGTCCGTTACCATTCCCGCCCGTCTTGCCGGATTTCTTCTTCATCGCAAGAGATTCCCGCTCCCGTTTCCGCTGTTGGGCAGCTACCATGGCCTCCGTCTCTTCAGCTGTCTGTAAACCCGCCCGCGCACCGGACTCCATTCGTAGCTCGCCATCGTGTTCCGCATCGGCAATAACAGGCTTATCTTCGCTCTCTTGTGCATGAGCAGCTTGCTCCGCGGCAGCTGAGGCAAGAATGGCGTCTGCCGCCGCCTGCTCGGCATTTGACGGCGCTGCAGGCCCGCCTACCGTCTTCCAGCTGGATTTTTTCGATTTGCGGAATTCGGCCGAATGACCCGCACTAGCTATTGTGTATGGGGAGTCATCATCACCACCATCATCATCACCGCTGCCGCGCCCGTATCCATGGCTCCTGGACTTTATAGATGAGCTGCGGAGGTCTGGTGGGTCGTCGTCTGCGATTATCAAGCCACCCGATTCGGTGTCCCGGTCGGCGTGTTTACTTTTCTTTCGCTTCTTTTTGGGGCGGTCAGAGGTTGAGGGTGTGTCTGCAGTGAGGTAGTTTTTAGCTAGGTAGGCGGCTAGGGACATTGCGAGCGTGGATGTGAGTATTCTTGTGGTTTAGTTGTACGCTTGGTTTGTCCCCGTTCACAGCAATCTATGTAAGAGCTTCAGGACACGGAACATCAATTATCCGATAACTCACAAGATACGAATACGAGATGATATCAACTGTTTGTAAGGCGGGTTTATTTCCTGTGCTTGAATGGAGGCTTATCAAACATAACACACTCTACGAATTGGAATTCCCCGTCATGGCTCGCTCCGATGAGGCGGAGTGGTGGTACAATGCCGTTTATGATGCTGTACAGCAGATTCCCCGTGGTAAAGTGAGCTCGTACGGCCATATCGCATGGCTCCTCGGGCAGCGTGAGCTTTCATTCATTTCCCCCTACTTTTCCCACCGCCTATTTTAGATTCAGTCATATGTAATTTTGTTATAACGAGTGTTGGTGATTTCTATTCTTGCGATATTTAGCAGAAGATGTGTCCAGCTACAGATAGAACGTTGTGATAGAAAGGATTAACTTACTAGTTAAATATCTACGTTATACTGACATGACAGCCTTCTCTATTTAGCTCAACGGTCGCGCCAGGTAGGCATGTGCCTCAAATATCTCCCGTCCAACAGCCCGGGGACAGACCACTTCTACCACGACCAGAACGTACCGTGGCAGCGTGTGCTAAACGCCAAGGGAATAATACCTCATCGGTATGCATTCACAGTTTCCTTTCCATTGATCATTATACTTGTTATATCTCTATCTTGCATACTAAAATCTAGGGTAAAGTGGCCCCGGTTCTGCCGCGAGACAGGCGGCCGCACTTGGGGAGGAAGGGGTGGACGTGCATGTGAACAGCATGGGCGAGTATTCTGTTGAGCTGGGACGGTTTGGATGGTTCCCGGATCGCTTACCGCGGGAGGAGGTCAGTGACGCATCCGATGCGGAAGCGGAGGAAATTGAGAGATGACGTGCGTTGACATGACGGGAAATCAGAGAGTCATCAAGGACGGGCTCTAAGGCTTGGAGGCCTAACGCTTCCAAGATGGACGAAATAACTTACGCTTGAACATCGTACCAGAGGGGGATTAACGGGGTTCTACACTAATTAAGTTACCAGCGTTGTCTCAGACGGGGTGGAAGGCCGATTGCCTAAGAAGAGCATGAACCCTCCACCCTTGCCTTCTGAGAGTTTATAAGGAAACAAAAAAAAAAAAAAAAAAAAAGGTCCACGTTAAGAAGAGCGGTCATCATTATGTTACATTAACTACCTTTGTTGTAAATATCTAAATTACGTAGCTTTCCTTTATACCACCCCGGTTTGATATCAAGATAACAACTACAAGTCGGTTCAATAAAGATCCATTCTAAAAATGTTCTGGAAAACACAACTCAGGAGACAAAATCCGACGGGTGGTGTCAAACTTTTTTTTTTTTTTTTTTTTTTTTTTAATAATTATCAAGAGTCAAGCACAGCCAAGATGATTTGCCCGCGCAGTGTGACAACATTGGCTTAAGCCGGCTTCCAGGGTTGTGAGTCACGTTATTATGAGGAGATATGGATGTAGGAATGGAATTCCTGTCTGTGAAATGGGATGCTTGACTGTGTTGCTCTCCTCGGCGATTGGCTGGCTACGTAACTATGGCGAAGAGAAGATGGATGATTGCTGGCGAATGACTGGAACACGCGCGAACCATCGACGCCTGGCCCTGGAAGTTTGCAACCTGGAGTCATCAGTTGCGATCACGGCTTTTTAGCGCCATGCCTCTTGTTTGGCGGGGAAGATCCCGATGTATTATTATTATTGCGAGAGATTGCACGGTTCGCTTGCCCGGCGTTAGACTCAACGAAGGCCGCAGCAGCGGGGACCAAATGGGGGGAAGTCTCATAGCCGAGAGCCTAGCCGTAGAACCAGTTTGAGTCATTCGGGAAGATGATGTCGCAAGAAAAATCACGCTTGGAAGTATTCCAAGGTTTCAATCAACCCTGAGTATTCTATGTTATTCAGTCCAAGACAACAGATCACAATGAAATGTCGTGATAACTATTAATATATTATTATTATTATTACGAACCTAGTTTGTAGCTTGCAGTATTGTATTGACGCATCCAGTCGCGGCCAAGGTAGTTACCGATGTATATATATGTATGTACATTACATGTATAAGTTACGGAGTAACTTACTCCGTACGTTATTAGGAATAGAAATCCCCACCACCGCCACTACCAGCCACACGCTAGGCCCGAATAGGATAGCTTCTGTCAGGCGGGTTGAACCTTCTGTAAGTTTCCCTGTAACTATGTATTGTATTTATAGATCCAAGGCATGAATGACATGAACAACAGCTTCTATATAACCCATAATCCGCGCTTCGTCGTCTTCTTCTTCTTTTTATATTCCCTTATTCTTGATATCACCAACTTCATTCTATCAGCTTCATTCTACTACCACATACAACGGTTGCTATTGCTCCTGTACTGAACCAACGCTCTTTTGTCATCACCTACAGCTGTTAACTGAGACCTCCCCCTAACCAGCACCTTCTGCTATAATAACTATATACTGCCCCCAGATACCCGCTTCCTACAGCATCTTGTCCACCTATCAACATATTCGAGGCTATTATATAGATATACCTTCTCGTAAGCACCGGGTGACTCTGATATCCTCTGCTTATACTGGAGCATATCCTCTACCTTGTCTCTCGTTTCGTCTATCCACTTCATACTAGCTACTACAATCTTCATCGAAAAACACAGTCACCAGACCTCAACATGACTACTCAAATCTTCTCTCTACCAGAGTCTGATCTTCGCCGTGCTGCTACTGAGTCCAAACGGGTTCGTGATCATAACGAAAAATGGGCTCTGGGCTCCCGCGACCCCAATTTCACTCCACTAGGCCAGAAGATTGAGAATCCTGCTTATACCCGTATTCGCCCTATGCTATCTCAGGGTAGCAGGTAAGCCAGGCTCATCTCCTCTCCTTTTTCTGTATATGTAGCCCCTTGGCTAACAAATTTCACTCGCAGGGTTTGCAAGTCCCGTCGGCACCTTAACCAATCCGACATTAACAAAAGCTTCGCCGCTCAACGGGCCCATTTCAGCTACATCGTCGACCAAGTGCTTTACGACGACCACAACATCTCAGACTCCTCTACGGACTCCGACCACGCACCTGATCACTCCGAAGCTGTGAATGACCCAAACATCTTCTACTCCTTCGACGCACCCACAGGCCCCAGTCAGGGCACGGATATCCTCAGCGCTGCCCTGGCAAATGCCGTGAAGAAGTTCGAAAAGAAGGAGACCGAGAACCTGGCTCGTGAATACGAGTTTGTTGCCATCGAGGAAACTTCAAACAGCCATGGCGACGGATATCTGGCTGATGATGATTTTGAGTTCATCAGCCGTGCGGACTTGTAACTTCAATAACAGCATCGGCCGGCCCTAATGAAGCTGCAAAGCCTTTTTTTAACTTGCGCTTCAACCTAGTGATCGTTACCTATGATTCATTCTAGTGTCCCTCTTTGTTCTGATTTTACTTCCTACTACTTAGCGTGTTGTTTCAGTTTCGGTCATTAACCGTTAACGGGATGAAACCCTTTTTGTTCCACGAGGCTGGCAGCCATGTAAGTCTGTTGGGGATTTCATCTCTCAGCTTTTTTTTTTTTTTGGCTTGGCTTTTTTTCTCCGGCTCTTTCTATAGAAATTTGGTTCTGGCATATTTAACTACCCCTAGCGTTTATATACCTAGATAGACGAGAGATCTCCCGCGTGCATGGATGGAATTGGAACTGGATCTGGGATTGTTTTAGAACTGGACGAGCATCATGAGAGGGAGCAATCCGGCGCAATTTGCTTCTTGAGGACTTGAGTCTGTATCATGTAAGTACGGACATACTTTGGTATTCCGTACATCTATTTTTATTTTTATTTATTTATTTATTTATTTTTTTTTTTTTAGCATCCGAAGCGACTCCTACCCCTGAACACAATGGAAGCTTGATTGACGATGAGATTTTGAAACCTTCTGTCGCTGCATTCTCCAGCCCTGCCATAATTCAACCCAACGTCCATAAAGCTTGACTTGCTGCAGCTGGGCAAAAGCCGCTAAACACTGCAATACTAGCTAGATACTAATTCAGGTAGTGGAATAATCCTGGTAACTAACGGAAAATTGAGGGAAAATGCCCGGCCGGCAGTGATCCTGAATAATCTAAATTGCCCTTCTGTAATATCCTCATACTTTGCCTGGTTTTCGATAACTATCACCGCAAAAGAAAATGCACGCCTAGCTATACTTTCAGCAGCCCAACTCCCCAACTAGCATCTAAGCGGTTTAGTTGCACTGCTCAGGACCCTGCATTTCGGTAGCTTTGGTGGTGGGCGACGTCGCTAAGTTATCCCGCTGATAGTAGTTGTAATCAGTAGCTTCCCTCGCCGGCCTCACTTCTTCCCGCCAATCGCCACCAGCAGCCCCGCCTTCAACCATACATACGCACCGCAAACTACAAACAACCTGAAATTTAATATCACCGTAAATAAATATGAAAGAACGTATGCAAACGAATGCATCTATCAATCACATCCTGAGCTTCTCATATTCTGCCTGCCGTCTCGCCGGGCGTTATCCACGTGGACGAATAAGAAATCCCGTGGTAGCACTGGCCTCTCTCTAGGGCTCCGTTTGCTGAGCAGGGGAAGCCAACGAACATTTCTTGCATTAGGAACTTCTATGAGGGGCTTCCCGCAAATGGCACATGCCCCATGTAGTTTATGATTGCGCAAGTTGACAAGCTGCAGAATGCTTGTTTTGGCATGGATAGCACGTTCCAGACCTGGCAGAATGGACTGGGGGCTGCTGACGAGAGGTAAATTGCTCGAATTGAATGTGAGAAGTTCATATTACAGGTTTAACTTGGAACGGTGGAGCGTGTAGACCCGGTGTGTGCGTAGTACCCTTGCCTGCTCGTTCTATAGGATGTTCCCCAGATACCTGTAGGGCGTTCATGGTTCGGTCGACTTAGTATGCTAGTAAATCTAGCCCTTTTTCCACTAATAATACAACTAAGTCAGTAAAGAGCAGCCGCAAAACGGAATTTTTATATTCAATAATGTATAAAATCAAATAAAAATAAAGATAAAAATGAAAAATACGAGGTGACCATACCCATGACTTTATCCCACCTCACTCTCCCCTCCGAATCGGAGTTTGCATCTCGCATATACCAGAGATCCTCAAGAAAACCAAGCGCACTCCGCACATTTCCCATGCCATAGCGTAACCCCATTCGACAGAGAAGGATGCGTATGTTCTCTCTGTCAGCCTCCTGGTATGCCTCGCAACCCGCGCTAAACAGCGGCTGCAGAACAGCTACACCCGGACACGCCTCATCGAGAAAGTGCATGGACGAAATGCGGCGGATTATCTGGCCGACGGAACTCTGCACCAGGAGGTTTGATGATGGGAGGTTAAGAACACGCCGATAGAGCTGCAGAAGAGCGGCGTGGTGGTATGTTTCGTCCAGAGCAGTAAAGTCACTACGATGTACAGATGTGAGCGTGCTGTCAACGTTGGGACGGAATCGAGGCACTTTTGCGGTCAAGAGCATTATGTTGATCTCGTTGATGATTTGGTGACATCGGTCGATTATGGAGTTGCTGGGTTGTGAGGGTTGCGTGGTGCTGGTCGCATTTATGTTTCCAGGCTGATTTTGGGTGTATCCTGACTCCATTGTCAACCGGTTTATGTTCTTGAAAATGGGAACCAGAGACGACGGGAAGCCGGCCAGGTCATCAATTTCATCATGCTCGAAGATGTCTTGAATTAACAACCCTGCTCGGGAGCTAGGAGGGACTGACAGATTTCCACAGAGTAATGATACCGTTTCCATGGAGAAGTACCAGCGCCAGAGCAGTGAGGTGGCAGATGGCAGAGAATCCAAAGGGACCTTCACTGTCTTTAGGTGCTCTGATATCATTGCCGCTGCACCCTGCAGATGGAGCCTCCACGATCCAGGACTCCTCCCATCGGAGACTATCTCTGTGAAGCAAAGGGTCAAAGTTGTTGCTATCGTTGCGTCGTCTAGATGGAAGTTAGGCTGAGAAAGTACATTCTGCAGTTGGTTCAGGCTGGTGGTGCTGAGGAGGTCCAATTCAGTTAGGTTTTGTTCAATGCCTAGAGACACGCGATGCGTTGCTGCTAGGCTAAGGAGCGCTACCAATAGATAGGGCGTCTGGAGTGCCATTGGAACCAAAACAGCGCAGAAGTCCTGCTGTACCACCTTATGGCAGGAAAGAGCCCTGGTGGTGGAGGATATAAAATGGTCTAATAGGGACCGATAAGTTGGGTGAAGCCAGCTCAATAGATCAGGGTTCCTAATAATTTGGTTCCCTGCTGTGGTTTCTGAGTCAATATCTAGTTAGTTTGCGTGCCTCCCTCCTCATCTGCTTGACATAAATATCCGCGAAGTTCCAGAGGTGTTGCTCGGGATTGGGATTGATCATACCGGAATGAGTGAGAATAGTCGCCTTCGGATGAGATAATTGCCCTGATGATTCACATCCAGATCCGTACACAAAAGCTCTCCCGCTGAAGTCTAAACAAATGGGTTAGCCGTCACTTAAAATGTGAGTATGTCAGGAACACTGCTCGTACCAGATGAGGTCGAAACAGGCACCCGAGTCAAGCTGGGGTCCTGGCTTAGGCAATCTCCGAATCGAGATTTGCGGAATGGCCGTCCACCCCATAACAGCCGGACCTCGTAGGAGCATTCTCTGCCTGTTATTCTACAGCTTGAGCAGCTGGGTCGGGTTTCGTCACATTTGCGGTGACGGCGTCGGCACTCAGTACAGCCGGACCGAGATCTTCGTTTCTGAGACTTTTTCATAGGTTACTTTGTCACAGTGACAATTCTGGCAATTTGGCATCATCACACAGCATATGCCAGTTGACTCTGCTCTATTTATATTTGAGGGAAGACGCCAAAGTTCATGGCTTCCTGGCTTCCTTGGATGCGCTTGTTAGCCGTAGGCGCTTATATAGACAACAGGTTTCCGTTAAATTTGCCTGCTGGGTAAACACCCTTGTAGAGTACTTAGACGGCCATCGTTTGCCAAAGTTAAGTATCCTTATCAGGTTGAAGAACAATACAGAATAAATGCTCTTCTATGACTCTCAACACCCACCCAGTCGAGAAGAAAATAATTCCTCAATAACCTGTAAGTTAAGGACAAGTGAGGGGCCAAGTGGGATGTCACGTGGATTTACCCGCTTCTCGTTTGGGCAAATTAGCCCTAATTAAATCCAACTCCGACCTCATTCTCCTGAAATATCTTGCTCGTCTACTCTCTTGTTGTTATATTCCCTCCGTGCTGTCAGAGGGAGATTGAAAGTAGGACTCTTGTAACCTAGCATGAAAAACACTATCGACCCTCTTCAGCGTCCCCTTCTTCCTACCAACGCATCAGAAAGTGAGAACTTCAGTATGGGGGTCTACTACCGCAGCAAGGCGACCATCAACAAAGCTTGGACAATGACGTCCCCCGCAACAAAGCAGCCTATAGGGCCAGGACGCTTTCTCGGACCAGCGCATATATCATTGTGATTTCCCGGATCTTTGGCACAGGGATCTTTGCAACGCCCGGCATCATTACTAAGTCTGTTGGCAGTATTGGCCTATCACTCTGTGTATGGATGGTTGGAGCCGCTATTTCAGCGGCGAATCTGGCTGTCTGGTTAGAGTACGGTTGTATGTTGCCGCGCTCAGGGGGCCATAAAGTCTATCTTGAATTCACGTATCGATACCCGCGATTCCTCACATCAACCTTAGTTGCTGTCCAGGCTGTTCTCCTGACCTTCACGACGGGAAACTGTGTTGTGTTTGGTCAGTACTTGGTGTTTGCCCTGGGTATTGAAGCGACGGACATTAATAGGAAACTCTTTGCTGCTGGGTTGTTGACGGCCATTGTTCTCATTCACAGCTGTTTTCTTAGGGCTGGGATATGGATCCAAAATAGTCTTGGATGGATCAAGATTCTTCTTGTTCTTGTTATCGCGTGTACTGGTATCTATGTCGTCGCTTTGGCGCAAGGAACTCCTTCCGGTTCCGCTCCCCAAAACGGAGGATATTCCTGGGGCTCCCTATGGCAAAACTCTGACTGGGGCCTCTTAACTTTGTCAACTGCGATGTTCAAAGTCAGTTACTCCTATGCGGGATTGAATAATGTCAATACTGTTCTAAGCGAGGTGAAAGACCCCATACGGACATTGAAGGTCGTGGGTCCCGCGGCTCTTGTGTCTACTGTACTCTTATATCTACTCATAAACATTGCCTACTTCTGTGTGATACCGCTTGAGGACATTAAGCGCAGTGGAGAACTTACTGCTGCGTTATTTTTCGAAGGGGTGTTTGGATCAGGCTTTGGAAGGACGGCTCTACCCCTGGCGATTGCAATTTCTGCTGCCGGAAACGTCATGGTCGTGGCTTTCACTGCGGTAAGTCAACATGTTTCTAGCCCTAGGCTTTAGCCTCTGGCCCTCATCTAGTTAATAATATTGCTTCCCATCGTACAGGCTCGTCTCAACCAAGAAATCGCTCGCCAAGGTTTCCTGCCCTTTTCACGCCTCCTTTCAACGTCCAGGCCTTTCAACACGCCGTTGGGCGGATTTATAGTCCACTACATCCCGTCACTTCTAGTGATCATCCTCGCTCCCTCTGATGACGCATACAGTTTCATCCTTGATGTAGAAGGCTACCCGATCCAAATCATCACCTTAGCACTTTCAGTTGGCCTTCTCATATTGAGATATAAGCCCCCAGATCTACCTCGTCCGTTCAAAGCCTGCACCTCTGCTGTCTGGATCTCAATTGTCTTCTCCATCGGACTTCTTGCAGCTCCTTTCTTCCCGCCCAAGGATGGGAAAGGGGATGTGAGTTTCTTTTACGCTACATATGCGATCGTTGGTGTAGGGATGTACGTTTCCCCCCTCATCTCTGGTTGCCTGCTTATACCTTTCTATTTGCTAATGATATTGTAGATTGACCCTCGCTGCGGTTTACTGGTACTTGTGGGCGGTTCTCATTCCTCGCTGGAAGGGGTATGTTCTAGAGGAAAAAACAGAAATTTTGGAAGATGGTGTTAGTGTCACGAAGGTTGTCAGATTAAAAATATAATGGTTCTCTATGGTGTTTGGAAAATAGACTCGGGTGTTCGGGTGTAGGGCTTATAACGGATTCAAAGTTTTATTCCTATTTGTTTTCGGCTGATAGTTGATAACCAGTTGCAGGATGCTTATATAGATTGAACGATATTTAATACCTACCAAATACATAAATAGCCACTCCGGGATAGAGAATTATGAGATTCCAGTTCCAAACTCTCAATTCACCTCCCCGAAGTTAATATCGTTTCAACCATCTGGGTAACCGGTCATTCGCACATCACACTACAGCCAGACAGGTTTCGAGGGGAAATAACCTTGTCGTGGAGTGGAAGGTAGGGAAAAAAATAGGCGCAAAGCATGAGTCATTATAAATATACATTAAAAATTTGAGAATTAGCTAGCCGTACACCACAACGGGATATATAGAGGTCATTAACATTTAAAATCAAAGGGAACAACCAATGCCACCCCGCTAATCCAGAACGAGCAAACAAACCACCAAGAAAATCCCGTCCCAAACGCCATGCTAAACCAAAGGGAGAAAATAAAGCAAAGTAATGGATATTATCACCCAAGTCTTCGTTTAGACGATATTTCCGGGATTGTAGTACCCCATAGTTTGAGCTTGTACCGGTCATTCACCAAGCGAAATATGTCGATAATATACCTTCGCTCAAGGCTCGACTCTGGCATTACATCGAAGGCAACACGTAGAGGAAACGCCATCCGATTAACGAGGTTGCCTGGAATTTTACGGATGAAATACTCCATGCTCCGGCAAATATTGCATGCAAACTCGTATTGCTCTCTAGGTTGCAAAGAGGCCGATGGTCTCGTATCGGCTGCTGAAAGGATGAGATGGGAAGCATAGTACACACACATTGTATGGGCAATTCGTAGGTCTGGATACACTAGAGTGGTTGGGGTGATTATATCCATTGAAGTGAGGTCGCGGCAGCGGAATACAGGAAATGGGTCGCTGCCTTGGTTTGTTACTTCGGTGGGTTGGCGAGCGGTAGCTGTATCAATCCAATTTTTCTTCCATTGGCGTAGTCGCTGATCAAGGTCGCTGACCCAGGACCAGAGCATCCTTTGAGTAGCTGCTACTTCAGCGTAATTTATATAGCCCGAATTGAGACCTTCCATGAACCGATCAAATTGTGCGAGGTATGAAGGGATGTCCACCACTTGATCTAGGAGATGGTGCATCATGTCCTTGGAAGACGAACCGGCTGAGAAAGGTATAGTTTTCCATTCTTCTCTCGCGAGAAATGTCGGTCTTCGGGTGATTAGGGCTAGAGATACCTATATCCAGTTTAGTTGGTCACTCTATATTAAGGAGGGAAGCCGCAAATACCAATAACCTACCCAGTATGGTCGAAGTTCTGCGAAACAAGAATGATCTATGCCAAACATATGGTTCTGCGGGCCTCGGTACTCCAAAAGTTTCAGGGCTCCGTAGGCGTGATTCACCAGAGATTCACTTGTCGTGCGTCGAAAACTCTGTCGAACACGTGCATATGTTAGAGACATGGATATACGATCATAGGGTAAATATATCAAGGAGGGAAATCCATACTTCGAAACACATGAGAAGGCAAACAGTTAGTAGGATACCCTGGGAGTTGGTCTGGTGCATATTATATATAGCCTCCTGCAATTTCCGAAGCACAGAAACATGGATTTGGGAGCCAGTCCGTTCAATTCGTTGGTCACCGACCTCGTGCCCAAAATAGCTCAGGGCAACCGCCTTAAACGCATCGGACAGAACTGGTGAGAACATTCTTATGCCTGCAGCGGAACGAATGGTTTGCGACGTTCCGATGGTTTCGCCGTCGACTTCCGGGCTGAAATCGTCTAGAAAGCGGTTAAGAAAACCTTCCATCAAGAAATTTTTCTGTGAAACAGGGGTCATAAACGCAGCTGCGTCGCGTCCCCGTTTTCGCGGAGGAGGTTGTACTTTACGAGAATGTCAGCAAAAGAGTCTCAGGGTACATGCAACCGATGGTAGTACCTTGACTAAGGCCTTCAGATTCCCGAAAAGCCTGACCAATGTTACTGGCCTTGTTGCTCTCAGGTGTAGGGAGGGTCCTTAAGCAACTATCCCCACTCTCTGGTTTTCTACGCATTGCAAGGGAGACTGAAGGGATCGACAGGGAGCGCGTGGAGGAGTCATCACTATAGGCGTTATCGGCGGGTTCACATTTTAGCCCGGCTTTGGACTTTTTGAACTGTCTACATTCCTCATCATATACTTGCACTGCAAGCTGTTGGCATCAGCCATGAAAAACAATTGCTGGAAGAGCTTTAACCGCGGGTAGAGGGCAGGGCATGAACAAACCGCCACTTTGAGTATCACTAAAGGTGGATTCTGAGGAGAGTATCTGAAAATCTGCAGGAGAAAAAGGCTGCTTCGGTAGCGGCGGGGAAGGTACGGTTATGCCCTCCAGCAAAGTGCCCTTTCTGATTTGGGCAACTGTATTTGCCACGATATCTGGAGGCGCAGTGGCAATAGTATTAACAATTGCTTCTAAAGTTGCGTACTTTTCATATGGGACCGAATTGGCGAACGGGCTCTTCCGTAACGATGGATTTGGCGTATGACTGCGATCCTTTTCTACTGTATCAAGCTCTGAGCCAGGAACGTGGCCAAGAGCCGCCAGTTGTTGTTTTAACCTCCCAACTTCTTTCCTTAGGCCCGCAACGGCGTCAGCCTGGGTAATGAGGAAACGATCTTCGTTGCTGGCAAGGTATTCGCACTCGGAAGGCAGCCCGCGAACACAACAGGCGTGACATGGTTTTATTCGATCGCACTGTGAATTACTCGGAATTAGCTGGGTTCATAGCTCGAGGTGTGCTCTTGGGGAGAAAGGGGGGAGAGGGGGTCAGCCCACCTTGACCTTGCGAGTCCTGCAAGGAATACAGGACTGCTTGGCTCGGCATTTGCTCCTACCAGCCTCTGAGGATGGAGGCGCAACTTGAGGTTTTGACGCATCTTCCGCGGCCGTTTCTACGGGTGATGCCATCCCTTGCGTAGGGCCTGCTAAAGAATTAAGCCCCAACGGATTCGCTATGATGGTTTTCTCTTCTTTATAACTGTGTTAAATTACTTTTCTGCTTCCTCCTTGTCGGCTGGGTCGTGGTGGGCTGATTCTGGGGAAGAACGTGTAGGAAACCGGCCTGGAGGTAAATCATCCATCCATGACTGCACCGCAGTGGAGTTGACGTTCTACATATAAGCCTGGGTACGTGGTTAGGGGGAGCAAGTTGTTGTTCGGGGTCAAAGCTTAATTCCACATAAATGGACAATCAATGACACTAGCCCTAATATAATTAGTATACAGCGTAGTGCTATAATGATTTAGTCAGTCTTGGCATTCAGACCATCTTCTCATCTGACCTACGCCGTATATAATAACTATAGTAACTAGATGACTAATAATACATCGAGTCATCCCAACCGCTGTACGGAGTATTGTAGGTTAGTATACTGCTATCTGCGCCACTTTATCACCAGCCGAGCATGTTGGCGCAGCGGAAGCGCGCCGGGCTCATAACCCGGAGGACCTTGGATCGAAACCAAGACATGCTAAAGAAAGATTCCTTTTTCCTTGCTTTGAAATTAAATCTCTTGCTTACCTCACATAATTCTCTCTCTTCTCTCTTTTTTTTTTTTTTTTTTTTTGATCTCTGCGCTTTCTGATCCACGAATGATATGTGATGGTAGCTACATGTTACTCTAGGAAAGAAAAAGAAGGCGGAACTCAACGCAGAATATCAAGACATCAGACTGACTAGGAAAGAATGACGTGCAAATGAAACCTCTGCACTCTCGCGGAACCAACATGTATGCTGCATGCTCGAGAAACCGAAAATCAACCCCCAAACCCCACCAAAAAAAAAAAAAAAAAAAAAAAAAAAAAAAAAAAAATCAAAGTCAAAGGAACAATGCTAGCCCTATCCTATCCATCGGTGCCAACACTCACTCATCTTCCAAAAACCTATTTGCCTCCTAACATTCACACCCCAATCCTAACAAGAATACTTACTGCACTTTTTTCTCCTCCACGCCCGTGCTCAACTCCGCCTCAATAATACCTTCCCCGACAACGCTCACCTCCCAGGTACCCCGCTGACGGCCCCAGAACACATCCCCCACCGACGAATCGTGCTGACTCATCCGCCGCGCATCCTCTTCTAGTGATTCCCGCGTGACTGTCGACTTCTCCTGTCCATTGTCATGCTGAGAACTATGCGCATGGCGTTCCGTATCCACACCCGCCACCCCACTATCCTGCTTCTCCCGCGCCGGCGTTGCGTCGAAATACTGCTTACGCACTAGATACCGCTCCACACGCTCCTGGCGCGTGGCCGGTGTCTCGATCTTGGATATCGCTACCTGCACCACCAGCCGTATGATAAGGTATATATGCTCCGCGAAGAATATGACAAGCAGTAACACCCACCCGGTAATCTGTGAGGAGCTGCCATCCGGCCCAAGCCCGTCGTTGGAGAACATGTACACCAACGCCGCATTCGTGATACTGCCCAGCCACGCGAGGAACTCGATCGACTGCACCCAGGAGCCGATGCTGTCGGACCGGAAGGGGACGGGCCGGCGGCATTCTATGCAGATCTTGACCAGGTCAGAGCGTAGCTCGACCCAGTTGTTTACCAAGAAGGAGAGTGGGACAAGCGGCCAAATGACGGAGAAGAGGGAGAGGTAGCCGAATTGGACACACATTTCGCGCAAGTCAGCGGCGACATCGTATTCAGTGAGTGAGGCCTCATCGCGGACGCGGGTGAGGAATTCAGATTCGCTGGGGACGTCTTCTAAGATCGCTGCAGCGGGCGTAGCGGAAGCTGCTTCAGGCGTGGACGAGCCACTGCTTTTCGTCGATTTGGCTTTTTCTTGAGTGTATTCTTGGTACTTGCGCATGAGCTTCCGTTTGGCATATGGGAGGACGATCTCGAGGCCCTGGTTGACGACCTGCGCGGTGACGGTGAAGTAAATTACTTGCTTGCGGAGTCGGGATGGGTTGATCTGAAAGGCCGATGCGGACTTCTGCAGCTCGTCCATCTCCGATGATGTTGTAAATGGGCTGACAGTCAGGTGGAATACGTCGAGATATGGGACTATCACTCGGCCGCATGGCACGTAGACGAAGGCTGTGAGGAAGATTGGGAGGTAGGATGTGATGAAATTCAGAACGAAGATTTTGTGGGTTAGCGCCACGTCGTAACTGTCCTGCGTCTCGTAGTTCTCGTAGTCGGTGAGACGCTTCGCGATGTTGGTTAAAACGGCGGAGATAGTGGGAACAAATAAAGAGAGCAAGATTGTGGGGATGAAGACGAGATATGACTTGAAGGGCCCAGCATAAATTTCGGAAATGAAGATCTCAATCGCAAAACAAGTAGCTATTAGAGTACCCAATGCAAGAACTGCGACAATTGCAAAGGGTGCCTGGAGAAGCTGTCTGCCTAGACGCGTGGTTGACGGGAATAGCAGCAATTCCTCTCCAGTCGCAGGATCAACGGATTTCAAAAGATACTGGAACTCCCTTCTCTTGGTACGGATTTCGGAAACATTTTTCACTTGCCAGCGAATCCGCAGGTCTCTTTCCTGTCGCTTCCACATTTCGGCAAACAGGACGCATGACAGACAGTTCACGATCGCATAGACGATGGAGAAATTGCCCAGAAGAACCCAGCACGCAACACCAAAGGCGGCGGGAAAGACGAGGAATGAAAAATACGACTGCAAGAAAGCGAAGTAGAAGCCGATCTTTTCACCGTGGTGGTTCCGGATTTGGTCGAGGTCATCCGCCGTAAGGAATGTTTTACTGGTCCAGGCTTTTATCCACGTCTTGTTGAGGAGCTTGTCGTGCAATGGGAAGAATGAGTCTACATGGTTCCACTCGCCGTATTTGGGAGTTATTCCTGCACCGCCTTCGTTGCTGGGAGCAGTGATCATATTGTACACCATGAGGAGCCGTTCTGCGTCGGTCTCAGGGGTATATGAGCCCTTCGCATTGGGATTTGGTTGCGAATTGCGCACACCATGCAGCCAATCCCGTACCCTATGTATGTGTGGGCAGGTTAATTTGAAAAAGCGCACAATGAGTTCATAAATCAGACCGGAACGGAGCGTACCTGGATCGATATATAGCTTCACCCAAGGATTTCTCTTGGGCCTTTACAAATATCAGAAGGCTCTGGTCTGTTCCGGGACGCACCTCCGTCTGCAGCCCGACATCTGATAGAACTCGGATGAGCTTCTTGAACTGCTCCTTAGCTTCATTTTTGTCTACGCCCGTCAGCTATGGGGTTTATCTTGTACTAGTAAAGACTGGAAATATTTCACACGAACCAACTTTGGAGAAGCGGTAGAGCACGACATAATCCACCTCGAAGTTCTCCGTCAGCGTGTTTTGGTGAGGAATGCCAGCACCCATGGTGGGCTACTACCAGGGGCTAGTGTACGCCGCACAGATATGCGGCTACTGTAGTAATAAGTTCATAACGGGAGGGATGTGTGGTATGTGTGGCGGGAAGTGAGTGTGGACGTTGTGGATGTTGATGCTCCCGAGCTCTGCCAACAAATTCCCTGTTTCGAGCCTAGCGTTGTGCCAAGACCAGATCCTCAGCTACATAACTACGTCATCGGCAGCGGGCCGATCGAGCTAGCCCAGTATGGACTGGTTAGGGCTACGCGGGAATGGGCCCTATAATAATTAATAAATGTCTCCCCGGTTAGTTGAAGAAGTGTATCCTGAACACCTGAGAAGCGGAATCAGTAAACTAAGCAGGGGTGGGAATATCAAGCTTTAATCTGTGGTGTAACTTAGCTCCCAAATTCTGCCTATGTTTGCAGAGATCAACATCTCTAGCGAGCAGAGTCATTCGAGGTTAACAGTCAATCTGCAAGACGGCAGTGACGCTGAAAGGGGCCAAATTTTATTTCCATGTTTCCCATTGTACTATACGATGCTAGAGCAATCGACTTAGCGAAGAGCAAGGAGGACAAGACCTCGTTTCCATGCCAATGCGAAAGGGAATCTGCAAACCTCCAGACCTCCCACCCCCTCTCAGGCAATAGACGACAACCGCTAATTCTAAACCCATCCTCAGTCAAACTCAGTCGGCTTTGGCCAACGCAGTTTCCCCTGCAGCTAGATTCTAGCTAATTAACCACTAGGGATCAGTCTTCCGCCGCCAGCTTCGTCAACTCCTCCCCATCCACCATCATCTTCATCCACTCCTGGAATGATGGAGTGGCAATTGGAGCAATGATGCCTGGGATCGGAAAGATTTTCAAACAGAACAGATACCCTGCCGCAAGGGAGTCAGTCTATAAGCGGCGACGCAGCAGACTTTTGTCATAGTTAACCCTTGTTGCTGCCCCTTTTTAATAGACATTGGTCATTGCATGATCGCCGGTTATAGCAGAGATTTCCAGGTTGTAACTCTATTAGTTATGTGCCCGAGTGAAACACTGCCCGGCAGTTCATGCCGCACTTTCTCAGCTTTTCTATTAAATGATTCTTCTGCTGCTGTTGGAACATTTCTAAACTGTCTAAACTTTCTGACTATGAATTGTCCATAGTCTTTGTTTCTTTTTCCTAACCGTTGCCTTTACTTCTGCTGCTTTTCTTTCTTCTCCCCCCTTGGAGTCAACACCGCTATCATACATAACAAGTAGCCTGCACTGCCCGTACGGGGGGTTCGAGGATATGATGATTACCTGATGATTCGCAATGACTCAGAACTTGCGGAACCGTGTGGATGCGGAGCTTCTCGGCCTCTGTGATATCCTCCTGTCTTCCTGGGGATTTTTTCCTGCCGTCATCAAACTGACATGTCGGCTCTTAACTAGCTACGATGGGCTCTAAACAGGAACTTCGATGTCATTATTCCTCAATTCAAAACATTTGCTATTGCATTTAGCATCATTGGCCTTGTGCCATCGATTGTAGCCGCATTATCTTTCTCACTCCCTGCCGGACCTGTGGGTATGGTTTGGGTGCTTTGCAGATATAAACTCGGTGAGAAAGTTGAACATGCGCCAGTTCACAACTCGGTGCTATGATCTTTCAGGGCGAGTGGCTTTATTTTTGTTGTTGGGCTTGCGATTGTAAGTCAACATCTATGCTGCCGTGCGCTACCTATAACATATTTTCCAGTCCGATCTTGCATCGTCTCTTCCCACATCTGGTGGTCTATATTGGTGGACACACTATCTCGAGCCGGAAAAGTTTAGAAAGCCACCCAGCTTCCTTGTTGGATACAGCAATACCATTGGTCTCATTGAGGAGATATGTTCCATTGACTTGTATGAATCCTTATCTCCCATCAGACCCTTCTATGCATTTGGTTCCTACTGACAATGCACAGATGGGTTCGCTCTGATGCTCTTGTCCATTCCTTCCATTGCATATGAATGGTCGGCGTCCTCACCAGCTGTGTATGGAGTTTTTGTGGGATGTGTGATAACCCATGCAATTGTGGCCACATTCGTTCAAATATCATGCACAGAATCCAAACTGGTGTCATCATGGCCAAATTCACACTGGTCATAGCCACCATAATTGCCTTGCCGGTTGGGAAATCCAGAACTGCACAGGGATTGAATTCTGGAAGCTATGTGTTTACTCATGAGGAAAATCTCTCAGCTTGGCCTACTGGTTGGGCCTTGATGCTTGCGGGCTACCCCCAATATGGACAATTGGAGAGATGGATTCATATGCTCATATGAGTGAGAAGGCAAGCAATGCAGCAAAAGCAGTTCCTTGTGGCATTCTGGGATCTATTTCTCAGAAGCATGTTGGATCTTTGAGTTTATCACAGTTTGTGTGATAGTGACTTCAATGAATCAGGAGATTAGAGCCTAGATGGACACTCCTTTGAGTAGCCGATGGCTTAGGTCTGTGCTGCTGTTGATTCATAATGCTCTAGGAAAGACCGCTCTTGGCTTCATGGTGGTTTTGACATCCCTTCAGTATTGGATGGGTTTGAGCTTGGTAAGGCCATGCAATTCAAATCAAATATAGGTAGCTTCTGTAGAATTGATAGCTTGTGGCTGCATCACGGCAAAGTTGGGCCTTCGCCCGAGACCGTGCACTTCCTTTTTCCAACTCTTTTAGAAAGCTTCAGACGCAAAGCAGCTTGCGTTTCCAACCAATACGAACAGTCTGGGATGTGCATTCACAGCTATCATCCTCGGCGTTATTTTTTTTGATCAATTCGACGGCTGCTAACGCTCTCTTCCCGCTGGGTTCTTCGCGAAATGCTTTAGCATGGGCCACTCCTATTTTCTACTGCGTTGCCTAGGGCCAACATAAATTTAAGCCAGGTCCTTTTGGTTCGCTCTTGTATCCCGCATTTGAAATTTCAATCTGCATGTTCCTGCTACCAAGGCCATCTCCAACAGGTAAATGGTTCAGACGTTATGGTCGGGGGGAAAATGAACACAAGCGACCAATGTTCAATAAGCATTGCAATTTAGTGCTCAATGGGACTAGGAGAATAGGGCTTCTCTCACATGTTCAAAAAAAAAAAAATGCAATTTGATTTGATTTGATATCCTTTTTGGGTCTGTTGGTTGTTCAATGGTAAAAAGCTATAGGAGGAAAAATATGAGTGATGCATTACTTTTGACCTCGCAAAGGATAGTTAAGGACTCATCTGCGTCACTCTAGAATACTAGAAAACACAATCACGGGCTCGATTTGAATGTAATACACTATGGAATGATGATAAGGCAAAATACCATGAACTAGAAACCCCCTTCGGGGTTGGGACTGCCCCTGAATAGCGAATGATTTAACTTACCCTTATGCCGCGTTCGGTTCCGCTTGGGGTAGATCAGGTTTCCACTTAGGATAGCCCCAAGCAATGGTTATAGCTTGCTACTCCAAAGCTGACTCCGGCGACCAAAGGGACTTTTGCTGATGCCAAATATTAATGATATAGTTAAGAAGAATAGAAAATATCCGGGTTTTCGTTGGCTTGTGTAGTAGCTCAGCAGATTTTAAAGTGGGAGAGAGAGAGCGAGCCACATCTCCTGCACAGCGCCCATGTATTCGCCACATATTGGCAAGGGGCGGTTACCCGGGCGCTCAACCCATTCAAATGAGAAATTGGTGTGGCTATGAGGACTACGGAGAAGTGGAGAGTCATGACAAGTAGAGTGTACTGGCAAGGATAGAAGATGTGCTTATAGGGTGCGCGATTTCGTGGTGCCTGAATAAGATCACTGTCTCCCATGAACGCGTGTTGTATCGATTTCAAGCAAAAGTTCTCTCACGTTTGACGGGACTTGGCGTTTTAGGATCATCGCGATCCCCGTGCTCTGAAGTGGAATGCAGAGCAAGTCGCCTCGGCTGCCAGTCGTCTTGATTTTTCTTTGGTTTTCGATGACTTATGTTGGCATCTTGATTAAAAGCGTGGTTGGACGGGGGATCGAAATAGTGGCCATGCCCATATGATGGAAGTCCGGAAGAATAGGGGATGTGCGACTGCTGTTGGTGCATTGATTGGGATGGATAGGGCATGTATGGATGCGACGTCGGGGAAGGGGGGTTATTTGACTTGTTGCGAAAGAAGGAAAAGGTTAAATTTGAAACGGCGAAACACGACGTTATCGAGGCGATGAAGAAAAACTGTGAATCCTCGTTTAGCAGAAGTAAAAATATAACCAGTCTAGTTGTAGGAAATATGTTTCATACCATAGTTTTAAAACTTATCGGCTCGATAAAACCGTTGAAAATTTCCGCCAGAGTCTGCGCGGAGACTTTGGCTCTCCCCACTTTGGCAGGGTCACGGTTCATGCATCTCTCCCAGTTCTCACAGATGGCCTCCAAAGCAGGTAATCTCCGTCCATCTTCGCCGCCGCATCGATTTTCCATATAGTTTTTCGCGCAAACAGCCATATCAGCAAGAATATCGGCGGACACCTTTTCGCTCTCCCGGTCGACGTCTGCCTGAATCGCAAGTAGGAACGCGATAATGATGTAGAGCGTTAGTAAGGCGAGGACAAGATTGAACATAAACTGAGCGTAGTATGAAAGAATGCGAGGTATGTGCGGATGTGATTCTAGGAAAGTGAAGAGGCGAGAAAAGAAAGCGAATTCAAGCCCCTGAGGGACGTTTTGCTTGGGTGTCCGGGAATGCGCCGCGTCTTCGCTGTTACTAGGTTCGTTGTTGGCGCTTTCATCACTGGCCCTTTGTCGCTTCCTATCGATTTCACGGTCTCGACGTCGCTTTTTATGGACCCTGGTAACAAGGACGTTCGAGTACTTGGATTTCGGGATCTCACCCCGTCCTGGGCTGGGTGCGAACCGTCCGTAGAAATTAAACAGAGAATTCCTCGTGTCTGCTCTGCCTCCCTTTTCGGGCGTTTCATCATTATCTGCATTCTCTGGAGAAGAAAGGTTTTCCGGACCAGATGAAAAGTCGACGTCCGCCTTATGGCGAGGGGTCATAAATGGAGAGCTGCGGGGCCCTGTGGTGGACGAAGCGGGCGGTTGAGAGAAAAGGAAGGGCTGGGAGGATGGCTCACGCAGGGCCGGAGTTGACGACTTTGCCGGTGAATCGAAAAGGCTATAAGGACCTTTAACAGTCAAGCAACCACAGTTAGTAAACGGAATAATATGCGTAAGTTTGAAGCCATTTCAACATCAGTAAGCTCACGTTTCTTGTCCTTGGTTCGATTCTGATGCTCCAATGCGAGCTGGTAGAATGGAGATTTGGTATCTCCAGTGGTACGGCTCTGCCATTCGAAGTCCATGGGTGTTTCATTTGCTCGTCTGTCCATGCTTATTGACCCTGGAGGCAAAAGATGATTCCTAGAGTTGCAGGATGATTGTCCAGCGAAGGATTTGGCTGGAGGTTGAAGTTTGAAGTTTGTTGATGGCTGGCCCGACAACCGGGGGATATTTTAGTTGGGACTAGCCGCGACTCTCCCAACGTGGGTACTTGCGGCCCTACCCAATAGTACTCCGTAGGTGGTAACTTAATCATTAACAAAAAACGCTGTAACGTGAGCTCACGTGCCCCCATCAAAAATCCGTAGTGGCGCCTGCTCAGTGGCATTGTCCTAGCAATTGCTCCGACCACCACCCCTACTACCGCCTCTACCGCCCCACAGCACCCCCTATCACTTCCACTCCATACCTCTACCCCCCATCTTACCACTCACTCTCTTTTACCACTTCTACCACCTCTACCTCTACCACCCCTTCCACCTCTACTCTCTCTATCACCATCACTGCCTCTACCGCCTCACAGCACTCTCTATCACTTCCACTCTCTATCTCTACTCTCATCTTATCATTCTACTTCTCTCTTACCATCTCTATCACCTCTCTCACTTCTACCATCTCTATCACCATCACTGCCTCTATCACCTCTCTCTATCACCTCTCTCTATTACCTTTTTCACTCTCTAGTCTCTCTATTATCACTGCTATCTCTACTGCTCTGCAGTCTCTTCTATCACTTTCACTATCTCTATTTCTCTCTTACTATCTCTACCACATTTTGATCTCTGTGTTTATAGTATATAGTTACTGCTAAGTACTCTGTAATAAAGTCTCATATGATGTCATGTGCATCTCTTTGAATTCATGAATGAGATTGAATAGCTGACTCTGCAGTCTGTACAGCTCTGATTAATCTGATAATAGTGATAGAGATGATACAGAGTGAAAGAGAGTAGTAGAAGAAGTAGAGGTGATGATGTTGGTGATAGAGAGTGAAAGGGGTGAAAGAGGTGGTAAGAGTGAGTAGAGATAGAGGGTGAAAGTGGTAGAGAGAGCTGCGGGGCGGTAGAGGTGGTGGTGGTGGTAGAGGAGGTAGAGAGTGAAAGGGGTGGAAGAGGTGGTAAGAGTGAATAGAGATAGGGGGTGGAAGTGGTAGAGGGAGCTGCGGGGCGGTAGAGGCGGTGGGTGGTGGTGGTAGAGGGGGTAGGGGTGGTAAGGGGTGGTAGGGTAAGAGGGGGGTAGGGGTAGAGAGTGGAAGTGGTAGAGGGGGCTGCGCAAGCAGCAAAGCGAGCGTAAGCGAGCATTTGATGCTTGTAGTACGGAGTATATTATTAGTTAACAGAATTTCCCACCAAGATTAGTCCGTTACGGTGTAAATAGATGTTCGGAGCTTCGGAGCCCGGAGGCTCTGATTTGTCAGCTGCCGGCTGCTGAGTAAGCCTCCCGCTCCCGATTTGGCGACTTCTTAATAATCCAATGATTCATCCGCTGCTGACTGATCCGTATTCTTCTTCTTCTATACAACTGGCTCGACTCGGCCTTGATGACAGCGACAGCGAGGTTGATATCCGCATATTGGCTTGTTCATCGATCGATAGTAGGATATTGTGCTTCCAGGTGGGCTATTTGCAAACACACGCAGACATACACAGGGACAGGGCCCGCCTACAACCTCCTCCCGTAGCCCCGTTGCTGACTACGCCTCCGCCCGCCGATTAAATAACACCTTACTCATCGCCTCTGCCTCCTCCATTCGCCACCCACCAAGATCCTCCAGAGCAAAAAGTATCTCGAGAGATCTCCTCGACTTGATTATGACCCTGCAGCACGCGCTAGCTCCAGCGCCCCATCCCCAAATGCAAGACCTCAAGAACCAAGTCCAGGTATGAGTCCTCTCCTTTCCCTGTCCACTGGTGCAATTGTTTTCCGGACATTTTATTAATTAAATTGCCCTCACAGGACCATGCTGATCAGGGTGAGCTTCCGTCTTTCATCTATATAAAAAAGTACTCCATAGCTAACAGCTATGATACCAGTCCTCCACGACCAGCTCCTGGCTGCCCAAGCCCAACACCTCCATCAATCCCACCCTCACCCCCATTCTCACGCCCACCACGCTCCTCCTCCGCCCCGTCCAACCCCCGGCGCATCGGCCGCCTCCCCGCGCGACCAAACAAACACAAGTAACGCCAACGCCGCAAACATCACCATCGACCCCGCCATCGCTGGCCCCTCTGCCATGATCCCTCCGACTGCTGCGCCGCCCACGGCTCAGGGTCAAGCACCCGGGCCCGACATCCCCATGGAAGATCATACGGACGGGCGTAAAACTTATGGCAAACGCGAACTGTCCACCTCCAAACGCGCCGCGCAAAATCGGGCTGCCCAGGTATGTACTTCACACCCATCATCTTACCCTATCCTACCCCTCTGCGCCACTTGCCGACGCGACTTCTAACACGTAACGTAAACAATCCATAGAGAGCTTTCCGCCAGCGCAAGGAAGGCTACATCCGCAAACTCGAAGAACAAGTAAAGGACTACGACCTTCTCGTCGAAAACTACAAGGCCATCCAGGCCGAAAACTATCAGTTGCGCGAATACATCATCTCCCTCCAATCGCGTCTCATCGATTCACAAAACGAAGTCCCCGAGCTACCGGGGAACATTGACCTGTCCCAGCCGCGGAGCGATCCGCCCGCACCTGCCATTAACGCCGCTACTACCTCCGCCGCCGGTGCCGCTGGAAACGTTGCTACCACCACTGCTGGCAGTGCAGGGGCAGGTGGGGGCGACCAGGCGGAGGTTAACGCGTTGAACCGCATTGCCGTGGCTGGGCTTGGAATGCGGAAACACCAGCATGAGGAGGCCGCGTTTTTAGGGAATAATACCAACGATAACACTGCGGGCAATAATGCCAATGTCGGCGGCGCGAATGTGAACGTGAATAATGGGAATATGAATGTAAATCCGGAGGCAGATTCGCCGTCAAAGAGGATGCGGTTTGATGGGTTGCCGGATGTGGGGATGGGCGTTGGCATTGGGGATGGTGTTAAGGGGGATGTCACGTCGTGACCATGGCCGTAACTGTGATGTGGTCGCTGTGGCAGCACGGTAAATTTGGAGATCAGGCGGGATCCATTTCTCTTTTCCCCTTCTCCCGTTTTGTGTATATCACAAATGTGGCATGGTATCCCCAACACAACCCTGCCCACCTGCCCATGCCCATACCCATACCCATCCCGTTTCAAATCTCCTGGCCTAATACTTGTCCTGTAATCCCTCTTTGGCGTTTGGAGGTATATTTGTTTTTCCTTATTCTTTTCCTCACGTCTGGTTTGTCCAATCAAATTTATCCTATCGCGTGTCCCATCTCATCCTTGTCTGGCACACAACATATCCATCCCGGCTCGTTTTCATTGTTCATTTTCTCCTTTACTTATATTTTGGTACTACCGGCTATCCCCTTCCTGCTAACACCCAGTGGAATCTGGTATATCCGTTCCTGTTCAGCGTTCTCCACCCCTACCTTCTTACCCTCCATATGTAATCGCTTCACCCCGATAATTCTGTTTCCCTGTTCTGGCTGGTTTCCTTCTCCTGTTGCGCAGGTGTTTGTTCCATTTCCTTTCGCCTAGCCTGTCTGTTGTAAGTACTTGTGCACGTATGTATCTATCTATTGGATCTGAGCATCCCGCGTTTGATCTGCTCTCCGGCTCTAACGCCGGCTCGAGCTCTTGAGAGCCATGACTTCTGGAGTGCGTGGGAGGGAGCTTGGCGTCTGCTGCGGCGTTTGGAGGGCATTATGTTATGTTTCTTTTGTCACTAGCTTTATTAGTTTATTTCTTGTCTTCCTTTCTACCTTTTTCTTTTAAAAAAATATCTCTTGGTATTTCCTAAACGTGAAATTTTGTGATTTGTACCTTAATTTTTGGTGTAGGAGGCATTTCTTGCTTTTCGATCCGATCTAGAGAGACCCAAATGAACTCAGTTTTGCGAGGGGATGCTAGTTAGTAGCGAAAGGAGAGCGCTCTATATATAGCTTGTTGATCGTGGCGCGCGGGGGAGTTGACCAAAACTTTACAAATTTTCACTACTTGATTTTTTACCTCTTTTCGTCGTCTCTTTTGTGACTTGAGTGAGAATGGAATGTCCCGGTTTTCATGAGCAGGACTTATCATGCAAGGAACACGGGCAGCCGTTAATTTATCTATTCAGCCTCCAAGAAATGGACATAGTAGAGGATAGTTAACTAAGGTAAAAGTCGTCAAATCCCATTCTTATAGTTAGCACCCGAATTTTAAATCCCATGCCATCCCGTCCCATACTCCAAATCCCATCCCGATATCAAACCACATTTGCACAAGATGAATTAACATACCTACGCATACCCTGCATTTCCCAAATTGTGTTCCTATCACATCAAGCACCATTAGCAAATTCAACCATATAGAACAACAGCTTAAACAAATGCAAAGATGGAAATGACGAAAGACATACCTTAATATAATCTCCCCCTTTCTCCAACCATTCCTGCCTACTAACCGCCGCACTCTGGAACTCGCTACCACCAGCCCACTCCGCTGCACCCCTCCAAGCATCCAACATCGAATCCCCCGCTTTCCTAACATTCAACACCGACCCCATCTCCACCGGTAACACCGTCCGAAACTCCGCCGCAAACCTCTCCTCAAACCCTTTAAACAGCGAATTACCCCCCGTAATAAACACATCCCTCAACAACTTTGCCCGCTCCTCCCCCGCCGAAAACCGCTGCTGGTTAACAATATCCGCCGCAATTTCCACGAGACCCGCTTGGTCCAGCCCAGCAATCGCCGATGGCTGGAACAGGACTTCGGGCACCCGTATGCGCTCCACGTTTAGATGGAGCTGGTGCGCCTCGCGCGTGCTTTCCGGATCAAACGGCCAGGGACCCCGTAGGAACATGTGGATCAGACTCTTGGTCCAATCCGACTGGGCGTCCAGGGTGTGATTCTCCGTGAAGTGCGGGTCATGCTCCAGGAGCTGCTGTTCGATCGCGCGGAGTTGGTTGGGGATGTCCATTTCGTCGTTGTCGTCATCGTCGGAGGCGGCGCCTGCTGCGTCCGGGCCCGTGGCGACGGTGCGATAGACGCGCCAGTCGTCGTCATTGGCACCGAAGGTGTCGTCGTCTGCACCTCGCCGACGTTTCTTGGTGGGTGTGTCGGAGGCGAGGTTTGCGAGGGTTTTCATGCGCATTTGGCTTGCAAGGGATTTGCGGTTGCCTAGGTCGGCTTTTAGGCGCTCTCTCTCTTTCAGTTTTTGGAGAAGGGCCTATACGGTTAGAAATTAATATGCCGTTTTGGCTCTATACAGGTGGGGTAGGGGACCTCTTCCCCGCCCCTAGGGGTAAGGTACATACCTCGCGAGCTTGCCTCCGCTCCTCAATCCACTCTTCAAAATTATTTTCACGCTTTTCATTATCCAGCCGCTCTTCCTCAGCCACCCGGGCCTTCTCCATCTCCTTCTCCGCCTTGGCACGTTGTCGCGCTTCGATGTTCGATTTCATGAGTCGTTGGTGGCGCTTCTCCTTTAAACCGGCCTCATCTAGCTCTTCGTCGGGGATATCCAATAATGGGAAGGTGGCTTCCTCCTGTTCCTCTGTTTCCTCATTTCCCAGATCCTTATTGCGGGATTTCTTAATGGACTTCTCGAGATCGCGTATTGTGCGCTCCAGATGTGCTTCGTCCTTCATATCTTCCGCATCGAGGATGCGCTTGACTTCTTTCTTTGATTCGGATGCTAGTCCCTGCTGTAGGTCCTTGTAATACTCCAATTCTTGCTCCTTTTTCATTAGTTTTTCCAGCCGCATCTTCGCAGCTTGTTCCTGTAGCCGTCTGCCGCTTTCTTTTTTCCTTTCTGCAATTCTCGCCAGCTCTTCTTCCGTCTTCTCCACGACAACATGTTCTGTAAACGGGTATTGGATGACACGGTCGCGCTCCTCCAAACCTGTCCAATCAAGATATCCCGATACCTCGCGGTCGTAGTCAGTCGAAACATAGCAGTGTTCATGGACCAGTTGTGTCATTTGATGCTCCGTCATGCGGTCAGGGAAGGTAGGGTATTTCAGTTTTAATAACTTCATCATGAACTCGGCTGCTTGTTGGCCGCCCCAATTCAACCGTGAGGAATTCGACAAGAGCGCCTTGGAGTTAACAACGGGGATGACGTGCGTAGAGGAGTGAGAGGATGAGATTACCAGCCCGTCCGTTCCGCGGTTATATCGGTATGAGAAGAGAGAGTCAATGCCGTAGGCGACTGAGGGGGCAGAGTAGCACTCAAAAAGAATTTCATTCATCACTATTTCCCGTTAGACCGTATATGAGAAGTAGATATATATGTAAAGAGTATATGAGGCATACTTCTCCTCGTGTAGCCCAGGTTAGCAATAGGCTCTGTCAGGACAATTGGCCTATCAACACCGCCATTCGCCCCGTCCACCCCCAGCTTCAGGAATATATAATCCAGCACGCCTTCCATGACGTCCCAGTTGCCAACGATATTTGTTCCCGGGTCGAAAGCATTCCGCACCTGGCCGCGCGTGGTCGCATCGACGTAGGCATCATATCCCGCAAAGTGACACGTCCGGTTAACCTTGCGATCGCGGTACTTGGCCATGACGGGCGGGATGATGAACCGAGGGGATTTGTCAAAGGACCAGCCTGCCTTGACGAGGTAGGAGCCTAGGCAGAGAAACACCATGTATATATAAGTAAAGCGGTCAAGCCAGATTGTGCATACGGGAATAAAAAACCAAGATATGCATACCGTTGTCAATCACGATGGCGCTGGAGCTCGCTGTCTCCCGGCTCTGTTCGTAGCCCTCCGGCTGCGGAGGCATGTAGCCCTTGAACGGCGGCTCTTGGATAGGATAAAGCTTGGGAGGCGGTTTTGGGTCATTTTTTTGGGAAATGTTAGCCGCCGCTCGAGGCGCGACGAGGGCGCGGGTAGAAATTATAGTCATGGCGACAGGGAAGAATGAGATTTGCGGAGGATGGAGCTCTCATGCGCAGTTCAAGTTAGCTTTGAGATGGGAGGTGGGGGCGCATTGTTTGAGATAGGATGGTTAGGAATTGAACTGGAGTGGTTTTGAATTAGCAGTAGTTAGATTTAATGGTAACAGCTGAAGTGGCCGACATGAAGTTGAATAAGTGACAATAAAGTTGAAGTCGAAGGTTTGGAGCTGGGAGGCGGCGTTTTCTTTCTTCTTCGGCCGCACCACAGGAAATATTTATGGAATAAAATGGCGCTCTTTTGAAATACTAACTAACTAAATACATCAATTTTGATATTTCAATGATTTACCTATTCAGTAAATAGAGACATTATAATGGATACTACATTCATTCTACGCCCGAATTTAAATATCCCACGCAGGAAATCACTATGCCTATACACGCAGAACGTGAACAGTGTGAACTAGATGCATTCAGTGTATTCAACTAAATATTTAAACAGAAATGAAAAAAATGAAAAAAAAAAAAAAAAAAAAAAAAAAAAAAAAAAAAAAAAAAAAAAAAAAAAAAAAATCCCTCTCTCCCTGAATCATTACCGCATTTCTAGATGCCCATCAATTCATTCAGAAGTAATACACCATAAATAGCCAAACCAGAAGAATATGAAAGAAACTCATACTGCCCATCCAACTAAGCAGCCCGCAAGTTCCTTAACTCTTCCGTGGCTGTTCACGCAGAAGACAATTAATTAGCAGAGCGAGGAGTAATCAACCGAGCATAGTTCTAAACATCCTCCAGGGTGCAAAAACGTAAGGGGCAATGCACACACCTTCGAGATGGAAAAGCACATTGGACTGATAATTCTTAAACATCTGCGCAACTAGCTCGACGTTCATGTTTTGCACGTTGACCTCCTACTCAACCACAAGCATTAGTCCCATCCTTTCCCACAGTTAAAGACGGGTATTTTATGAACATACGGACCTGAAGGTTCTTATTCAATACCATGATCGCTTCGTTGAGTTTCTCCTGGAGTTTGGATGTTATTATTAGGATCTATGCGTATACCAATACAGCCAGCCCTGCCTGTGAGGAGACCATGCAATGTATGAAGGTAACATAGAAACATACAACATTGGTGATGATGCGAGAGAGGAGAAGGCTCTGCTGGTGTTCATGGGGGCTCTCCTGAAGAGTAGTTAGTAGATGCGTATATATAATTAGATACTGGGCAGAAGGGGTTATCTACTGTACCATGGTTGCTGTGGTTTTGTTAGAGGAGGGTGGTCCTCTAGCCAAAAGAGAGAGCGATTAACTAAAATGATATAGCTGTCCCTTATTCTGTAATTTGCTGTCTCGATTCTCTCCTCCCTTTGCTGGTCTGTCTTGAACTGTTGATGGTTTGATTGTTTGATAGAAGCAGATGTTTGCAACCTTGACAAACATCCAATCTATTTATCTAAGCTCTCTCATAACCTCTCTTTCTTTCATCTTTCATCTTCATTCTAATCTTCAATTCTTTCCACGATATAACGCTGTTTTACCACTCTATCCAAGTCCATACTTTTCAATCCTCATCTACAATCATGCCCCCCGTCTCCACCGCCACGGATGACTCCCACCAAAAACTCCTTGACCAGCTCGATATGGGCCGCTTCCCACGCCCTTTCCGCAACCCGCACTGGAAACCCTCCGCTCGCCGCAACAAAAATGTAAAGCAAATCCTCTCTGAAACATCGCGCAAGGAAGCCTCCGTTCTTGCCAGCCAAAACAATTCCGGCGCCTCCACCCCATTCGCCCCCGTGTCTAGCACTCCCGTCACCGCAACCCCTGCAACGGAGAATGGAACCGGTGACGGCACCCCCATGACACCAGCCGCTGGAACAGGTGCAGGCGCGGCCTCGCGACCACCCAACATCGCCCAGGCGGCCCAGAGCCTCTCAACCCTGGTGCTGGAGAAGAACTTCCGCTCTCTAGCCCAAATGGGAAGTGGAATGGCAAATGGGATGGGTCCAGCAGTAACTTACACGAACATCGAATCTGCGCCTTCTTTGCACCCATCTTCGCAGAAGAGATACTGCGACATCACAGGCTTGCCCGCACCATATACGGATCCTAAGACGCGGCTGCGATATCATGATAAAGAGGTGTTTGCGGTTGTGAGGACGTTGGGACAGGGGGTTGCGGAGAGTTATCTGGAGGTTCGCGGGGCGCATGTTGTGTTGAAGTAGAAGGTTTGTTTTTGCTATTCATGAAGATTTTTCGATATTTGAATGACGATGACTCTGCGATCTATATGTGGATGGGCCCAAAGGTACGTGTTGACTAATATTTTACTTCGCGAGACATGCGAATATCTGATTATTCTAGCTTATATTGATATTGACTTCTATACATATATAGAGAGAGAGAGGGCAATTGAACCCCACAGTCACGAAAAAATCCGAACAGACAAAGAAATGTCAGACCAACAAAGTCAAGCCTCACGCAGCCCACCCCACCCCTTTCGAGACGGGGTTCAATAGTGATGCTCCGGCTTAATCGTGACCTTTATTTTTGATCTCCGCCTGCAATATATCAATGATAGTACATGCAGAAAATCCGACGCGTTACCGCTATCCCATGGGGGATGGCAGTTACAGTGGCATAGGAGCAACTGTGGTCGTAGCGGCTTGGGGATCGGGATGGGATGGGGATGAAGATTGAGGATGTATTGGGCAAGCATGAGGCGGGATAGCGATGAGTCTGCAGGTGCTATACAAACATGGGGCACATGGGTTTAAATCGAGGAAAGTGTACAGAAGCGGGCATTCTATTGCCTAGATGCAACGGGTGTTCCAATCACGTATTTTCGCTCAGAACATGATGGGGGTTGTCTGCTAGTTTCTAAACGATAAAACGTGAACATAGTGAATGTTTACCTTAAGGAGTCGGACAGGTCCATTGGCATATGTTCCTTTTCATAATCAATTCTTCCAGACAGTGGCTGTGGTTGTCGTTTAGCCCAGTTGGAGGAAAAAAATAAAATAAAAAGAGACGAGGAAATGAAAATTGAAGTTGGTGGAACATGTTTGGTTTTATTTTGGCGCGGTTAGCTTAGTTTAGGCGGGCGGGTATTCAGCAATCCACAGCCAATCAGTTTCCAGCAAATATTCTAGTTCATTTAGCGGCGCTGCCAGCCGCGCGTCTGGGATCCTCTCCCCAGAAAGCCAAAAGATAAAATAGAAGTAAAGCAAGATTATTTCAAAAATAACCTACAGTTATGTATGCTTTCTACAGACAACCCCCGTGTCCCTCTCCTATTCAATTGCAGTGAATATTATACACTTCCCGATGCGTTGCCCGCTTATTTCTGCCAATCTCATCCAGATACTTCCCAAAGATCTCTACTACTACCCAGCTGCCTACCGATCTACGTCTGCGCGGAACGAGATATCCCCTGAACATCCCTAGTCCGATAGGCCTCGAGCCCAATCCTGACAACCTCCATATCCTGCCATACTCGCCCGCGCTTCGTCGTGCCATACATTACCAGCACTAGCTCAAGGGTTTCGAGCGCCGGAAGGAGAGTAGCTGGGAATACACCGTAGCGTAAGAGCACAGTACTCGCGCCCAGCGGGGAAAGAAACAGGACAACCCCCCGCGGGTTGGAGAGAAATAAGAATTATAGACCGTCAAGATGCCGACAATGTGGTTATCAGATATACAGAGTGAGTACACTTGTTGTTAAATCGCTGTATTCCTTGGACATACGTTTGTAAGATTCGGAGGTGCATAATATGATGCTTGTAGAGGGAGCTGCGAATTTAAAAACATGTGCTTGCAATATGCGCCCGCGGATGCTGGGCCCATTGTGTTCCGCAGCAGGGCAGATTTTGTTCTCCACTTTGCAGGTCTGGAAAAATCGCATGCGCTACACATTGCTAACATAATACCTTTTTAACAGAGTTCGGGGTTGTGTTTTGTTCTGGCGGTATGTGAGGCATATCTACAACCTCCCCCGTTGCCCTGCGCTCGCCGTCCCTTGCGATTGGCAATTGGCGGCTGTAGATCCGTTATGGATTTTTCGCATTCGCAGCGAAACACGAAGTGAAAAGCTGGAGGCTAGCGTTTGACCTATTGTCTCTGATCGATTTTATATATGTAGGGGCATTATTCCTCTTTTTGGGCATTATGATGTTTTTTGATCGGTCACTGTATGTCCCCTTTCCCATACGCACGTACCTACAGAATTGAAAACCATCACTAACTATTGACTCTTTCAGCCTGGCAATGGGAAACGTAAGTACCGCTCTCTCTACTGTCCCATTTCCAAAGATTAGAAGAACAAAACATACCTACGTACCTCCAGCAGCACTTCTAACCAACCCCAACAGATCCTCTTCCTAATCGGCCTCCCCCTTATCCTCGGCCCTTCCAAAACCCTCTCCTTCTTTGCCCGCCGCCAAAAGATCACAGGAACCATAACCTTCGCGCTAGGAATCCTTCTAATCCTCTTCCGTTGGCCGCTGATCGGCTTCTGCGTCGAGCTGTACGGTCTCTTCGTGCTATTTGGGGACTTTTTGGTTACCTTGAGTGGGTTTGTGGGGTCTGTCCCGGTGGTGGGACCGTCGTTGAAAAGGGTATTGGTGTTTATCGGGACGGCGGGCGGGAGGAGGGGCGGGGGTGGGGAGTTGCCGGTTTGATTTTGGTTGATTAATATTAATTGATACGTTTTGGGGTGCTGTTATGGGTCATGTTTGATACTGGAAGGAACCGGAGAGGAAACGGGAGGGAGTACGTGATATCCTTTTATATATGTCCCCTGTTTCCTTTCTTCTTAATCTTGCTATTTTTCTTCATACTTTTCTCCGTCTATTTTCATAGTTATTTATATCTGTCTCGTAAATTCTATTGTGAAGCCGGCGGATGGATACGTTATATATCACTATATCTTCAATGTCATCATCACACTGTACATATAAGAAGACACAAGGAACGAGAAAGCCACCTTTGGCCACATGATCAACTACATCTTTGCGGCATTTGTAACATGATAAGGTATAATTCAGTATAAAAAATCGGACGCTCTGCGTAAGAAGAGCCTAGAGGGTATTATTTGTAGAAGCGATTATACGACCAGAGCGTCTGCATTGGATGGTCCAGGGAGCTTCAGAAACAAGCAGGATATTTTCAAGGATCCAGAGAATATTCTGTTCGGTCAATGAGCCCGCTTGGTAGCATCCGCCAAAGGGTTGACCTGTCGACGCGTCGAAGAAGTGGACATTCCGGAATGCTGTGCGATCAATAGGCATATTGTGTTCCCCAGCCGGAAACAGAACTCGCACTGACAGAACAAGAAAAGAAACGGATGTAGATAAATACTAGCATCACTAAACACAAGAGGTCCTACTACGTTCCTTTCGAAGTTTCGGAGTAAGCGCGCGTAGCTTAAGCGGGCGGCAACGGTAGTTAGTTAGCTAGTTACTAGTTAACTGCCGCAGCGGGCATAGTTAGTGGGCAGACAAATGGACCTCGGCACCATCCGCTAACAACCAACGTACCGTACCGATCCAACAGACGCCGAAATTTCCCTGCTGATAACGGTGAAGAAGCCCATGAGCAAGCAGACATCGGAGGTCAGGTTCGGAATGCCGCATAATCAGCTGCAGGGGTGCTCGAGGCCGCTGTGAACGGAGCCATCTATATTGAAATTCTAATTGCTCCGGCCCTGAGCAGGCACGCATTGCCTTGTGCATCGTGCTGTTCTGCTGTTCTGCTGTGGGAATATGGTTCACATCGGTTTTTGAGACACCACACAGCCAATATCACCAAATCCATTGATTACAGCAATACAGGTATAGCTCCACGGGACAAGTCGTGCAGGCTTGGTATATGTGTAAAAACCTGAAGATCAGCCTTTGAATCGAATCGCCCAGCAAGCCGCGGGCAGCGCCAGGGTAAGGTTAGGCTTGCATGCGCCAACGAGGTGCTTATAGCACCGTCATCATCACCATCATCATAACTAGTAGGTTTTAGGTGGGCAAGTGCATGATGCCCAGGGAATCGGCACTGGAGGCGAAAAAAAAATTGGCAAAAGGCGGTCACGTTCCCCTTTCGCCTTTGCTATGCTGCAACTACGTAACCGTCCGGCGTCGGGAAGTAGTAGTAGTTGAGTATCCCAGAGGCCGTTTCATTGCCTTCACTGAGTCTTTGGGGGTGGGGTCATTTCCAACGATTCGAGCGAGCTCGTCGAGGGTTGGCAGGACAATGTAGACAGCCATGCCATGGGTATGAAATGTGACTTATTCAAGGAAGGGTGGGACAATTAATGGAGGCAGAAATAAGAGCGTGATATGGAGTTGCTGCTGTGCCGCTGGCTATACAGGCAAATCTATCTACCGCCTATTAAATGCGCAGATTAGCGCAATCATTGCGACTTGTTGGACTTCAAGGGCTTCGCGGGAGAAAAAAAGATTTGAGTTGATGACCTGTGGTATTTAAAGATGCCCCTCTTGGCCTCCTCGTACCATATATAACTAACGGAGTCGTTTTCACCATTTCTACTAGACTTGTAGCTCTTATTCATAGTAGGCGGGGAGTGCTGAACTACGCGATGCCATTCCATGAATGTGCTGTAATGTCGGCTGCCACTTCTATACTAGCGAGGCATAGACGCTCAGAAAATAATATTCCTAAGGAACCCAACTAACTACCTAGATCAAGAAATGAATGCTACAGTGTTTTAGCTGATGATAGGTATTAACATTGAAGTTGGGCATAAATGCAGGTTGTCTAAAAATAGAAGGAATTTTGAAATTGATTGAACCAAAATCCATCTTTTAGATATTGAATATATTATATAACTTAGATGAGTTCCTATGTTTAAGGTAGCCTAGATAACAGGGCATAGGTTAACTAACTATAACCAGCCTCATACAATATTCCAGCACATCCAACATGAACAGGGGGGAGGTGTAGGGGGTACAATTTGAAAGAAAGAAAAGAACAAAGAATTGCAAAGGAAAATGCTCAAATCACTTCATTTGACTTGTATCTAGTCATAACAATGGACAACATAATTAGTTAACTAGTTATGTATTGGTTTGTCCATTTGTTTGTTTAATTTGTTTGGTTTGTTTCCATGCCTTCACTTCCTGGGATTGCTCAATTCCACTCTCCCATCGCTTATGGTAAACCGGTCATACGTTATCTTAATCCTGCTTAGCGTTCTAAGCGCCCCCCTGACCCTTCCTAGCCTCCTCCTGAGCGACCTCCGACCTGATTAGATAAGTAGCCCAGCTTTTGACATGTTCGTTGACTTGGAAGATGGGGATATCGGGTGGCTGGTGCGCGATGAAGAGAGTGGTCAAGGTTTTGCAGATGACGATTCCTTCTCTGAGCTATTTGTGAGAAAAACAAGGCGAAGGGTCGCACGAGTTAGCATTCGTCCCTTGGTATAATATGGGATACTTGTTAAGACGCCCGTGATAGTCCTAGATAGAACAGAAATGAAAATGAGGTGTGGGAACAACCTTCCGGCCGATGAGGCAATCTGGGTCCGTCTCTGCTCTCACGAAGAAGTATTTCTCTCCAGCGAACGAGAATCCATTCGTTTCCACTTCCTTGGGCTCATCACCGTTGGTATTCTCAAAGGCCTTAAGGATGAAAGGGATCTCATTTGGCAAGGCCTGGTTTTGGTATGTAAATTAGCCTTCTTCTCTATTTGGAATGATTTTAAAAAAGGGATGCTGATTTATTTCCGGTGCTGGCCGTTTCCTCCCCTCCAGTTAAATGGGAGCGTGGGAGAGTTGATATGGAATCTTTGCATACAGTGAACCCCGGAGTGGCGGCACAGGGCGACATGGTCTCTATGCTGTAAATAGCCGCCTTGTCGATTCCCTGGTACTGCTTTAGTCTACAGATGGATATGGGATATTAGCTTTCTTGCAATGGACGATGCTGCCCCGTAAGACGGTGAAGACAAAGGGGTAACGAAAGCCCTCCCGGGGGTTGATTCGATCGACATACCGATCGTAAAAGTCTAATCGAAGCAAACGGAGGTCAGTTTCCAAGGCTATGAAGTGAACATATATGCATCGGCTTCGTGTGGATTCGAGTGCCACCGCAACCAGGGATACGAGGGACTTACCTTGCCAGCTCGCGGGCCCTTGAGCGTATGCCTCCGCCATTTTATCGGAATGATATATGAAAAAAAGACAAAAAATCGATCTATAGAAACCGGCACGGGCTTGCTACAAAAGGGGGTGGGGGGATATGATGGCATGTATTAGCAGGGGTCAAATGAGAGATGGGCCGAGGGAGGATGGGGGGATTGATTGGCTTACCCTCAGAAACAGCCAGCTGGTGAAAAGGGGCTTGACAATCAAGAGAGACTGTAAAAGCAGGGAGAAGTGATGGGAATGAGATAGAAGAGCGTGGGGGAGGAGAACAACAAGATATGGTGGCGGACGAAAACAAACAACAACACTCAACTAGACAAAACTTGGAATATAAATCCATCCACTTGTCCTCTTTAAATTTATCCGTCCAAACCCGCAGAAAAGAGACAGCGCGACAGAAGAGGGGCAGCAGGCCGTATTACCTAATCCTGGCAGCCCTAACTTACCCCGCCATCCCACACACAACGCGCAGACACTCATCAGACACACACCGTGTATGTTTTTTCTATTCTTATCTACCTACCTACATGGTATCCCACTACTCCTGGCTGGTGCTGACAATTATTCCATAGTTACTCAATGCTGCTTCCTGCCCATTGCCAAGGGGATATAACGATCCAGCTTCTCTCTCGTCTCTTGCTTCGTGGTGGATAAACTAGCTGGACTACAACCTCTATACGGAGCACCTTGTACGGTTTAGACATAACGCGATATACCGGGCCCGCTACTGGAAAACACCACGGGGGATCTCTTTCAGGTTGATTTCGTCACATGGCTGCATGTTTTCCGTCAAGAATACGACCTGCGGGGAAGACAGACGGGGGAAGGGCTGAATGGGCGGCGGTGCTATCAGCCCTTCTTCCCACACCTGAACTGCAATGGCTATACTATACTAGAAATCCTTGACACCATTCCCAGCTATAATATTGCATCTGCACAGATGGTCGGATGATGGGCCCAATAGTCATATCGATAGGATAAAATGGAAAGAAATAAACACTCTCTATCTCAAGAACTCTGTCGATACACATACATTTGACCCAAGGGCCAGCCAGTGGTAACCGTGCCCCCGGATTTCCCAAAGGGTCGACGTCTTTCATCAGCTCCTGGCGGTCATCAATGTGATAGTGACGGGGAGTCTCATCGTTGCTCCCAAATGCATGCTCATGCCAATGGCCTCCTGCTGCATGGTATTCATGAACCAAAGAGAAGTGCAATCCAAGCGTAGTCGATTCATGACCCTTCTTGTGGTTTCCAGCGAGGAGTTTGTACCATTGACGCCTCCTCCGACTTGAGATGCAAAGGAACCATTGATGGATTTCTATCGCCTTTCGAGGGAATAAGTTGGTATCTTGTCTCTGATCCTGGAAATCATGGTTACCTGTCATCATGAAACTCTAGTCGGAAGCCCTCCGTGAAGCATTCCGAGGCAACTTATATCGTTGACCCTGTGTTCACGGCTCATCGTGCGGTATCTATTATGAAAAAAGTGAATATATTTTCAGAAAGAGGGACCAACAGGGTATTAGGGGGAGTCCCTTTCATTTAATACTTTATCAGATTCATCCATGAGACCAGTGGGCAAAGTCGGTTTCATGGCAATCCAACTCCGCTAGTCAGTCATGATGTTTCATCTGGCTGGTATTGAGACTGTCAGCAAATTTCTTCCAATAACTACGCTAGAAGACACTTGGAAGCCAATAAACAAATTCAACACCTAAACAGCGAATCAAAATTAAACTTGCCTCAAAATAAATCGTTGGCCAAGCGGAGCGGGTAACTTAAGTTACCGCTAACTAACTAATTGGCCGCGATAACCCTGTTCTGTCTTCAAAGTAGGCAAGGTCTGAATACAACCGTCTCAAAACTCCCCCACCCCCAGGGACCTCGAAGGCGCTGAGCCATTGACGAAGCGACGAGATGAGTGAATTGCATCTGAGATCTTAACAAATGGGTGACAGGTGCACTAACTCTCCCCTGCTGAGTCTGGCCATCATCAGCATCCATAGATGTAATATGGCATTTTGGCACGAATAAATATTCGACCAGCGCGCGTGGACAGGGAACCTTGCAGCGCCAGGAAGAAGACCCTTGGGGGCTGGTGTGATCTCATCTCCTTCAGCGCCTAGTTACCATTGCTTACGCTCCGAAGAGTTCGCTTCGAGAATATGTGGCATCTAGGGTATCTATCATCAGTGGGATATGCCGCTATGATAATAATTGCTGACCCTAATGCAATTTCTTATTCTCTCAGCAGTCGAACCGTTCCAAGGTGTGTTTCAGCAGTCTAGATTGCTGCAACACCCCAATCCACCCCATACCCATGTCCACGCAACCTGCGACATGGCCTGAATGGTCAAAGTAACTACTGTAAATGGAGGAGAACACCGACCAGCCTCCTGTCGCAAACTCCACTCCTCCCGCCGTGTACCCTCTCCTCTGAGCCTCCCGTAGTCGTGACACTGTTACGCTATTTTTGTCCCTCATTTTGGCTTCTATTCTTTCTATTCTTTCTATTGTTTAGATCCTACTTTCCTTCTTTTTTATTCTGTGTTCCATTCCTCCGACTTCCGCTGCCTTCTTCAATTCTCTACATTCATTTTTCACTCGATTATCGCTTTCTGGAAAGCCGTCCATTCATTTCCTTTTATTTTCTTATTTCTATTCTTGACGCTGGGCCCTTTCGGTATTCTTGTCCGCAAGTGTCATTCATTATCCAATAGCCAGGTTTAAACCAACCTTATGAGCAACCATTGAAATAACCATGAAAGCCTTGAACACCAGGCAGCGTGCAAATACAACTGGTGACACCATACCACGGCCAAGATTCAATAACCCAGATGCTTTCCCCCAATCTGGCCTACAGGATAATGGGCAGACCTCTACCAGTAACACTGTCCGTAAACGAAACAATACCGTTAATGCACATGCTGGCTCGCAACGAGCGGGCTGGAATGCCCCTCACACTCCCGCCTTTGATTTCCAGCTGTCAACAGCACCGGAAGCAGCACATTCCTTACAGTCCCAGGAAAATATTTCATCGGACGATAGCACGACGATGATAGGCGTGGCAGTTGGGAGCCCCACTATGCACAGGACCGCCGAGTATGCACGGTTGCATGCAGTATCCCCAGTGGCCATAGATTTCGATTCGATGGGCGTAGCGGGCTCTGCAGAATCAGAAAGTTCGGGAACTAAACCGAGCAAATGGAAGAAAATCAGCGACTTTTTCAAGGCTAAGAATTCACTGCAACAACACCAACAACAAGAACAACAACAACTTGAACATCATTCTGATGATCGACTAGCAACCTCTCATGAATGCCGCACTCCACTAGCGGATTCTCGTTCCGTTCAGAACCGTGAAGCGTCATCTGAAGCTCACACGCCGTGGGATGATCATGAATTTGAACACCGTATGGGTAAACCTTCACGGGAGTTAGCGAAAGATATGTCGAGATCACCTAGGGGGAAGGAACCTAGGAAATTGGTCAAGTATGTGGAGCCACCGAAGCCTAATAAAAGCGCTCCTCACCGTGATAAACCGATAGCGAAGCTTTCGAAACCAGAAGAAGTATTTCAACCCTCGGAGCCAGAGCATGTCTCTCGTTCGTTGCTAAATGTTGAAATCCCTGAGGTTCGCTTGGAAAGATACAGTGTGATGTTTGGAAGTGTCTTGGGCAAGCCGCCTTCTACAACGCTATTGGCTAGACGTAGCAAAACGCTTGATATGCTGAAGACTCACTATGAGGAGGTGAATGCATCATATTTTGGTTTTTCCCAAGCCTTTTTTATTGAACGCTAACCAATGATGCAATAGGATGAATTGGGACACACCGAAATACCATTGACCAGGCGAGCAACCTCTCCAGCTCTGACAAAGTCGCCGGCATTTACCCTTTTTCCTGCAGCACCAACATCCAAGCCGACTAAGGCACTCCATAACACAAACTTCCCCCGCCCGAATGTCTCATTGCAGCTATCCAATGCTACTTCGCAATCGCCTAACAGAGAATTGAACGAGAAGTCCATGCCTACAAAGGACAGCACACTCCCTCAGACAGGGACATCATCCATGGCGACATCTTCAAGCTCTCGCAGTCAGTGGGTATCGGAAGGGGCATCATATTTGTCAATGGTATCTACATCGTCATCATCATCTGATATTAGTTTATCATCCGAGGAGGATGAAGTTGTGCCATTCACCTACAAAAAGCCCGTACCGATCTCTACTGATGAACCCATGTGGGAGATACTGAACCCCACTGCAAAGGCTGAGCCGCCACCAACCAAATCCAAGAGTCTGCTGCAACCCCAGAGGCTACGAACAATTCGATCGGAGGAATCGTTTGCTGCCATAACGGAGCAGACTTATGCCCCTTCAACGCGAATGACAAATGAAGAGACGCCCGTTTACCCTAAACAGTCAGATCCAAAGTCCGAAGCCAGGGTTGAGGCACCATATACCGAATTCATGACCCCCCCACAACCCCAAAGACTCCATATAACCCGGCCCGAGGAACCCTTTGTTTCAGCTGCACAAGGACCTCACAATTTCCCCCCCAAACATATGGCATCGGAAGAGCTGCAACCCCCGCCCACCAAACCGCATCCAGAATCCAAACCAAAATCTGAGCCAAAACCTAACAAACCGATCCGCCCCCACCCAATAATTGATATTGAACAGTGGCTGCCGCAGTTGCGGCCACCACCTCCTCAGCGAGAACCGCCCACACCACCTCCAGCTCCATCCCCCACCATTGCTCTGCCGCCCGTCCCAGTCCAACCACCACACGCACAAGCCCGGATAAGGCCAAAACCCAAGTCCCGACCACCCCCGAGCACCAAAATCAATCCCAACCGCCAAGCCATGAAAACCATCGAAGTCTCAGTCGCGCGTTCAGTTTCCGTGACAAAACAACCAAAGCAGGTAATCGTGCCGATGAGCGCGATGCGAAGTGATTCGTTGCACCATTCTGATGAGCGATTTGGCGACAAGAGGTCGGCTACGCCTATGCTTATTTCGGCGCCAAGGGGCCACGAGCGGGAGAAGTCGCAGGCAGTTCCGATTGAAGTTGCGGAGCCGGAGTTTATATAGTTATTTATTTTGGGGTATTGGAGTATGATTGGCGGGAATCTTTTTTTTTTCTTTTTTTTGTTTGTTTGCTTTGGGGGGGGAGGGGGGCCGGGCCGTGATGGATTTCTATTTTTGGACGGTGAAAGCTTGATTATGGATGATTTTTGTTATATATGTTCTGTGTAGCTAGCGGTTTTGCGTTGGACGGGTATCGTGTTTGGGCATCCTAACGGATGTTTTGAAATATAAAAAGAATACAATGATATTATAGTAGTGATCCTGGAAAGGCGATGGTTATATTCTCTAGAGGTATATTCTCTTTTCTATCAAATTTTCCTCGTCTTCATCTTCCCTTACTATCACAATAGCATTTGCATAGCCCATTTCTCTGGTATATATATACATATATACTTTAGCATTGTCAAAACACGCGGCTTAACTAGCCCGAAACCTCACCTCTGACCTCGATCTAATTAGATTCTCATCGTTAACTGCAAACTAACGTGGCGTCAAACTGGGGACAAAGAAGTTGACACTCTTGAGATACCTTGATGCAACATCTCATAAAGAAAGTGTTTGATTCGTTGAATCATTCATGAACTCCTCTTTCTAACACAGCATTGTTTCACGTTTCATATATGCACCAGACTCCCACCCAATTGTTGTCGCCCCTATTTACAAATACTTAACAGACCATACTCCACTCCAACCCAACATACGCATCGCTAATCACGCGAACCTTCACATTCAATTTCTCACCCCCCAACCCATCCCTAATATCCTTCCCTTTGCCCTCCCGCGTGCCCTTGTCTTCACCCTTCTCAACAGCACCACTACTTCCTGAACCAACTTCAACACCCTCGGCGCGACTAGCATCTCTATTCCACCCCTCTGGAAACCTCACCTTGGCTCTCGCCACGACATAATCCCGCCCGTTTGCCCGAGAAGCGCCAGCCGAAGATGCCCAGGAAACCCGCTTGAGAGCGAGGATGTCCTCACGTGCCCCGGCACTCAAATCTGCGTTGGAAGTAACAAGCACAAACCAGCCCTCTGTCTGTGGTTTTGGGAAATGTGGCGCGTAGATGCGGAACGATTGATCGCCATCTTGGGTGGTGGGTTTCCGCTGTGCACCGCGCAAAGGGATGGGAGATTTGCGCGTGAGAAATAATGTCAAACCGGCGGACGAGTGTTCTGACAGGGAGATTGAGACGGTAGGAAGGAGGGATAGGGCTTTTAAGAACTGCGTGGATGTTTGTTGGGAGAGGTTGAGGGTGCGTGGGAGGGTAGTGAGAGTTGATTGGGGGAGGGAGAGCAGGGAGGGCAGAGACGAGGGAAGATGTTTTCCGGATGCTGTTTCGCCAGTTATTGTTGGGTCGACGCCAGGAAGAATGGAGAGAGGGTGGTCATCTGGCCAACGGGCAGATTTTATGCATTGGAGCAATGTCATCATCATGGTGCATGCATTGGGGTAACCCAGTTCGGCAAGCAGGTCAATGCAAGCTTGAATAATACGGATGCCTTGGTCAAGAACAGAGATTTGGTCGCCCACGTAGTCGGTTATCGGCAGATCGATGCGGGACATGAACGCCTGAAGTAAGAGGAAGGCTTTGATGTGTGGGTCCCACATGGGTAGTGAGGAACCCATCGTGGTGATTGGGAGGGGAAGATTCTGCGCCAGCTCAGCGTTGATGAGATCCTCATTGTGACGCACCGGGAGTTCGTCGAATTCTGTGGCGGAACACATCCAACTGAGTGCATCGGCAAAGGTTGGGTTCGGCTTTGCATGGGACATGACGTATCGGATGGTTTTGTGAGAAAGATAGTAATAACTCATTATCTTGCCGTATGGAGTCGGGTCCACATAACCAGTTGCAGAATCCAATAAAACACAGGAGGACTCTGCAAGTTCTTCTAGAGATTTGTCGACCAGATCTATCATGAAATCGGATGCCATTTGCTGCGCCGCCATGGTGTTGTGTTCTTCGGCGGAAATTTCAAGGCCGTAGTAAGAAGGGTTCTTATGCAGACGGCGGAAAAAGAATGTCCAAGTTAGGTAATCCAGAGCATCCTGTTTCGTTGTGATGGTTCCTGCGGAGACTTCTGCTCCCAAATGGTCATGAAGAACTTGATGCAAGGTAGATTCTACAGGGAAGCCAGTGTGGAGGAAGTGCTTGTAGAAAGCCTTTTTGGAATCCTGTGTGAAAATGCGGGCGATACCTGAAGAATCAAACTGGGGACGTCCAGCACGGCCCAGCATTTGAAGAACGTCAGTCAGGTCCATATCTTTATAACCTTCGATTTTCGCGTCGAAAAACTGTGTCCCTTTCACAACTACCAGATGGGCGGGAAGGTTAACACCCCAAGCGAGCGTGCTGGTTGCAACTAGGATTTGGACTTTATTGTTCGCAAAAAGCTCTTCTGATAATTGCCTGTCCGATTCAACGAGACCGGCATGATGGAGACCGATTCCAAAGCTGAGCGCTTCTTTAAGCGCGTCATCTTTGACGCGAGAAAGGTTCAGCTGCAAGTCGTCTTCAGACATGTGAAGGAACCGGCGTGGGTTATCTTCCATGCCGCAGAAGTTAATCAGATCTTTTGCGGTGAGACGTGTTTGTCTCCGAGACGCTACAAAGACAATTACGGGTTTCTCTGGAGAATGGTTCTTTATCGCAAGGAATGTGGGTCGGTTCATCGACTGCATTAGTGGACAGAAGCCACGCTGTTCAGGGAAGCCGTCGATGAATATTTCTAGTGGAACTGGTCGGACAGAGTGACGGAAGTTGAACAGTCCTTCCTTAACACCTAGCCAATTTCCAAGATCGGTAGCATTGGCGCATGCCGTGGACATACCAAGTAGCCGAACGGCGCCCTTGGATTGAGAAGCAATGTAATTCATCCGGGAAACGATAATCTCCAAAATGGGCCCTCTATCACCGCCGAGCAAGTGGATTTCGTCTATAATAACTAGGCTGACTTGACGAACATATCCTCTTGTTTGCCAACTTCGAGAAATTCCGTCCCATTTTTCAGGTGTGGTGATAATGATGTCCGCATCGCGGATTGTTCTCGTGTCTGGTGTGTTGTCGCCCGTGAGTTCAACTAGCTTCAGGCCCATGGGCGCAGTCAACCGACGTCGCCAGTCATGCACTCGCTCTCGAACGAGGGCTTTCATGGGTGCAATGTAGACAACCTTGGAGCCTGGCTTCTCGCGAAAGGCCCACCACATTGCTAGCTCCGCGGCGACAGTTTTACCACTGCCCGTTGGCGAACCGAGGAGAACATTGGCAGGTGTGTGATAAAGGGTATGGAATATCTGCGTCTGCATAGGGTTGAAAAATTGAAACCGCTGCGCATATATCTCCTCGAGAATGGGGTTTTTAAGCGCGGACACCGGAAGGGGTTGCAGATCAAGTAAATCCGTATACACGCTTTCTGTATCCGGTCGGATAAGATGCTGGAATGAGACAGGAGTAACAGTTTCTGCACCAAGCCATCGATCGGAGATAGCGCGAACATATATCTGGCTAGGCAATGGATCAGAAAGAGGGATTGTGAAATTCATCTCATGGTTATCGTTGAGCTTTTTCCTACTCAGAATGAAATATTCGTGATGATAAATCTCAGATGTCTCCGAGTTCTCAACCCAGATCCAGTAAGGCTCGGAAGTCCCGTGGTGTCTATCATTCCAGCGAAACTCAGGATATAGATAAAGACGAATACGGAGAACATCACGGTTCAGTGGAGCGATCTCAGCCTCCACGCTTAACGTTGGAAAGTTATCTAGCAGCTTCGAGACGGTGGTCCCCATGCGATGGTTATGGACAAGTTGTCCGATTTCAGCCGGTTCCATGTCCCTCAACGATTCGATGGATGATGCTGGGAATTTTTCATCCAAGTTTTTCAGGATCGGTTGTGGGAGATCAAATTGGTGAAAGGGATGTTGGAATGGCCATAATTGCTTCTCTATCGATTTGCACGTGGACAATAATACTTGACATTGATATCCCCAACGTCTATTCAGAGCAACCATGAACAAGGCGCGACAAATACGCGCGGAGTTCTGAGCCACATAGGCTGAATCGGACACCAGGGCAAAATCTTCGATCCTAGCTCGAGAAATGTAGGCCTGAAGTAATATATTGGTTTTCGCATGGGCGGTGTCAATCGTTCCTTCAACCTCCGTTTTCAACGCCTCTAAACGGAGCCTTTCAAGCTCTTTGAATTCATTTTCCCGGGACTGGATATTGTCAAACTCCCCACTCATGCTGATCATTTTCAAAACATCCGCATCGCTGGCCATCGGCTTCATCATGACGTTGAATATTTCCACACTCGTTTGCAATACATAGTATTGGCTAGCAATTCTACCAACATCCTTTGCGCGAAGCTCCTCAGTTCGCTCGTTAAATATAATCATTTGGCTCTTCTGAAGGGTGCGCGCGGCTTTGATAATCAAATCTCGCCTTCTAAGGACAAGTTGGGGATCGTCTCGAATTTCAGCCCAGTCAATTCCATAGCTGTGTGGATTGCGACGCATGCGTACGAACAGATACGAATATCCAAGCCATTGAACAGCCTCAGAAACAGATGTCACAGTTCCCAGAGAGACCTCGGCGTTCAAATTATCAACCAGTTTACGAGAGAATCTCGACTCTATGGGCTCCTGGGAAGTTACGGCGGACAGGTAATGTTGCAATTTGTTATGCGTTGTGCAGATAAAGCCAATACCTGTGTCTTGGAACTGAGGGCGACCAGCTCGACCGAATATCTGAAGGACATCTAGAATGCCAAGGTCGATGAATTTTCCTTCCTGAGCGCTGTATAGCTGGGTTCCTTTGATGATGACCGCGGCAGCTGGAAGATTGACACCCCAGGCAAGAGTCGCTGTACAGCACAGGACCTTTAGCACGCCCTCAGCAAATAGACGTTCCATGAGGTTGCGATCCGATCTAGCCATTCCCGCGTGGTGGGTTCCAAGGCCTTTGGGGACGAGGTCACGAAGCTCCCGACCACGACTTGTTTTCACATCTCGTAGCGCTTGCGAGTAATTTTTATGTTCTAAGGGGCTAAAGAGGTCTGCACACTGGTTCTCTACTGCCATCTGATACAAAAGCCGTGCAGCATTCAAAGTTTCTTTCCGAGAATGAACGAAGACCATGACTTGATGACCCCTTTCAAGCATATCTCGAACCTTCTCGAAGCAGACAATATCTAAGTTTTCTCTGGACTTTTTGGGGTCACCCTTCACGCCAACAAAATGTTGTTCAAGGGGCACAGGTCGGAACGAAGCATCAAAATAGAATAATCCCGCCATCCGGTTGACTTTGAGGAAATCTGCGACATCGATATAGTTTGGCAGGGTAGCAGATAGTCCTACTATGCGAATCAGCGACTGCGTACTCTCAACTTGTCGCTGGGTCCTCGCAACAAGAGATTCTATCACAGCTCCTCGCTCGTCGTGCAACATATGGACTTCATCAATGATCAATAAGCGGACTTTTTGCACCAACTCTGTATCACCAGTTCCCTTGCGGGTTACCACATCCCACTTTTCCGGGGTTGTAACGATGATTTGAGTCTGCACGATTTCCTTTTTGGACAGTTGCATATCTCCAGTTAGCTCGCGAACCTCGATCCCAAGCCAGGCCAGACGCTTCCCTAACTTCTCCGTTACTTCTGCGGCCAGGGCTTTCATGGGTGCAACGTAGACAATTTTGAATTCATCCGTCATTACGGCAAACTCCGTGGCATCCTGGTTTTCAATAGGGCTGGGAGTGGTGTTTTTGGCAATCACATTCAGAATAGTCAGCATGGCAGCATCTGTTTTACCAGCACCAGTGGGTGCGCAGATAAGCATATTCTCATTTGTCTTGTACGCAACCTGATAGAGCAAACTCTGCATGCGGTTTAGTGACTTGTATCCACTGAATGTGCCCCGGCAGAGACCATCCATTTCTGAAATAGCAACCAACTTCTGCCCAACACCAAGTGTTCCAACTTTGGCAGCAGGAATGGCGTACTCTGTATATCTTTGTTCCTCAATGTGTCTACTACCAATGGGAAGACCGTACTTTCTCCCATTGACTGAGAGGGTATTCCCAGCCTGATGCGACTTGTATACATGTGGATAGATAGGCCCCTCACGATCCTGTTTCGGTGCTAATCTTGCGTGTTTATGCTCGTAGTCCTGTCGGCGTAAGGACTCCTCCCGCTGGCTCTTAGTTTGCAACCGGCTAAGTATATGCTCATGGTCATGTAAACCTTCCGGTGAGGTTAATTGATGTCGATGCGCAATGAGGTCAATGACAAAATCCAAATCGTTGAATCCTACAATTTCAGTTAATGATATTTGTAATTCGTCAGGCGAGGCATCTGCGGCCAGCACAGACATGAGTTGCTGCTTAAGTTCGGAGGCATTGAGGCTAGAATTCCGCGCTGCAACCACCTGACATTTGTCTTCAAGCCATTGGTGGTTGTACATCCCTTTTTGTTTCGGGGTTTCCTGCCCATTCACTCTGCTATCCACCATCACATCAGAATCGTCGCTTGTTCTATCGTCATCGTCATCCTCGCTTATGATATCCCACAAATCTTCAACCGATTCAGGTGCGGAAGAAAATTCATCTTCGTCGAGGCAGAGATCCTGCCCGTAGGGAATTGAGTCTCCTGTCTTGGGGAGGTTTAGGTCTGCCATGGCTTGCCTCATGGCGGCTAGCTGAGAGAGCCATTGTTCCTCCGCTGGTTGGGTTACGGGGGCCATATTTTTTGGCTTTTGGCTGATGGGGGCTTAGGACGGAAAGGCGTAAAAGCGTGGTGATCGATATAGCAAAGGTTTCGGTGGCTATCTAAAGGGCTGCCAATACAGCCTCACCTCAGAGAAAGAAATGGCTATGAGAAGCTGAGCTGAGATGTCGGGGTCGAGGCAACTATATGCAGGCACTGCTGATATCAGATTTGATATTGGATCGAGCAGGAATAAACGTTTCCCTAAACCGGAGCAGGTTAGTGGCAGTCGTCATAGGCGCGATCCCCGCGTAAACTGGCGGTTATTGTTTGGTACCAGCTGAAAACGGCAATAGGTGGCGGGAAAGGGTTGGGAGGCGCAAACGTTACCGCTTCAGCATCAGACGAATCCGGCAGCCTGGATCTTCGTATCAAGCACCCCAACTTTAATACCGGCGAGAGATACTAGAGGAGCATCGAGCATCCCATATCCTGGGCTACTGTACATACGCTATTCCTTTTGGTTTTACTTTTTAAAATCAGCCCAGAGAACCTTAGCCCCATTGTATCACCATCTGAACACGCCCCTGACGACGACATTCTCCCCCCTGGCATCCTCATACATTTCCTTTTGGAATACGCATTGCCTAAGAGCTATTTCCAATTATGAGCACTACAGGGGACATCATCTATATTGGCGTATGTTCTGCCGTCATTCTCTTACCCCCTATATGCGGCTATATCTGACAGATTCTGTTTCGTCAATCAGTTCTTCCATAACGAACATGGGGATCCTCCGGAGGAACTCTACGGGGCTGATTCATTTTATGATTCCCTACTTACCAGATTTATCAGAAAAAGGTAAGGGATCTGTACTGCTTTCCCTACCATTTGCATTCTATCTGAGGAATATGACTGACCCGAGTCGTAATGCAGTCAACTCGAATTGATAACATTTGTTTGCACCACTCTCCTCGCAAAACTCAAGCCCAACGATACTGCTGTTACCGTTATTAAGGATGAAGTAGAGAACCAAAATGTCGGAGTACTCTACTGCTTCAACCCCGGCACAGGCCCTGCCACCTTTGTCGTCGCTCGTCCCAACTATTCTGAGCAAATTGCGAGAAGCATCGCGAAAGGAGTTCAACAAAAAATGAGGAAGGATTTCGGTTCGGACCAAGACTTCGATTTAACCCTGCAAAGAAGGTCTGACGTCCCGCAGAATAAACTCCAACTCTATGATTTATCAGTTGCGAAAGCCAAGAGCAAACTCAAGGAGTATGTAGAGGATCCAGGCAAGGCAGATGAAATTGCAAAGATTCAGCGGCAGCTAGACGATACGAAGCAGGTGCTTTACCAAACGGTTGATAAGCTGCTGGAGAGAGGAGAGAAGCTAGATAGCCTGATCGCAAAGAGTGATAATTTGAGCATGCAAAGTAAGGCATTTGCAACGCAGGCGAAGAAACAGAATTCATGTTGTGTGGTGATGTAGAATGGGCCTGTGTTCTTCACAACTCTCTAACATGTCTATGAGAGTTGAAAATGAGGTTAGTATGCAGTCTAGTTGCACAGCATTCACGCCCACACTTCCCTCAGCTTCCCTTCTATTATCTTTCTTGATTCCCTCATGGTTTATTTTCTCTTTCGGCCGCTCCTTTCCAAGGAAATCTATCCGACATTCACTCTATTTTGTTCCTTCATGACTCACGAACCGAGTTTCCACATATTTACTTTTTGCTCATCAACTTTCAGAGTTTTTTTTTTTTTTTTTTTTGCAAGTTTCGTAATGTCTTCTTCCATTATGGCCCTCTTCCAGATAGAGTATGCCACATTTTTGGTCTTTGATGGTTTTTACATATATATATGGAGTAAATAAAGTAAATAATTCTGCCCCCTTTTCCTATGTATCGGATTATCGGTGAATAGAGTCCTGCGTAACTTTACTGATAAAGCTGTTGGTGACGTTAGAAGCAAGGCTGGAGGGTTTCTAGCTCGTTTTGCCATATATTCTTTCTATCTCACACGGCGCGAGTGTCGACGCATGACAAGACGACTATAAAATTTCGGGTGGAATAAAAAAAACGGTGCAGACAAAAACAAAATGTGCAAGAATGGACCGTCAAAATGGCATCAAAAGGTTATCAACATTTATACACCAACAGCTCACTCTAAAATCAAATCTCTATGATCGGAGATTCAACGCAAGTCATGGAGCTGGCCCTCGAGGATGGAGGAAACTCAACCCTATCCAAATAGTTCAGACCCCCCTTAATCACTGCAATTTCATTCCTCCGATCCACTACAATATCTCCCTTTATTGTCATCGCATACCTAGTGTATTGCTCATCAAACCAGTCGCCAGGGATAAAGAAATGACGTTGGTAGGGTCCGTGAAGGCGTTCCAGCTCAATAGAACACACCCATCCTTCCGTATTACAAAAGATAAGCTTAGATTGCCATATTCCAAGCACAAACGAGATTACTTCCGCTAGCGAAAGTTGCGCTATAGGGGGAACTGGAACCTCGTCCAGGCTGTTTTCAACCTTCAAGAATGTCCAGTCGAAAAGGAATCCATGGCGCAGCTGACTAAAGATGACGAGCATATTATTTCCCGATATATGATAGAAGTTTCCATGAGGTGAATATCCGGGTGAAATATTAACGTCGAGGTGAACGCAGGCGAGAAGAGTCAACTCACTCCAGGTGTGTATGTTTATCGCACTCCTTCCCCCGCCCAGGTATTCCACGCCGATAACATAAAGCGGTGAGAACGGGTGTTGAGTCCACTGTACTGTCCCTAGATTTTTACTTGCCTGTATCTGGCCATCAATAGATATAAGATATGATCTTTTGTTGGTTGCAACAAGAGATTTGCCATAAGGACTGATTAAAATCTGAGGGGAATTTGTGAAATTATCGTCTGATAGTTCGATGAAGTATCCGGAACCCTTTTCGGCTTGCCACCCGTCTTCCTCCCACCTTGGCGTCTTCTTCAATTTTGTGGAAGATAACCAGCCGCTGGGAGAGCCTGTCGTATGCAAAGCTGTAAGGACCTCGCCATCATCCCACCAGCCGAGAGCATTAACGAAACTATCGCCGGCCTTGTAGAACGGTTCCATTTTTTTTCCAGTCTGCAAACCAAACGAGAGAACGGTGCCATCATTGGTACCACAAAATGCAAAATTTCCTGTGGAATCAACTGCCATTGAACGGATTGAAACACCCTTCTTGGGAGTAGAATAATCAACGGCAGGCATCACCGCTACTTCAGTTGCCCCGTCTTTCGTGTGCCCAGGAGTTAGCATAGCTGGCTCCCAGACTAAACAATGGTGTTCGCAAAATTCGAAAAAGTGTAGACTGTCATTACCCCAGGCTACGGAGAGATGATCGCAGATATCTGTTTTGAGAAACGTTTGCATCTCCAGTGTTTCAAAGTCATAAACGAATACCCACACGTCAGGACCTGTAATCAAAAGCGTACGTTCATCTGGGCTTACTGCAAGGGCACTAATGTGGCCTAACCGAGATAGTTGTCTAAATATGTGATCGGTAAAGGGCTCAAAAACCGTGAGTTCGGTGTTTCGGTCAGAGGTGTCGTAGCACACTAATAGCCACATGGTCTCAGGATTAGGCCCAAACCGAAGGTGGCGGATGCCCGTAATGCCTCCATTGAGTGATCCCACCCCGCAGGTGCCATGGTACTCTCTCTCCTCCAAGTTCCACAGAGTGATAGGTCGATTGCCCAAGTAGCCTATTGCTAATAATTTCCCGTCGGGAGATATAGCGGCCGCACTGGCTTCACTCAAGATCTCGTCCGGTCCTTGTGCTGGTAAAGACGGCAGATGACTAGCTCGTTGGGATCCCTGAACTACATCCCAAAAGGAAATGTAGCTATTACGGCAAACAACTATCAGATCATTTTGGCAAAAGCCAAGCCAAATTGGACGATTGGCGCATCTGAAATTGAGTAAAATTTGGGCATCGCAGGTATCCCAGAGCTTAACCTCAAAACCGACATCTGAGTACGAGCACGATGCCATCAAATCCGACCCGTTTTTAAACGTTATAAGGTCGGGTGGGCCGCCGTTATCTAGAACTCTGAATTGCTGATACGTGGCCGCGTCATACAGCACAATCAGCCCTGAGATGAACCCAATTGCGAAACATGAATCCCCGTGACTGAAAACTCGTGCGTATGAATCCTTAAACTTAATGTAGCACAGTAGGTCATCCCACTTGTCATTCGAATTTCCAACCACAGAGAGGCCGCGACTCCTAGGAGTTATTTTGTCATTTGGTATAGATTCTAGAGTATGCAGCGGGAAGATATATCGACATATCAGATCTAGAATCCCCAGAATAACGTCCACGAACTTAACCACAAAGTCGACTTGGTCGCTTGTCCACACGAAAACTGTCCTTTCGTTATTGTCTTTCTGCGGTTGCTCCGATAAAATCTCCCTAGCATTCGGCATTCCTCCTTTAGTTAGCGTGTCACTAAGGGTAAATGTCTCGTAAGCCGTGGATTGTTTCGGAATGAATGGTAGTATTATCTGTCGGATTGCTGAAGGAGAACTCAGCATAGCATCGCCAAATTTCGTCGTTATCCGGATGAGATCTTTCGTCCAGCCACGAATAACCTTGCTTCTACTTTCTTCCAAACGCCGAGCCCGTAAAAGGTTGTCAAGATACGTGCTAAGGTTCCTCGAGACACTGAACATCGGGGTGAGGTCTTGGTTCTCGGCAATAGCCTGCACCCAGGAGAGTACATTCTTGCCCAGGAATGTCTCCAGAAGGTCAAGAACTTCATCGGCAACCGGGTTAGAACGAGCGAGGTGGTCCGAAAATGAGTGAATGGCATATACTGCAAATTCCGATCTCCTTTTCCGTTCGACTAAAGTAGGAGTGCGCATGCGGGGTGGAGGAGGGTCCATCTCTGGACCCGTCAGGTAGACAAGGCAAGTTTTAGCTATCCGGGTGTGTGTTTCTTCTACATCGACTGCGAACTCAGACTGGAGCCCGCCCTTTACGAGGAATTCTCTTGCTGTGGCATGCACTATTTGAACCCTGCCAAAGGCATCAACGCCGACGAGCTGGCCACAGATGTCAGTGATACTCTTTCTGAAGTGTAGAAAGGTATCACCAAGATCAAGATTCAAAGCCGATTCAAGCTCCAGCACAGTTAAGGGCCGCAGAACACAAATTGCCCAAGCTAGAATAGCCTGGGCCAGTTGCTTTCCATGTTTTGCCTGCGACATCGATTCAAGTATTCTGAGATAGAGTGGTTCCATCTCTTGAGGCACTTCTTCCAACACTCGATTGATATCCTCCTGACCGTGAACTTTTAGTAGCTCTTGGAGAACTATTGCCGTCCATAGAAAGCTGTCATTCGATTTTTCCAGAATCCGTTCAACCAAAGAAACCCTGTGATTCGAGTCTACCTCGAGCAACATTGACTGGTCGTCAACAAACACTCTGATATCATGCAGTGTATCTGCTGCAGAAATTTGTTCACAAAAAAGGCGCTCACCGCCAAGACTAGAAAACTGTCTCTGCAGGCCAGCAGTTGTTCGGCTTGTAATTAGGATACGAAGCGGTAGAGAATCATCCAGTTTAGCTAGCATTGGGCCGAAAAAGGAAGCGAAATCATCACACTCGTCAAGGGCGTCAATTATCCAATATTGCGGCGAAATGGTAGTCTGAAATACCCCGGAGAGGAATACCTTTCTCCATATGGTACGCTCATCTCCTTTATCAAACTCTACACCATCCGAATGCATTCCCAGTAGCATATCTTTCACCCTTTCATTCCTACTCGCCATCTGGAAAGCGATTGACCGGAGGCAGGTATTCAGCCTCGATCTCAAACCGTCTCCGAACTTAAAAAAAAAGTAACTGACATCTGAGCCCATCTCTTCTAGCATTTCGATCACGTAGCCCGCGAGAACAGATTTTCCGACCCCTGGATTTCCACTTAGCCAATAAATGGATGGGCCCTTGGTGGAATTGTTTCTCCACCGAAGGTAGCTAGCTGTCGTGGAAAGCCATTCACAGGTTCCAGGTAGACGAGAATCTTGGACAGTAGTCAGGTCTTCCTTTGGTGCTGAGGACACCCCCAAGTATTCTCTTAAAGTTTTCATTTGTTCGTACTTTCGCTTTTCCTTTAACCGTTGGCCTAGATAAATCGCTCAGTCGAGCTCATGGTAGATGATCACGGAGATATGTACCTGATTTTGTAAGACCACGAACGGTCAATGCGAGAGCATCTCGAATAGTTCTGTAGTTCGTATCAGCTGCCGTGTTGAATTTGCAGATTGACCGGTGATCAGCAGTCATAGGGATTTGTTTCTCCGACTGGTATCCGAGTATGGCAAAGTCTTTGCTAACAATAATTTTACTGAAAAACCCCATGGTAAGAGGCATAGTTTCGTAGAATGACCAAATCTCAAGATCGCTTGCATAAAGGCGAAATTGGCCATTGATGTCCATAATCGTTGACGAGCGTCTTTCAAGATCCGAGACATAGGAACGAGAACCGTACGCGACATGGAAAATCTTGGTCAAAAGCTCGGCCGAATCAGAACCCAAATGCGGAGTGGCGATGAAATAAAAAGTGCAAATCCGTTTAGCTATATCGTCGTACTGTGGATTTAATCGAGCAAGCATGTATGCCTACGATTTCATATTAGCTCCAGCCGTTTTCCAGAGCATCGAAGGACCTACCTTCTTAATAACCAATCCCCCCATGCTATGTCCTATGAGAACTATAGGGGTCTACGATCGTTCTACCGTTAGCAGACACGACTCCTATTTCAGGAGAGGAGAAAGACATACATCTTCCGTACCAAAGCCTGGGCGTAGCTCTATCGCCGTGAGTAATGACATAGCATAGTCAAGGATGTTCATTGCATTATCTTTGCCCTTGTGCCAATCGGAACTGTACCCAAAGCTATGTATGCGTACATCCTTGAATGCCGGGTCCTCTGGAAGCCAACTCTTCGGCCAAAAGTGCTTCATCTCTTTCGTTAGGCTCCAGGTCTTCCTCGAGCCACCACCTAGGCCGTGAACGAAAATAAGATCAACACGAGGGTTCTCGGGCTCATGAAGAAGATTTAGTCCAATAGGCCCTTTCCAGCCGTCATCGTTGTTACTATCCGGGTCCTCGTGCGCATCGAAATGCTCTTTATCACCGTCGTCATGAATGAGCGTGGAACTCGCGGATATGTTACTGGATCCATTGGTAAATGGTTTTTGTAAGACTTTGAGATTGCGTCGAAGAGATTTCATAACTGGCGAAGTCAATCAATAGCTCGACATAAAAGAACGGGGCGTTTAGCATGTCACAGTAGTTTTATCCTACAAGACATGTATATAGAGCAAAAGAGCGTGGATATTGGGACGTATCCGACAATTCACAAAAGGAATAATTCCAAGAATCCAACGAAACGATATATCAGCTGAAGCACAACTGTAGCAGCGCCTGAAAAAAAGTTCGTTGAAAAGCGGGGGAGCGATCCCATAAGACACGCATTTATTAAGCGCCCGCCATGTTTTGGATCGACCAGATCCCGCTGCCTCACTTCCCGCTATGTTACCACCTCAAGGGGATCAATGACCAATGGGCCATATGAACCACCCCCGTTTGGATGCATGGCAGGGAATCCTAGGCTGGAGATACGCGCCAAGGGTACTCCGACCGTTTAGCGCCTGACCAATTCCTGTCGGCGAGAGAGTTAAATGCGCTCTGTTTGCTGCCCATGGACATGGCCAGGTCCAATTAGCCAACGCGCAATGAGATGAACCTTGTTGGTCCTTGTGAATTTCCGTGTGACTGCTCGCCTTCAACGCAGCGGCAGAAGGTTAGCTGCATATCGTTAAGGTGACCAGGTTCCATAGGCACCAACGGAAATGGCTCTGGGACCGACTGGATATAGCGCTAGAAAAGGGTTCCATCAAAGAATTATTCCTCCAAAATGGCGTCTGAGAAGGGAGGCTGGGAAACGGATACATAGGTGCTGATTTGGTGGTGATTGTTGTTTGTCAAGGAGGTTGTAGTTAAGTTGTCGCAGCCCTAACCTAAAATAATGTTAACCCAAGGCGAGTGAGCACCCTCGCTTAAACTAGTTTAACCAAAAGTTATGCAACTTGGCACCAATTCAATTATGTGCGCCCTCCTAGCATGAACTAATATCCGGCTAAATAAAAACTATTTAGTTCATACCAAGAATAGTTCAACAGCTTTTTGTCTTTCCACCCTTGTTAGGAAGGGAGGCTCTTACCTGTGTCATCACTTGTTAGCGCTCATGCACTATTTGCCTTCTTCACACGACTGCTTCTACTAATTATAATTTGAGGGTTCACGTCAAGTTATACTCCATTCATATCTTATATATATATGACATCAGGACCTTAGCGAGATTGTCCGTTTCCCTGCCTATCTGATCTTCGGTAGCAATCCTCCAGTCCAATAATACATTTAACGCCTTGCCACTCATCTATCTCAGGATGTTGCTGTGAGATGCTTCGACGAATGTGCAGAATATTTTCCAGTACAGTATCAAATCATGAGCTTTCCCCATGCCATTCTTTTTATGTATATCATACTATTATTTCGTGGGGTTCTTCCGGATTGGCTTCCATAGGAAGAAGTTTCTCTCTTGACAATGATAAGGTTTGAACTCTCCATGTTGGGGAAATGAGTTGCTAGCTGTTCTTTCTATAGACATTGATTCTAACAGCTGATTACAGTCCATTGGGAAGGTTCCTGCTTCCTTCTTAATGCCTTTACAGTCTCTAGATTCAGCCCCACAATGATAGCTCCTTTCTGTGTATTCAGGTTTATATTGATGGTGTAATTGAGTGCATGTCTATAAAACAGCAAGTCTACAAGGAATGCAGTCTGTTTGCGGTTTGTTTGCCTTGGTAAGCACTTGCCTACGAAACAGTGACAGTGTGTTTCCCCCTGCAATCTAGCTGGCTCCGTTGTATCTCCCCCTTTCACTTGCTAACACTTACATTCGTCAGTGTCAAGCGGATGAGAATTACGCACATAAGTTTAGATACCTACAATTGGGCAATGAGTGACGCTAAATGTGATAGTATTATCAGGTCACATTCTTGCTGGAATGTGGAAATTCGCCCAATATCTCACATGAACCCTGGGGAACAGAGTACCTGGGATCATCCATTTCTCATGTACATGTACATCCGAGCCAACCGACTGGAGATCAATGAAAAGAAAAGGGTTGTAATGATGTTTCATGATATTGGTGTGTCCCTGAAATAGAAGTGTGAACAGCCCATGCAATATTTGCCTTTTACCTTTTACTGGTGCGAAAGATTAGTGTAACTGTGCTTTGAGATGCATATATTTATTTAACTGCCTAAAGCTGATCCGGAAAGATGATGGCAATATTGGGTATGCGCCAGGTTGTGTGGCCTCTTACTTGCTAGACTTGGACACCTCCCGCTTGCGTTAATAATGGCTGCCCGACAAGGTACACAGGCGCGTTGGTAGTGACACGAAAGTGATAATCATGATGAAGGGCTTGGTTTGCTGCTGGCTCATAGCCTGAGCCTTGTCTGATAATTTCTTGCACCACAGGCTGTGTAAACTAGAACTTAGATTTGCTTATCGAGAGGTAAGAGAGACCAGACCTAGCATAAACATATAGAAAAGATTGGAACAAAATAATAGTATATCAAAGTTGATAGTAATTTTGTCAACATGAGGACATGGTTTTCTCTAAACTAGGGATTCATCTGCCCAAAGAGATTACATAAATAAACAAAGCCATACTTCCGCAGTGATTTAAGCATGTTTTAAGTTGCGGCACGAAACTGAACTAAACTTAAATAGGAATGATGCAAGTGAGCCCCGGGACGTGGGCGGGCCCACACTTGTCTCAAGGTAGTTAGCTCGATCCTTTCCGAGCCTCACTTCCCCATATACGCTGTAGATTGGTTTGTCGTGACAATCTCTTCGCTTTTCTTGCACAACAATACATATGTGAGGACAAATATTGAGAAAACTCGGCGTTTGGTTAGATAGTTGAAGTTGTCAGAAATCGCAAAACAAGAACCAATAAGAGACAAGAAGGGAAACCGTGATCCCAACCATGTTGAATGATCACTGTCGTTCCATGACCTGATATTTGTTCATGTGTGCGCAACTATTAACAAAATCGATTTTTACAAAGATTTCGCCCATTCAACCATGGGTTCAGGGTATATATGAGCAGCACCATGTCCGTACAGTCGGACTTTGTGTGGTTAGGTTGTGGCTGGCTGAGCTTGTAACTAGAGTTTTTATCCCCTAATAGCCAAAACCGGGATATCGGACCTAAACTTTGGGCTTTCACCGCGCTGATGATCTGGCAGGCATTGAGCCTGTCACCAAAAGAGATAACGTAGGTTGCAAGCCTAACGCTGATTTGACTAGTGCAGGGATGGGCCCACAAGACGCTCACCTTTTGAAGGTGGCCACTCCTAGATTGTATCTCCACCCACTGGCTTGACTGAAAGAGAAAATCCCCGTGGAGGATATCTGAATTTAGTGCTCTTCATTCATGACTTCCATCAGGAGTCGTAGATGCAGTGCGCTGAAACATATATACATCGCCCAACTGGGGGCGCAAAACAGGTATGCGCTTTCAGTTCCCCCTATGAGAATTTCCCTGGACCTCCACTGCACATTGGATGACTAGTGCAGTCTATGGATACACCACCTACTGAGGATTTCTACAACATTATTTTTTTATTTTATTACGTGGAAAAAACGTGTCTTTGAAGCGAGATTCCCTATTTCAGGCCTGTCGAAATTTTCTGTTTGTTTCTGCAGGCAGTTTCTCTGCGACAGAGGGTGTAGAATTTTTAAGATCAGGCAAGAGCACTTGCACCAAAGGATTAGTCCTTAAGGTAGGGAGGGGATCACTCATCTTCAGCTTGAAAGAACCAGATGAGGTGGAAACTACACGGCAGCAGAAAAGTTGAGATGCACACCACTCAGTTTACATATCCTGCTTCATACAAAGGTACAATCCGATAACGAAGGATGGCTCAGAACAATATCATATCAACGGTCAAAACTATCCCTTTTCAGCAGCGAAAGGCCTAAATTTCTTTCTCTCTAGGCAGCCAACTGGAATGGTGACTAAGCCATTACTATAACTAACTACCAGCCAATCAGCTGGCTCGACTTCACCTCTTCTTCCATATCATTTCTGTGACATATATAGCATCTAAGGAATCAAACATCCTTCTTACACGCCCACCTACCCCCAGAATAATGTGCTGAAATGAGATTAATTATATAGAGGGCCTGCAAGCATGGTGTCCCTCTGGCCATGGAAGGTAAAACCACGATTCTCCTTCCCCGCTCCTCCTGATTCGTGAGCTCCCATGTTGACTCTTTCATTCAATCGCAGGGTTCCGGTACTTCACCAGCGGAGTTCGAAAAGACGCTGTCCAGCTTATCTGCGAAGATTACGCGCGCAACTACTCGGCTGGACAGCCACAGACAACGTTCTCGACGATATAGGGTCTTGTGGACCTTGTACACCTCATTCGCATACCTTCTCTACTCGATCATCGTCATACTAGTGCTCGGATGGCAAAATTGGGGTCCCTGTGAATATTCCACTGTGGCAGGTGGTCCAGTTGTGTGCGTTCTTTAATTCTGCACCGAGTTGCTGTGATCCAGAGTCTAATTTTTGTGTAGGATCTACGTCGTGCGCCTTGGCCTCGATAAATATTACCAGTACCGCATTTCCGGCACGCAACATCATCTCGATGAGCTCCACAAACAGCGGGATGCAACCATCGAGAAACTAAAGGAGGCTACAAAGTATAACTCCACCCAGCAACTTTTAGAAAAATATGGCGGGGACTCTCCCAAAGGCCCAGCTTCCGGAGCAGGGGGGGCAGCAGCTAATAAGAAGAGGGATCCGCGAATGAGAGCGTCACTTCCACTCCCAGGCACAGGTGGAAGAACGGGGATCCCTCCACCTCCAACTGCAAATATCCCACGAGTCCAACCAGACTCGGTGCCGACATCGCCAATTCGATCTCCCCCCATCCCCGATCCGCGCCACACGCCAGGCCCATCCAACTTAAACCCGAATCCGCGTCAACAAGAACAGTTAACTCAGCACCTTCCACATCCAGTCGACGAGCCAGGCTTCGCTCCTAATGCTTTCCCCCCTTCCCAACCCCACCAACAACACGCTGGCTCACTACAACCTCATTGGTACGATCGAATTCTCGACGTCCTACTAGGCGAGGATGAAACCCTTCCAAAGAACCGCCTGGCACTCATATGCACCCAATGCCGCCTTGTGAACGGACAGGCTGCCCCGGGCATTCGCAGCCTGGAAGAGATTGGCCACTGGCGCTGCGGATCCTGCGGCGCCTTGAACGGGGAAGAAAGCGAAACGAATAAGGCTCTCGCAGGAATCCAAGAGGCAGCAGCCGCCAACGCTGCTGCCGCCAGCCCATGTACAGACCCTAGCCGCAGTGGTGGCGAAGCCGGTGCCGGTACCGGCCAGGCTGCCCGCAGTTGGGATCAGAACCCATCGCATCATCCACCTGGAATTCATGAACCTTCGCGGTCATCTAGACGTGGTTCGGGAATGGATGCGGAGGGAGTTTGGGAGCCAGCTTCAGGACGGGGAAGCCATAGCAGTGAGGTGGAGTCAGCGAACTTTTCTGCGGGAGAGGGCACGGATGCGAGCATGGGTATGCTCGTTGGCCGTACAAGTAGCGAAGGGGAGGAATATTATGACGACGATGAGGGAATTGAAGATTCCGATGATGAAGAAGAGGTGGAGGTGGAAGAGGCGCATGAAGTACATCAAGAGAAGGGTTTCGAAGACAGAAAGGGCCTTCGCAAGCGAGGGGGGATATCGGACAAGAATAAGTCTGGGAGCCCGCTGCTGCAACCAAGGTCTGATAATGGAATAGCAACTCGGACGCGTTCGAAGTCACCGCGGAAAACGCCATAGGGGTAGTCACCTGGTGGACGAGACGGCGTCTGCAGGGATTTATATATCTAGCCATAACTGCATATGAAGCGAGAAAATTCGGTGAAGTGAGCGAGAGACACGCAGGATTGCTACAACCAGTAACTATTGTATGGCTACTATCATCATTCCACCTTTCCTATTTTTTTTTATTTTTTTTATTATTATTTTTTTTACCTCCACACTCCAGCATTGACTACCTACATCATTTGAACCGTGCTTTGGCGTGACTTGTTTGTTTACTTGCATGCTTTGTACTCATATACTCACACGTTCCTTTCAGCTTTCTGTTGTCCAATTAGTACCCAGCACGACTTAGGCTGTTTTGTCCCTCATATGTTTTTTCCCTTTCACGATGTATTTAGCTATATCACTCACCATTCCATGATATACAGGAATTCTAAACTGCAAGTATCATCCGCCGACCTTCCTAATGATGCAGTTATTGGTACGCGTCTACCCTAGCAGAGGTTTTTTTAAACCTATTTCATACATCAGAGAAGGGTCATGAAAGGTATGGAAGTGCTCAGCAGAACATCATTCTTATCGATAAACTGTACCATTGGAATTGAGGCAAAAGTAAACTCGAAAAGTGCAGAGTGAGCTCGGTATTGAAACGAAAAGAGACAAACGGAAATAAGAAAGGGCGAAAAAAAACACAGAAACGCTCCAATTGAGTGTGGGGAGCAGGGATGTCAGTGTAGCTTGCAAAATGACGTAGAAGCCAGCCATGACAAAATAGTCATTTGTTGGAAGGTATATATCCATTGCATGCGCCACACATTCTAATGTATTGTACACGTACATATATGCGAGACGCACTTAATAGAAATCAAACAGAATGAAACAGCTTAAATACTAGCCCTCCTAGGCGCCATGGTCCTTCTTAAATTCTTCTTCTCCTCCGTCTCTTCCGGCAACGGCAGCCCTCCCTCATTCTTCAACCTCTCCAAAAATTCCTTCCCATATGCATACCCAACCTGATAAATCTCATCGAACTTAGCAAACTCCAAGGTCCCAAACGCGTCAATCGGCGGCCGCATATAGAGACAGCCAGGCGTATTTTTCGCCGTCTCTAGCGCGCTGAAGGAGGAGACGTATGCGAGGCGGGCCTGGATTTCAGAAAGCGTGGGTGGGTTAGCGAGCGAAGAGAACGGGTTCCAGCGGTTGACGAGCGCCCAGAAACCGGATAGCGAGTCGCCGTAGGCTTGCGGGGTGTTGTCGTCGATGGAGCCGACGTCAATGGCAAAGATGACATCTGCCCCAAGTGACTTCATGCGGGCGACGGGCAGGTTGTCGACGTAACCGCCGTCCAACAGCATGTTGCCCTCATCGCACAAGGGCGGGAGCAGGCCGGCGAGAGACATCGATGCACGCACGTAGCGCCATACGTAGCCGGAAGAGTGGAATTCGTTGCGCGATTTGCTGATATTTGTTGTGTTGCAGTAGAATTCGAGCCAGAAGTCCTCCATCTGGCTGTCACCGAAAGCTTTGAAGATGCCGCGGTTGAATTCGTGGCCGGTGGTGTACGAGGCGGAGGGGTAGGTGAGGTCGAGGGCGAAGCGCCAGATACTTCCCATGCGGCCGGCAAATTTCTTCGCGCGACCGTACATGGGTACGACATCCGCATCTCTCGCGTACAGAGCGCCAACAAAGGCACCTATCGATGTACCACCAACGATATCGATGGGGACGCCGGCTTCTTCTAGAGCTTTGATGATTCCGATGTGGGCAATGCCCCGTGCCCCTCCACCTCCTAGAACTAGTCCAACCGATTTGCCGCAGAGTCGGCGGGCGAGCCGGTGGAAGTCACCGTTGAATGGAGTTGTGGCGGAGTAGAGTGGGGTCTGGTGTATGCGACGAGAAGTATACTTTTGGATTTCAGCTTGCAGAACTTGAACTCTCTGTTTCAACACAGTGCCGAAGCGCTTGGTTACAGGATGAGTAGGTTCTGTGGTTAAGCGGAACGACATTTGAATGTGGTGGTGTCCGCCATTGATCCACATGCGGTTTTTTAACCACTGTCTGGTTAGGCCTGGCGGGGAGTATCTTTCTAGATGTAAGAGCACGAGCTCTTTCCTAGCAGTGGTTTTCATTCCAAGAAGGAACCGTTCATACTCACCAATACTGGGAGAGCCTTCAGCGACCCCGACCAAAAGAATGCAGTCTGCCTGGGTAATACAAGTTTGGGTCCATGGCGCATTAACATTTGTGTCCGCGATGTAAAGTACCATGCCGTATCTCTCCTCTAAATCCGCTAGATATTGAGAGAGCTTCAATTTACCCATCCTGCTGAATGCATGGCGTCCAAGATGATTCAGAATATCAGCCTGATGTAGAGCAGCTACCCCGTTGGTGACTCCGATCTGGTTGAAGGCAGTCAACAGACGGTTTCCAAATTCAACAACTGGAACTCCAGCTGTAACTGGCAGCACAGCAACTGTGCGGAGATTCAAAGTCGACGTCCCAGTCATGGCGCTTTCGTGCGTACCCTTGTCGGTAGGTTTCTCCATAAGCGGATTATGGATAAGATGTCTCATCCTCTGGGCAATCAGCTTCGAGATCTGTATAGTAATACTGGGATGTTCCTGTGCAAGACTGTTAAAGAGCGTTCTGGGAAATTTCGCTAATTCCGTATCGCGGATGGCATGAAGGGTCGCAGGCCTGGTCGACTCAGTCATGACTTCCAGCTCTCCCACACTATCACCTTGTCCATACTCTCCCATGACGCTCACATTCCCATCCCCTTTTTCCCAAACAGACCGAAGTCGACCATTGAGGACAATATAAATCGCATCACTCTCGTCGCCTTGATGATGAATAACCTCTCCAGCATTGACTTGAACCCATTCCAGAGCAAAGTCGATGTGCAGAATGAGGCGAGGAAGAACGTTGGTCAGTCTCTTGGCCATGGTTAGCAGGACAAGCGGGTGTCTGTCAGCAATCCTCTCGAGGCATGCCCGTGGCAAGAAGCCAACATAGACGTCCGTTTTCGCTGTAACATCGGTAAATGATCTGTATGAAGTAATAGACCCTAGATATCCATCGATGCCGCCAGGCTTTACCATATATAAAGATTTGCGCCTAGTGGGCCCTTTCCGTTGGCTTTGACCACCCCGGATGGCGGATGAAGCTCGAGAAGCTGCAGGTCGCTTAAGAGGTTCAAATAACCCACTTGACTGAAGGCGGGAGGCATCAGGCGAGTTCAGCAGGTCTTCCCCTCTCTCATTAACCGGTATTCCAACGTCCAAGAATCCATCTATCACATAGTAAAGGCCCGGATTGCGTTCTCCTTGCTCGACAAGCAAAGAGTCTTTCGGAAAAAATACAATTTCGATCTCGTCCCGCAACTCTGCTTTTAGGTTGGCCACAGGCGATGTTCCACCAGCACTGGTCACAGACATCGACATGAGAGATTCAGAGTCGGCATCGCCAAAAGAATCGTACGGGTCGATAAAACCAAACGCATTATTAAAGACGGCCTTCTGCCGCTTGTAATCATACGACACTAATTGAGGAGATGCCTCTCCAGAATTATGGGTTTTTCGTAACGCATCATTCGTGCTTCCTGTAAGGCCGAGAGCCGTCATCATACAATCAAGAATAGATTCACGGAAAACAAAATCCTCATCGATCGACTCTTGTCTATGAAACTGGGGACTTTGGGCCGACAGGCTGAATGGTTGCGGCTTCACCTGTTGGGCGGGTGAAGGAAATGCTTCCCTAGGGCTATTTAAAGGCGGGGGATATTCATGGGCATGTGTGAAGCCCCTGAGGCGCTCAGATCCATATCGAGGACCGTATCGAGAAAGTTGAATTGTAGAAAGTAAATCACCAGGACTCACACCACTGCTTTCTTTCTCAGATGCATGGGATGCATTGTGTATTGAATGCCTTGCTTGGGCAGCAGATATCTTGGCATACAATGCAGCATCTTTCCGCAAAGAGCTACTAGATCGGCGCCTTCCGCTCGCCGAGGGATTGTGGAGCGCGATGCCCTTTGTGACTTCCTCTGGGCCGAGTCGATCCCTCTCATTTGTGAATTTATCTTTGAGTCTATCTAGCGCGGCGCCGCGGAGATGATTCGGAAGATCATATGAGGTGTACTTATTCATCTGCCTCTCAATGCCCAGGACCTCTGTTGACAAGCCTAAATATGAATGTGCCGTCGCGAAAGTGACCCGCTGAAGCCTGGTAAGAATCACTTGGATGATATGAGCTGTAGCTCGAGGATACACTCGGGTCAAACGGCGGAAGGCGCTTGCAGGTATGATGGCAATCGTGGTGTCGACCATTGCGCGTGCTACAATGTCAGGGTGGACGGATTTCTTCTCCTTCGGCTTTCTCGTCTTCTTTGGTCTATACTGGTGCGCGTGAGGCTCACTTTGGAAGGACGTATGGCTGTCTTCAAGTGCGAGATGCGGAACGGCTGGTAACGGCGCAGGGTTTCCATTTGCTCGTGGAGGCGTTTCTCTAAATCCTTGGAAATGAGGCGCTACTGGACTCTCCGCCAAATGAGGGGAGGTCATTGGCATAGGCGGCGCACTTCGTGTTGGGTCAATGCTCGAGGTGCTTGATTCCATGTCCTCACTATGACGCAGCTTGATATCCTCAGTAAAAAGGGATAAAATTGAGAATAGAGACGACATTGAGGCCCCGTTTTTGACCTCTGTTAACAATTGATACCCTTGATGTCGGCGATCGCTAGGTTCTTCCTCTTCTTCCATTGATTCTTCCGCATCGTTACTATCCGCATTGGGGCTTCTCCTATATTTATCTTGGCTCTCTCGAATGGATTTTACGAATATCTGAACAGCACCATCAACCACAAGACAGAAACCTTTCTCTTCTTCCAACAACAAAGTTTCCCCAGCAATCAATTTCTTCGTTTGCATGGTGCGTGTCAATTCATGGAAAACGGGGCGCTCCAGATATCCAAAAACTTTGATTGCGCTGAGGAACTCGTCTAGATAGTTGGCTAGTCCGGGCTTCGAGTCACCAGCCTGGGTATCTGGGAAAAGATCGATTTGAGGTTCCTTTCGTTGAGGTTCGGGCGGAAGGCGGGAGTACATATTCAGGAACCGGTAGCGAACAAACCAGCTGATCGTCGACACAAGGACCAGCAGAATGACGAGACTGATTATGAGCACCATTTTAGCCACGGGAAGAGCAAAACTAAAAAGGAAACATATGTCCAATGGCGGGTTTTGAAGTGAGGTATACGTACAGTGTTGTGAAGTTCATGGTGAACGTCAGGCTCATTGAAAACAGCGTAAATAGCCAAGTTGGGAGGGTGATTGTGGTGAAAGTAATAACCCAATACAGGACGCCGGGGACGATATGGAACAGAAAGACGAACACACGCCCGGCGAAGGACGCCATGGCGAGGAGAGCGGAGGTGTCACTTAGGAGCGATGAGGTGGGGGAAATATGCGAGCAGATGAGGGCGGAGGAGTGAGAAGAAGAAATGGTCGAGGACGGGAGAGCAAAAGAGGTCTGGAGTGGGTCTAGAGTAACAGACTCGGTGGGGGAACCAGATGACGTCGAGCCGGGATGGAGCGTAGGCCCGACATCCTGCTTGATGCTAGCATCGATGATGCTGTGATCCTCAAATTGTAGACCGGCAGGGTCGTGAGCAGCAGAGGCGCTGTGGGATGCTAGATGTGAAGAGATCGAGATGTGGGCGGATGGAGTAGACATTGTCCAGCTCGTTGTCCGGCATAGTTGAGGTGGAAAAACAAAAAAAGAAGTAGAGTGAGTTTGTTCCGATTTCTTAGCTGAGGGCACCTATGACGGTCCCCAAGGTGGGGGAAATTAGAGTTAACTGGGTCCAGTCACGGCGCCGTGAGACTGCCCACGTTGTGCCAGCTTCAGCTAGCAGAGAACGAGAGGCTGCTTCTGCAGGTGCAGAGCAAGAAATCCGCCGCAACGTTGATTGTAACTGATGAAACCTGCAGATCGGTCGATGCTAGAGAAGTAACTGCTGGGCAGGTATGGATGTCGTTAAACGTTGTTGGACGTACGACGTACGTTGGATGTCTGCTCTGTCGTCGTTGGCGGTGGACAAGAGCCGCATCCCATGTGACAACGCACGGGAGTTATCAGCGATCGCTAACCTTATCGGGGGTTGTTAGGGCTGGGGACCGCCGCAGCCCCTATCAATCAGCCGGAAGGCCCCTATAAGAGCTCTTATCAATCTGGCGAACACCAACGACTTTTCATCCGACTTCATGTCAAGAATGAAACAAAATCATAATAACACACCACGAATATACTTACAGCATTCTCTGCTTAGTGATTTGAGTCATCACTTCCCTTGTATCTATTGTGCCAGCTCCTCATTACACTCACTAGCTCACCAGCAAACCATTCTCACTTGATATGGAGAGAGCTCAACATTTGTCAAGATCTCCTGTGAACACATTCAGGAAATGCAGTGGGTGTTGTCCTTTCACACCAACAGCATGAATCTGATATGTATGATAAAAAGAAGAATTGAAAATAATCAAACTTATATAAAAATCTGATTTAATAAAAAGAATGAAAATGAAAACATCTATACACACTTAGGCCCCTACTATCTCCTTTCTTATTATAGCCCCCGCGATCCCTCCTTCTTTGACTGCAATGGGCATGTTTGTATATATGATTGCACCTTGCAATCACTCCTTCCGCGATCGCAAGGAGCATGTTTATTTGTATAGAAAAGAGGTCGTACGTCCCCCTCTCTTAGAAGAATCAGACAAGATTTAGATTACCTTAATTACTACATATAGCATCCACGCGCACGCCGCAAAAGCTTTGAATATAATAATAAAATCAATTAAAAAACAGCAGCGAGAGTGTCAGAATGAAATGAGAAAATTAAAGTTATATCAATTATCTGAATCTCAGTTAAAGTGAAAATAAAAGAAGAAACAGAAAAGCTATTTTATGAATTAGAGAAAAAATAAATTGATATTAATATCAAATTAAAATTCTCTTTTTCTCTCTGTAGAAGAGTGTTAAATTACCTGTTTAAATATCATTATTCAGAAGAATAAAATCTCTGTTCATAATCACTATATTTAATATCATATATATGAAATTTATAAGATTTGGTAATTGTTCTGATATCTCAACTTCTCGAATCTCTAATCTCAATAAGATTGAACTCACATGATTTAGTTAACTAATAAAGTAAAAAGCAACAGTCAAGAAGCTCTCAAGAACTGTGCAGAAGCTATACAGATATGAGAAAAGATATGAAAGAAGCTACTTCAGGAGCAGATTCAGACATGAATAGAGCATATTTCTATCTATATCATGAAGATTATTGAGTTGGAAGGTGGCAATGAATATCATGAGAATTGCAAGAGATCTAAGCTATTCTGATATACCATCAGACTCAGGTTTAGCTCATTATTGAGAAACTGACTCTGCCAACTCATCAATCAATTACTGGGGATAGAGAGTACGCAGACGACATGTTGGTTGAATTGCGTTATGACCTCCCTGAAGTCGAGTGAGGCATACTACCCTACTTCCTTTTTTTATTTATTTGCCCTTGCTTCCTTCACATCCCAAGATCTTGTAACTCCACTGCCATGGTCTAAGAAATACACTGTTTCCGGTGAGACGGACATCAGTCAGTCGTTTCAAACTACCCAGCAAACGAGGTAGACCGCCTTGAATTCTTGAATTTTAAAAGACGACCTCCCAGCCTTCACATAAACTGCCTCCTCGCCAGCCGAAGCCCCTCGACGCCCACAGTGCCAGAGTTTACAAGGAGCCAACGCAGCCATTGGCGGGACGGAAAATGACTATAGTTCATTTTGCGAATGGCCGGACGGATGCCCCTGTGTCGAAGCGGAAATTGAGGTTGAGACATCGTGATTACACGGTTGCATGCATCTGTCCATTGCCGGTGGAGCAAACTGCCGCATTGGAGATGCTAGAGAGGAGCATGAACGCCTAACCCAGCCCCGGAACGATAGCAATGCTTACCACCTTGACAGCATCAATGGGTACAACGTGGTTATTTCAGGGCTTAGCACTCCTGGGTGTACGGCTGCGGCTAATGTTGTCGCTCAAATGAAAATGTCATTCCAAAATGTGAAATTTGGATTGCTCGTTGGTATCGGCGGCGGCGTTCCTGTGAGGACTGATTGGGGAACGGTCCGTCTTGGGGATGCTGTGGTCGGCAATCGAGCGAATGGGTATCCAGGCACAGTGCAATATGACCGTGGAAAAGTGGAAGTCAACAGCTTCAAATGTACCAATTCCCTATCCCCACCGCCACCAGTGCTCCTAGCTGCTGTGAACGCCTTGGAATCGCAACGGGACAGAGAGAGAGACGATCCTGTGTGGAAGGCCATCCAGATGATCGACACAACAAAACGAGGCCTCGTAAAATATAGATATCCTGGCAGAGGCCAGGATCATCTATTCAAGGGATCATCTATTCAAGCCGGCATACATCCACTTGGACTCTAACTATACTTGCGATGAATGTGGATGCGATCTTTCGGAGCAAGTCCAACGGCCCGAGGACAACGAAGGCGACATACAATATGTGAAGGTGCACAGAGAAAACATGGCAACTGGCGAGAAGGAGAAGGTTATAAAGGCTGCTGTGGAGAGGGATCGGAAAGCAGAGCAGTGCGACGCTCTGTGTTTCGAGACGGAGGCAGCAGGCGTTTTTACCGACTTCCATTTCCTCGATCCGTGATATATCGGACTACTGCGATTCCCACAAAAATAATAAATGGCATGGGATATGCAGCAGCAGCAGCATATGCGAGGCAGCTTTTCTTCCATTTGCCGGTTTCTAAAACTTGAAACCCAAGAAGTACGTTTAGAACAGAATACGACAATAGTACATGTAACGCTTCTTCTAACAACTTCTCCATATCTGTCCCCCAAACAAACGCCAGAAAATATCCCTTTCCAAAGGCGCAATATCTAAGATTCTAAAGTCGTCGAAGTTTGATCAAGTAGATGATGCCTGATGTCCATTGTCCATCAAGACTGCCCACACAGAAACATGTGGGTGGCTCCTGAAGACGCCGGAGTATCGCGACTGGTTTTGGGTGCCTCTGATGATCCATATCATGGATTTTTATGGATCAAGGGAAAACCTGGGGCGGGAAAGTCGACGTTGATGAAATTCATCGTCAAACAGGCGATGAAGATACAGAACAGAACTGTCATTTTCTTCTTTTTCCACGCACGAGGCGCCGCCCTGGAGAAGACTGTTGTTGGAATGTACCGATCTTTGTTGCTACAGCTTTTCACAAAATTGCCGCAGCTCACACAATTTTTTGCTCTGCCGAGTTTGATACTTGGAAGAGCATGGACAACTTTGAGTGGAACGATGAATTGCTGAAGGATCTCTTTAGAGATGCAGTATCCCGTGGGATGTTGTCTGTGATATATTTCATTGATGCATTGGATGAGTGCGATGAGTCAGGAGCCAGAGAAATAGTGAAGTTCTTCATTCATCATTTATCGGTGAAATCTGCCATCAAGCAAAATGGAAACTTTCGGGTTTGTTTTGCAAGCCGACATTAAATATTTAAATACCCCAATATTTACCCCAATATTTCATCCTCTGCCACGTTGAACTTCACCTCGAGCGCCAGGCGGGTCATGCCGACGACATACATAGCAAGGAATTAAGAATCAGTAAAGGTAATACTGCAAAGGAAATTAGAGACGAACTTTGGAGGAAAGCTTCAGGCATATTCATGTGGGTTGATCTTGTGGTGAAAAGGTTGCTCTCCACATCAACAGCAGACCAAGCTGCAAGCCAACCTGCACCAGTTCTTCCGTGATATTTTGACGTGGGATAAAAACAAAAACGAAGAGTTCCTGCTCTGCATGCAGTGGTTGCTTTTTGCAAAGCGGCCGTTGAAGCCCAGAGATTTACACTTGGCGATACTATCCGGCACAAACTTTAACGTTGAGGACCTAAATAGTTACAGGAGGAGGGCCATATTTACCCCGATTGATACGATAATAACAGTGAAATTTCTTCCCAAATGCTCCAAAGGGCTAAATAGCTGAGAAAACCATGTCCGAAGAACTCACTATGCAATTCAATTTATACACCAGTCAGCGAAGGACTTTCTTCTTGCGGAGGATGGACTGGAATTACTTTCGCCCGCCCTGAGAACTGACGTCCTAGGACAAAGCCACGAGCGACTGAAGCAGTGTTGTCTCAATTACATTGAAACCGATACCATTTCTCCTTCCGGAGGATGGAGGAAGATTTCTTCAATGGAAGAAGCATTTCCATTTTTGGTATATGCTTATACTAGTGTGCTGTATCACGCCGACGTAGCAGCGGGAGCTGGAATATTGCACGAGGACTTTATTACAACTATCAGGGGCGACAAATGGTTTCAAGTTTATGATGACTGACTACCTTGTCAAGGCCAGTTGTTATGTTTGTATTAGCTTCGGACAATCTGCCAAATCTCATCAGAATTCACCCGTCCAGCCTGTCATATCTCGACGACGAAGCTAGGAGGTGGAGTACCCCTTTTTCCATAGTGAGCACCAGGGGGAACAAAACCATCAAGGCATTCATAGAAGTATAGGCAAAAGCTCTCCCCGACAATCCTCACATCCAAACCCTCGCCCGAAGTTTGTGCGAGGACATCGATCGATCGATCTCGTACCGGCCGGCAATCCGTGGCACGCGCCGCACTGTATCACCCCCCGACACTCATTGATTTCCTGCTGGAAACCAGAAGATGGACGCTAGACAGCAAGCATGACAATGGTCGGACACTGCTGTCACAGGTCATTTGTCTTAGACCGGGTACAGATGTTGTCAAGTTGCTGCCTGAGAAGTACAAAGTTGATCCTAACTCATAGGATAACTTGGGCCGCACACCACTGTCACTTGCTGTTGAATATGAACAGAATGAGAAGGTTGTTGAGCTGCTACTTCAGAATCCCCAAGTCAATCCTGTGGCATCGGATAGCAGAGGTCGCACACCACTGTCATATGCTATTTGTGCTGGGTTTAATAATGGAGAGTCGGAGAGTTGATCCTAACTCGCGAGGTAATAGTGGTCGAACACCACTATCCTATGCTGCACAATATGGGCACCGCCATGCTATGAAGCTACTACTTAACACTAGCAAAGTCGATGTTGATTCAGAGGACAATATAGGTCGAACACCTCTATCCGATGCTGCACAATATGGGAAGCAGGAAGTTATCCCGCTACTGCTTCACACCGACAAAGTTGATATTGACTCGGTAGATAATAATAATATGACACCACTAAAGTACGCCGAGAAGTCCGGAATACCGAGACTGTCAATTTGTTGCTTGAAATTCGCAAAGCTTTATCGAATCCACCACAGTTGTTCAATGAAATGGGTCGTCACATGCCAGAAAACGAAGAGTATCATATGTTGGTTTAACAGGTAAATTAAAAATGTTAGTAGTCAACACGGACACAGATAACGATCTGTAATTCCATTCTCTGCTGTGGGCGGAAACAATCGAGTGAGCAGTACACGACGGGTTTTATTGTTGCTTGGTAGGCACTTTTAAGGAGGATCAAGAAGATGCTTATATGGTCGGCGTTTGGTGGATGTCCGGGATGAATTCGTTCTAGTGGTTTGTTGGGATTGAGAAAGAGTGGAACTGGACTTGGATTTTCAAGAAGTATTTCAAGAATGTCGTCTCTTTGACTGGGGAAAGAGAAAGGAATGGAACGGAATTCATAGATTTACGTGGCTTCTCTACATGTACGTACTTCGAAGTAGTCCGAAGGGTAGCATACATTATGGGGAATAAGGTAGTAGATATTACGTTGACTCGTGCAATGGACAGAGGAAAGAGGTGTCCTTCGTTCAGAACGTTGACCTACAGAACAAACTCATTTCCGGCTACAAAAGTATGGAGAAACTTTCATTCGTCGATTTCATTAGATTTGGGAATATAATTGCCGCAACAAGACTCTCGTTGACATATGAACCATAAAAGCTCCTTCCCGGAACGTTGAAGCTAGGGAGCAGCCTGCAACATAATATCCTGCACTCTTAACTGGAAAGACAGATCAAAGCATGTGTGGGTATCATTTAGATATGATGTTGTTTCTCCAATTCATCGAGCTCATCTAGTAACTGCACCGTTTCACCGGGATTAGATACCCAAGATGTGGTGCATGCAAGGCGGGCCTGCAAGGATCATATGGGCAGCAAGGACGATGTTAGAACTAGGTTATCAACACGCGGAGCAAATTGGGAGGGGGTGGATCATACCTTGAAATCATTAGAGCCCGCAGAAAGGAACTGGTCGCCGATATGCAGAGTTTTGGACTGCGGAATACCGCCAAAGTAACGTTGGCAGGCGCGCACACCCCAAGATTTATCGCCAATATCAATGAATACGTCGTTTCCTCCTAGGAGCAGTCGTTAGTTGTGGAAATACAATGACAAGAAGGAGCGATCCTAAAACTCTTGGAAGCTGCTAGGAATATCATTGGCTTACCATTGAACGCACAGAACGGTAGACGTTCGCCTACCGATGAAAATTCAACCGTTTGTTGTGCTACTAAAACCGTCTCCTCGAGCTGCTCCCGGTGCATACGGCTGCCCTCGAGTGGAGATATGCCAACCGCCCGCGGTTTGCGAACAAGGGTAGCTGGAAGTTTCAACTTAGCCATGCAGTCACGGAGTGCAGTTTCAGCAATATCCAGCAATTCGGTGATATCCTCCTCTTGCCACAGCTTCATGTCATCCAGGAGCCATTCGCTCCGTTCGACAGGTGAGAGCAAATCAGGGGATGATCTGTCAAACTTAAACAGGAAATTGCTCTCGCCACCCATTACTATAAGATTATTCTGCTGGTGCTCATTAAGGCCTGGGTCGTTTTTCACGTTGTCTAACAGACCGTGAAGACGCTCGTAATACCTGAGTGCCTCAGTGTATCCAGCAGCGGTTACGATACCGACCCTCTTCCCCTGGCGTAAGAGACGGATTATCCGTTGAATGACTGGGTTGTCCATAGTAAGTGATGCTCCATCGTCGTAGAGTGTCACGTCGCCGTCAAAAGTGATGAGGTCAACCCCTCCGCCTTTGATAAGGCCTAAGAGTTGCGCTGTGTTGAGGATGTTGCGAATATCGTTGAACGATGGTGGCACAAATCGCCGACTGCTGATGGATCGTTTCTTATCCTGATATCTGAAGGCATCGACCAAAAGTAGAGGAGTGAAGAAAGTTCCAATGCTAGGAACTAGAAGCTTCAGTTTTGAAGGACGTTTGCTTTTACCCTTTTGGTGACTGACTATATTACGAATTAGTGAATTTGAAGTTTTACATCGCTAGTCAGTTTGACAAGCAGTCTTGGAGGTACGGCGTTGAATTACTATGGTCGTTGATGAGATTTTCAACATCATGCATGATCTCCACATAACGGTCATGAGTTTTAGCAGCTGGCTGGGCAAGGTTGGGACTGTGCTCTTGGTATAGCGCAGTTGGTTGCGAGTGTAGCACGAAAGGAACGGCGAGCAGTCCCTATAGCTGAGATTAGCTATTGCCTTATGCCACAGCAAATAGTTAACCAAATGATGGTTGCTTGGATCCGGCGCGGGCACGATATGTGGGGGGCGCATAAAAATATAATATGGGCGACGCATCTTACCTTGATCCATTCAATCTAACCATTCCCAATGTTAGTCATTTTCTATGGAAGGTTCGATAGCAATGAAAAAAGAAACTTACTAACTGGTCCCTGCGATGAGACTATCTCTCGGAACAGTGGGCGAAGTTAGCCATGGGATTATAGTCTCTCCATGAACAGTACAGCAGACCGGGAAAAGCTCAGTACCAACCTTAAGGGCGTCTAAGCGTCGAAAGTTAGCCGAACTCAAGTTCCAAGGATACTAGTACAACGTAAAGGAAGAACCTTACATTCCACTCTATATCGAGTTGTCATGGTTGAGGTGATGGATGCCGGGCCGGAAACTCATGAGCGGACTGATGCGAGAAGCCGAGTGTCACAAACCGCAAGAATTCTTCCGGCGAGATAACGGGTTATATTTATATATGTTCCCTATCTTGTGATGATTGGACTCCTCCTCCCAGCCGGTTGTTTGTGGAAATACAATGAGTGGCTGGGCGTGTCTGTCTTGGGGGGGGGGATTACTGAAGAGCAGATGGTTCACAATCTTATGATTAAATTAATGCTTTGATTCTTCCATCAGCGGCACTGTAATAAGTTGCCTCAAATTTTGGTCTTATCCAGGTATCAAACCAATAAGACGAATGAAAGATGGGGGGGAGAGAGAGCAGCAGGCTAGCTAGCTATGAGGTGTAACTGGGTATGTAGACTCCCAGAGCTTGATGTCATGAGCGTGGGTGTACTGCGTCCTCCTGCTGAAACTAAAAAGGAGAAAGAGGGAAAAATAATTTCGAAATGTAAGGGCTGACTTCGAGATGTTGCTGTTGCTATTGTTGTTGTCGTTGTTGCAGGTTATACGTTACAGCTGGTTGTTTGCTGAGGTTGAAGTTCGATCTCAGCCACGGGTTTGTCGACCCTAATTCGGCAAAGAAAGCCGAGAGCCGGTAACTATAGCTACGCTTACTCAGCCATCGGAGGAGACTATATTTAAAAAATGAAAGTGTTTTCAGTTGATTTATTCTAGAGAGTAACTACTCTATAATTCTTATCTTTAATATCATTTCCCTTTCTAACCATACTCAGCTTTTCTCTAACCATGTTCAACTAGAACCTGATATATTGGGTAACCATGCTACGAAGTTGTGCAGAAAATACTATTGCATGGGATAGTATTGAATGTAAATATGTAGTTACTAAGTCATATATGGCTTTCCTTATATTAAGAAAGCTCTCCTATCCCCCAGACCATCAGGGTTGATAAAGTTACACAAGACCCAGTGACCCAATCATACAGAAAGAGATGAGAAGCTGCAAATCACCCGTTCCCAATCCGCCCGCATCAACTACAATTCAGGCCTAGTCTCCGACTGACTCAGAAGGCCCATAACACTCTGCAATGTCTTCTCTTCACCCCCACCATCATCACTCCATGAATATATTACATTCCCTCCACGAGCCATTGACTCCAAGGCCTCTCCTAGATTAGCATCTAGTCCAGCGCCTAACCATTGACATTGAATAGTCAACCTCTCTGGCCGCAGGTCAATATTGAGCTTCTTACTACGGCGCTGCGTGGGGGAGGAGGCAACCAGTTCCCCGTTCTCAGGGGATGTGGGTGTCCATGGCGTTGGGTGTGAGGCACGGGGTTGGACAGGGGTGTTGAAATGAGTCTGTTCTGTTTGTACCTGCGCTTGCCCTTGTTCTTGCTTCTGCTGCGAGGAGATGGGCGGTGGAGACGATTCCGTACCCGTATCCCACGCTAGTGTTGGAATAAGGTATACCAAATCGATCGTGAAGCGGTGGAGGAGGAGCTGTTGGAGATCATCGCGGAGGCCAAAGCGGGACGAGCTGGATTTAGTGCGCGAGCCGGAAGTCATGTTCGTTGCTATTTCGAATTCCGTCCCGTACCCATTGGGGCTTATATTGGTTACGATGCGGATCTTGAAGTTGGAGGTTGGAGAGAGGAAGGTGCCGGTTACGATGGACTCAAGTGGTGTGAGGAAAGTGTCTACAAGTCTTTCGACGAAGGGCAAAGTGTCCGGCTCCGAGGGAGAGGGAATGGTTTTGTTCATGGGTGGGAGTCTCACGAATATTAGCGGGGAGACATCATGTTTACATTTTAAGCCGGCTAGTTGTAATGTACGTGTTATGGTGCTAAGAAAAGATCTTAACCATTGCAGCGCTGATTTGTGTTGCAGATAACTGACAATTGGTCGTATGAGGGAGTATTCTGGATTTGGCCGGCGTTTCAATGTGACTGGTGGCGGAATTCGGGCCCTGCGTCGGTACTTCTTTCGATGGGCATGGGAGAGTAATAGTCGTAAAGATTGCGCCACAGCCTCTGCTAGAGCGTCTTCTGCATGTTCCTGCTGGTTTAGATCCGAAATATTGTATGCATCTAAACCGACCATGTCGATAAGAATTTGCTGATTATCGCTGGCCTGGAACTGGATCAAATTTTCCTTGCTCTGGATTCCATGTTGTAGTAGAGTGCGCGCTTCACGATTAAGTTCATGGAACAGCTCTTCTTCATACAGGACATCTCTAGCCAAACGAATGCGGTGTTCGATTGTGTCGTCACCAGGCGCCAACTCCAGGGAAATCAGCTTTGAGCATCCGACTATTTGGTCGTGTTGCTGTACACGAACCCGTAGAGAACGAGGTTGGGACGGCTGTAGCCCGCGGTCCAGGATTAGATCACCTCCATCCCCTCGTCTCAGGGCAGCAAGACCACGATCACGGAGAGTAGGCGTAGCTTTTCAAAATTCAATTAGCCGATGGATATTAGTCACGAGGGCACACTTTAGAATAATAAAACGAACCTTCCAAGAAGCCACATTGTACGCCTAACGTCTGTCTTTCCCGCGGAATTCTACAAATCTTCCACCCTTTCTCCTTGATACTTAGGACGTCCGCCCAGTACTTTGTCTCCGCGGCAACCTCCTGCTCCAGCCGGGAGGCAGCCTGTAGCAGCTTATTGGCTGCAAAATCAAAGGTTTCCAACTTCCAACCCCGCGACAAATCGACGATTTCCTTTTGAGCAGATTCTGTCTTCTCTGGCGTTTTGATGATATCGATGCCCAATGAACCTAGTGGTGCCTTTTGCTTGAGATAAGGAGACATGGAAATCTCAGCCTGGCGCGGTGTATATTTGGAAATAAGCAGGGACACGAGGTCAAGGGCGTAGTTGGCTTCAGCATGGGCTTGCCTATATGTGGTCGCGTTAGCCTAAAGCAGTCCTTGATTTCATGAACAAAATAAATATCTGGGGGCAAGGCGCACGCTACAAAGTCTACAATTTCGGCCCTGCTTTTAAACAACTGCTCCAACCTGTCTGTTGACTTGACCTCCTGTGATTCAGTTTCTTCAGTTTCCTCAGCTTCCAGGCCTGCAGCCGCTCTAGCCCGCTGCGCATCTATCTCCGCTTGGAGGCTCTGTTCAGTGACATTGCGAAAGGAGCCGCGCTGACTATTAATCTGGGCGATTCGAATGGGTAACGAGTCCGGTTCTCTCGCTGACTTCTGGATGAAGGGGCGCAATGGAAGAGGAAATGATTCCTCCATTTTGACAGCCTGGGGGGTAGGAGGCAGTTGATTGGGTTTGGGTTGTTCAAGGACCTCGAGAGCTTCCTGAAGGTCCGTTCTGTGGTATCTGTGCATAGCTGCTGGTGCTTTAGGGAAACATTGTGTAATCTGGGGGGGTTAGCGGAAACATCGGCACAATCGTACTAAGCTTATAAGTATGTTAATCCCGTAGTGAGGGTTCAATGTGCATGCATTGTATGTTCTTTGCTTAATGTAGTTTCAGTTCAGTTCAACACAGAGCCAGCAACGATGATCATGTGATGATGACGACGGCAAACGGAAGTAAAATTATCCGACTTCAGGGTATGCACGGACCACCTGGGTAAGTCTTCCAAGTTTGGGAGCTCTGCCCCGCACTAACCTCAATTAAGACTAGTGATTTCTGGTTGCTCACCGAAATAGCCCCGCTTAATCATCATGACGCCGTCATCGAACCGCTTTGTCTTTTGGCTGGGTGAGACGAAATTACTTTATATCCCATCAATTAAGGCCAGTTGCCATTGTCTTTGTCTTAATTGTTGCTCCTGTGCCAGCATTGGATTGCTATGCTCTGCTAGCGTCTTACGGGGGAATTCTCCTAGGGTTACAACGTTGCATCACCGCCAACCTCCCTCCTTGCCCAACATATAGCCAGGTACATCTCAATTGCTAACCATTACGAATAAAACACCATACTATTGCAGGGAATTCTATCTTTTCGATATTTCGCCAGTTTCAGCCAACAGTCCGCCAACACAATGGCTGACACTGCCAGCGCTAGTAGCACTTCAGTTATGCTCTCCAAGCGTCGCCGTATCGCTGTGCTCACAAGTGGTGGCGATGCCCCCGGTATGAATGGCGTGGTCCGCGCCGTCATCCGCATGTCTATCCACTGTGGTTGCGAGGCTTATGCTATCCATGAGGGTTATGAAGGCCTAGTTCGAGGCGGGAAGTTTATTAAGCGGATGCATTGGGAAGATGTGCGCGGCTGGTTGTCGCGGGGAGGTACCCTGATTGGCTCTGCTCGCAGCATGAGCTTCCTGACACGAGAAGGACGTCTACAGGCGGCTAAGAATTTGGTTGTGCGTGGAATCGATGCGCTAGTTGTATGCGGTGGTGACGGCAGTTTGACCGGGGCAGATATCTTCCGTGGAGAATGGGCCGGTTTATTGGGCGAGTTGGTTCAGAAGGGGGAATTGACCTTGGACCAGGCGAAACCGTACGATTCCCTCAATATTGTTGGCATTGTAGGTTCTATTGATAATGATATGTCGACAACTGATGCTACGGTTGGTTGTTATTCATCACTCCATCGTATATGTGAGGCTGTCGACTATGTGTTCGATACGGCTGCTTCCCATCAACGTGGCTTCGTGATTGAGGTGATGGGGCGGCATTGTGGCTGGCTGGCCCTAATGTCGGCCATCAGTACGGGGGCAGACTGGTTGTTTATCCCGGAGAGGCCTCCCCGAGACGGCTGGGAAGATGACATGTGTGACATCATCACCCAGGTTCGTGTTGGTGCTGATCAAATACTCGGCTCCTGTACGAAGATGCATACAGTGCTAACCAGTTTCTCGTTTGAGAATAGAATCGGAAACGAGGCAAGCGCCGCACTATCGTAATCGTAGCTGAAGGCGCACAGGATAGCAACTTGAAGAAGATATCCTCGGAATCCGTGAAGGATCTACTGAGCAACAGGTTGAAGCTTGACACTCGGGTGACCATTCTCGGCCATACACAGCGAGGAGGCCCTGCCTGTGCTTACGATCGGTGGTTGGGCACACTTCAGGGAATAGAAGCTGTCCGAGCTGTTCTGGAAGCCAAACCCGGCTCACCTTCACCGATCATAACCATTAGAGAAAACAAAATCGAGCGGTCGTCCCTCCTCGACGCTGTTCGAGTCACGAAAATGGTAACCCAGGCCATCAAGGATAGAGACTTTGCGACAGCGTTGGAATTGCGAGATGCGGAATTTAAAGCCTATCACAGGGCGTACATCAACACGGCGACTCCTCACCATCCCAAGTTGCAGCTACCAGAGAGCAAAGTAGGTTTAAATTTTTACTGCAGGTAGTAGGCTATGCTTGAAATTATACTAACTAGGACATCGTCGTGTCAGCGAATGAGAATCGCAATTATTCACGTTGGTGCGCCCGCTGGTGGTATGAATCCCGCAACGCGCGCAGCTGTAGCCTACTGTATCGCCCGTGGTCACACACCAATTGCGATTTACAACGGCTTTCCAGGCCTTATTCGACACCACGCGGATAAGCCTCTAGGTTCAGTCCGAGAAGTTACATGGCTTGAATCAGACACGTGGGTAAATGAAGGCGGTTCGGAGATCGGCACAAACCGCGGCCTCCCCTCCGAAGACTTTGAGAAGGTCGCCGAATGCTTCGAGCTATACAATTTCGATGCCCTCTTTGTGATTGGCGGCTTCGAAGCGTTTACTGCCGTAAGCCAGCTCCGCAAAGCCCGAAATGAATTCCCCGCCTTCCGAATTCCCCTCGTCATCCTCCCGGCGACTATCTCCAACAACGTTCCGGGCACTGAATACTCCCTCGGTAGCGATACCTGCCTGAACGCCCTCATCAACTTCTGCGACGTAATCCGCCAATCGGCGTCCTCCTCCCGCCGACGGGTCTTCGTGGTTGAAACCCAAGGCGGCCTCTCAGGCTACGTAGCCACAATGGCCGGGCTCGCCATCGGTGCCTACGCCGTCTACATTCCTGAGGAGGGGATCGATTTAAAAATGCTCGCGCGGGACATCGAGTACCTCCGCCACAACTTCTCTACCGACCGCGGAGCTAGCCACGCGGGCAAGATAATCCTACGCAATGAGCACGCCTCAGCCACGTACACCACGCAGGTAATCGCCGACATGATCAAAGGGGAAGCGCACGACCGCTTCGAATCGCGCGCCGCGGTACCGGGCCACTACCAGCAGGGCGGGAAACCGTCACCGATGGACCGCGTGCGGGCACTGCGCATGGCTATAAAATGCATACAGCACATGGAGACGTTCTTTGGGCTGGAAAAGGAGAAGATTGCGGCGGATCCCATGTCCAGTGTCGTTATTGGGATTAAGGGAAGCGAGGTTGTTTTTGGGCCGGTGGGTCCGGGCGTTGACGGGCGCGATGGGTTGGATAAAACAGATACAGACTGGGTTCGTCGAAAGCCGAAGAATGATTTTTGGATGGGGCTGAAGGAGCTGGTGGATATATTGAGTGGGAGGCCTGGGGAGGATCATGATGGGGTGCTGAGAACGGCGGAAGAGGAAGGGTGGGGGGCGTATGCGCCGATGGATCCATGTCATTTTACAGAGTAGCTCTAAATATGTTCAGATGTTCAGGTGGCTGGTGCTGACTTGATGGATATATATATTTCCTTTTACTATTAGTTTTCAGCTGTTTTTCGATTATTCAGTTTGATTAGATTGAGGGTTGATATTCATATTTCAGCACAACAATCAACTAGATAAACATATTAAAAATTATCAAGTCTTTACACCTGAATAAAAATATTCCTCTCTGCTTAGATAATCTTTTTGAGTAGGATCAAAAAATCTATACAATACTCTAACTCTCCGCCTTGGACTATTCAAGTATCCTACCGTGCCCACCCTCGAGTCAGGGCTCAGATGGGTGGATGGGATCGGGGATAGGGAACCAAGAACCGGCGAGGACGATACGTTAAACAAACAGCCGTAAGTGTTGGGAGAGAAGATGATGATCCAAATTGTTGTACCGAGTACATACATAGGTATTGAAGGGGCTAATAAATAAATAAATAAATTGTCATATATGTACAGGTTTACCGTACATGTCTGTCCTTCGTGGTGGGATTTGGCTAACTTCCAACGCCCTAACTACAGCAAATGAAATGGCTAGCAACAGGACTAACTTAACTTACGGGATAACTAACTAGTTAACTACGGAGTATACAAACTTGAACCCTACAATTGACTTTACCAACAAACCATGACATTTGCCACTTTCGGGCCAGAAATCTGTACATACATCTACCCTACCTACCGCAACACTCGCACCTCGCTAATTAGCGCTCGGCCAAGCAGCTTCGGCGATGCTTTAAAAAAAGGCTTGTTTTCTCTCGGCTTCAAGGAAACATTGCTTGCGCAAAGAAACAGTGGGGAAAGAATGAAACGAATGAACAAAAGTCATATGGCCACGCTTCCCATACATATATTATAGTTAGGATTTCGCCTAGGAGGTAACTTAACTTAATCAATTCATGATTCAATGCATGCGAGTGACCTTGTGTCCCGCCGCTGCTTGGGTTGCGGTAACGGGTACCTCCTATGTGCGGGATTGCGTGTACTCTGCCGCCAGTGCTGCCAGCTTAGTTTCAATAGATAGCAGCAGATGTCTGTCGGCGGTTGATTTTCTATTCGTCCTTCTCGGTGTATACATGGTACCCATGAGTACCCATGATAGGGGTGATATAGATAATTATACATATCATTATCATATCCCCAGTTCAACCGTGCATCTGATATATGTTAGATGAATACGGAGTATACTTCCCTTCATCCGCTCATGCCCGCCCGCTGGCCTCGACGGTTCAATCTGATCTAATATCTCGATAGCATCTCGCTCATCTCCTCCTGAACTCTCTCCTTGCTCCCGCCCCCCTTCCCCTCTCCCCTCTCCCCTCCCCGCGCGCGCGCGCCCCCCCCCCCTTCCCCCTACTCCCCTACTCCCCTACTCCCCCACCTAAAACCTCCGTAGCGCACTATTCGGCGACATTGTAGGATGCGCTTAAGGGCATCTTCATCTCCGCCTCCGTCTCCAGCCCAGTCTTGGCTATTAACGAGCCAAGCCCTCCTCCTCCTCACCGTTCCCATACATGCCGTTAATTTGAACGTAACTAACGATGGTATTTCTAATCCAAATTTCCTAGAATCCCCTTTTACTTTTATATCAGTACATATAGATCTAGCGCATCCACTCACATATGAAACCCAACCCTCCCCCAAAAAATAGAATCCGTCATAAAAGTCGCCCAAGAGCTCGCAAAGGGTCTGAGAAGCTACTACACAGGTGACGCTCCCGGGAATGTCCCCGGAACCCTGCCCCCGCCCTACTACTGGTGGGAAGCCGGCGGGATGTTCGGCGGCCTGATCGACTACTGGTTCTATACCGGCGACTCGACCTACAACAGCATCATCATCCAAGCTATGGTGCACCAAGCTAGCCCGACCCGCAACTTCATGCCGGTCAACCAGACGAGATCCGAAGGCAACGACGACCAGAGTTTCTGGGCCTTAGCCGCCATGGCCGCGGCGGAGCGCAATTTCCCCAGCCCGCCCCCGGACCAGCCAGACTGGCTTGCCCTCGTGCAGGGCACCTTCAACTCGCAGGCGGCGCGGTGGGATACAGAGACGTGCGGTGGCGGGCTCAAGTGGCAGATCTACCCGTTTAACTCCGGGTACGACTACAAGAATACCATCTCGAACGGGTGCTTTTTTAACATCGGGGCGCGGCTGGCGACGTATACCGGCAACAAGTCGTATGCGGTCTGGGCGGAGAAGGCGTGGGATTGGATAGAGAGTGTTGGATTGGTGACGGACAATTACCAATTCTTAGACGGCGCGGATGATGAGCAAAATTGCACGAAGCCCGATCCGATCCGGTGGACGTATAACGCGGGCGTAAATATGTTGGGCACCGCGCATATGTATAAATTCGTCTGTTCCCCCTCTCCCCCCCCCCCCCCCCCAGTATCTCTACCTCTGCCCATTTCTTGCTTCTTCTTCAAACCACTCCGTGCATCACAAAAAAAAAAAAAAAAAGAAGGTTAACCCCGCAAATCAACCGCAAACAGACCAATGGCAGCGACAAATGGAGAACCCGGCTACAAGGCATCCTCGACGCCCTCGACATCTTCTTGCGGCCGGAAACATCCATCCTCTTCGAATCCGCCTGCGAGCCCTACAACACCTGCAAAACAGACCAGCTCTCCTTCAAAGCCTACCTCGTCCGCTGGATGGCCGCCACAACCCAAGTCGCCCCCTTCACAGCCAAGCGGATCATGCCAATCCTTGCCGCCTCCGCCGCCGGCGCCGCGAAGGCATGCGCGGAGGGAGCCGGCCCGGACTTGACGACGGCGTGCTCGCTGAAATGGGACGTGGGCAAGTTCGAGGGGGTGACGGGGGTGGGACAGCAGCTCGCGGCGCTGGAGGTGGTTCAGTCGAATATGGTCCGGAGCGTCCCGCCGCCTGTGTCGGCGTCGACGGGGGGAACGAGTAAGGGAGATCCTGGCGCGGGGTATCGACACAACAGTGATGTTCCGCCGGAGATTGCGACGAGGCGGATCACGGTGGGGGATAGGGCCGCCGCTGGAATTTTGACGGTTATATTGCTTGGTAGTATAGTTGGGGGAGCGTATGTGTTGTTTACCTAGGGATGTTGAGTCTCTTCGTTGGGTTTTTTGTGAGTAGATTTTTTCTTTTTTTCTTTTTTTTGTTTTCTTCGGATTTTTGCAGTTGGTGGAGCAGTGGTTTTTCTTTTTTTATTCAATATTTAATACGTCTGACTGGCTTGCCTCTGCGGTATTATGCAGATTAACCACAGAGTAATCCGGTTTTAGTAGAAATAAAGGTTTTTTCTTCGTGATGTTTGTAATTCAGGAATTGATTTATTTATTATCGTCGAGAGTTGTACGGAGTAGACACACATCAATTACGTATGTTACTATATTTATATAACTAATTTAATCAGTCTTGACTTTCAGATTATTAAGCTCCATCTCGCAGCTTCATCTCACAGATCTCTCAACATTCTCAGAATCTCAGCTATAGAATTCTCTCGGATGTATAGAGATTCTCAACAGATAGAGTCTCTTTGAATATAGAGTCTTTCTGAGTATAGAGCTCTCTTAAATATAGTCTTCTCTCAGAATAGAGCTTTTTCAGATATAGAGTTCTCTCAGAACGGAGATTTTCAGATAAGAAATCATCAGATATAGAGACTTTGTAAGTATAGAGAGTCTGAAAGAATAGAGATCTCTGAGTATAAAAACATTCTGAGTGTCTAAATAGACTCTCAGATCTACTCAATATTAAATAATGTGAGTCTCTATTTCATACAATCTTTGATGAGAAGATCTTGATTACTTAATACAATCTTTGGAACACTAGTAAGTTATAAAATACGAGAAAAAGGGGTAGAAAAAGATAAACAGGTTAATTATTAGCTATTATTACTAAATCAAAAAAGACGGAGGCGGGGGGGATATATAATAACTAATAAGAATAATGACAGGTCACCAAAGCCAAACATTGATAAGAGCAACTACAACTTTTCCCCCGAATACTGTCGGCTCCTTGTTCGCTCTGCAAATGTTGAAGCAATCAAGCTCAGAATTTGAACAGTGTGGGCAAAAGCTTGAGAAGAGAGGTATATATAACCCAACAACAGCACAAACAAAAATGGGGAGATAAAATTTGCATTTGTCTGCGTTACTACTGCCGCAATCGCTCACTCGCAGCCTGATAAGTGCCATATTATTATCGATCAAAAACCATAAGAATCATGTCATGTCGCATCTCGCATCTCGCATCTCGCATCTTCCGTGATGGTCCCAACATCGCCTGGACGTCTCAAAAATTACCATCATCTTCATTCTCCTCTCCTCAAGTCACCACCTCCCCACGTGTTTCGATCTCGAACATCAAATCAAAATCAATCACACGGTCCCCGCCGTACCCCCAGTCTCAGCCGACTGTCTGGGGACTTCCTTGGTAGGGTGCGTGGCTGGGGAGCGATTCTTGTGGTACGTCCAGAGGTTGTAGATTTCAAGCATTGCGGCAGCAAGGCAGCCGAAGCTGGGAAATATGTTAGTCGTAAGATTTTCTTCTAAACTCAAGGGGGGGGGACTCCAGTGCGCCGCGGGGTGTGTGTATTAGGGGGGGTTCAGGGGTTAATCTTACAAAGCTAGGAAAGTAAAGGCCTCGAGTGCGTATTTGAGAGAACATCGGCCGCCTGGTGGTGCATTGAATGCACAATCGTGCTTGTTGTAGTCTTGCGCAGTGAAGATGAATGATGTCAACCACCTAATTCAATTAACAATGGGGTGTTGTTTCGTTAGCAGAGGTTTTTATTGCGTTTGGGATTGTATATTTCCTGATGTGGAGAGAAGATACGTACAGATAGGAGAATATGATATCAATAGGAAATGCGAAGCTCCCAATCACGGGGATGAAGGGCGACAGCAGGCCTGGTATGAAGAAGGCGACAGATAGTACAGCCTGGGTTATATCTCATGTTAGTATAACATGAACAACATTCGTATTTTGACCGTCTTCCTATACTTTAAAAGGAGGGCTATTGACATACGATAACAATCTCGTACTTCAGATGTCCACCCTTAGGACCCTTATTGAGAAAATAGGCAACGATTCCCATGACGATAACTGCACTGCACCATTGTAGCAGGCGAGTGGCAAAGAGGGCGCCGCGCAGAGCAGTATTGACGAGAGTCATTGTCGCCGGCGCAGGTGTGAAATACTTTAAATTAGATGATAAGATTTATAGATAAAAGGAATATGGAATATGGAATATAAATAAATATAAACTGTTCTGATAGCGAAACCGGGGGGGCGTCTTGTGTATGAATATACTCTCGCACCGCGAGAATAGGGGGGTATCTCCTGAGTCTGGGTACAAGTAAATCAAGTGGAAGAAAGATAAAATAGAAGATAGGGGACTGTTTGTAAGTTCCACGGAGGCAAAGCAAACCCTTTATACCCTCTCTTACGAAGGGGAACAACTCCTAAATCAATTCCCCCGCAGCATCAGCAGCAGCAGCACAGCAGCAGCAACAGCAGCAGAAGAAGACGAAAAGAAATGTAGTCCATCACGTCATAGAGCGCCGGGGGGCTTCTATTTGGAAGCAAAGGCCCGATTTGCCATCGCCCATTGGCCGCGACGGGCGAAGGATGTGACAAAAGTTGCTCACATGGCCCTGGAGAGGGTTTGATGCGTAACCGGGTGTGCCGGGGAAACCCAATAATGCGCTTTTTGGACATTTGACATGTCGCAGAGACGGCGTCCAGGACAATCGCTCAATTGCTTCACAGAGGGCGCCAACCCGGGTTCGGCGTGGGAAGGCTGATGGGGGTTGTTGGTATGTGGGTTGATTGGCTGATATGACGCTGGTTTGACGTTTTGATGAACTTATTATTGCTGCCATATTCGATTTATACCTGCGTGCAAGTACCGTAATGTATGTAAGTATATGTAAATGTATATATGTACATGTACAATATACATGTAGACATTATTATGATATCTTAGTCAACTTACATTCCTGCTCCAGTGGCGGCACGTCATATGATGATTTGGATGAATGGGATGAATGGGATGAACGGGATGAACGCGGTGAACGGGGTGAACGGGAGGAATTTGTGCCACCAAACCAATCTGTAGTTAGCAGTTATGTAGCTAATAAACTAACTATCGATATCAGCACAAGAAGATGTATCTCCCGTTTGCTGACGGATGTTCGGCAGTCTCGTCGTCAGAACTCTGTATCATTACGATGAATCATGGCAGCCATGATCCCGGGGTCCAGCGAGTTATTGGCTGTGCTGGATTAATAATAACTAATAATGGCTGTGATATGGATGATAAATAATAACTATGTTATTATTTACTGGACGATGTTTGTGACAACCAAACCCGGGCTTGGGCAGCAAAGTCTCTCGCCCTCCGAGAAGTCAGAACCCGGCAAGGTCGGCAGCGGCATGGCATGGCATCTGGACCCCGTCGTCTGGCCATCTTACTTTATCAAGTCTATTATTATATTATTATTCAGAGGCTTTGTGCTGTTATCAAGGCCGCCGTGTCGGCGCTAGTTATTTAACTAACTGGCGAGCTACGGTGGAAGGGCGTTTTAGCAGCCTTGGACGGAACTTTAATCCAACACCCCCCCCCCATCTCCATCTCAATCCGCCGGAAACATCAGGGGGAAAGCTGGAGCAAGCTGGATGGACGCTGGATGGGATAACTAGCTGGATCGGTGACTATTCTACCCTCTTGTTTTGTTGTCTTAACCGGGGCAGAGACACCTCTCCTAATCCTCCTGACAAATGATATCTAGATAATAATAATATCCGCAGTATCAAACCAAACCAACCCATAACTAACTTAACTAGTTATGTTACCCCGCGCTCCGCAGCCGTGAAAAAGCTTCAAGCTCACCGATCATGCAATCATGCAATCATGCAATCGCCTGTGTTCACCGTGATCAACATCCACAGACAGCTGCCAACTAGCCAACCGTCCACGGTTCGGAGACAGTTTTGCTTTTTTGAGCAACCAGCCGGCGTCCTGTGGCACCTACCGGCACCGGCACTGGCCAGCCATCGCATCGCAGTAGAAAACATAGCTAACTTTACGTTACTTAGTTAACTATGATGATGTCACGAGCTGTGGACTTTAATCCAAAACATGCGGACATATGCCATCAGCATGCCTATCCCTGCAATTGCTATAGATAGGAATGCAGAATAGTAACTAGCTATATATCTCCTGAAAATTAACGAACGCAGGAACAGATTAATTCAAGATCCCTCTATTAATTTATTTCTCTTCATCAAACCAAAGCCAGCAATCCCCTCATTCCACAGATCATCCAAAACTGCTAGCAGCAGCATATTTACGCTTCTTCAATTCGACAAACAAACACCCAAGCACCGCTCTACAACTTATGCAAAATGTCGAAGCTCATCACCGTTTTCGGCGCCACTGGTAATCAGGGTGGCTCCGTGATCAGAGCCATCCTCGCCGACCCCACGCTGTCCAAGGAGTTTAGAATCCGGGGCATCACTCGCGATCCCTCCAAGCCTTCCGCACAGGAATTGGCGAACCAAGGGGTTGAGATGATGAGTGTACGTTCACTCCCCTCCTCTCGAGATATCAATTCCACCTCCCTTCTGAGATATCTCATACAAAAGTACCTTACCCTGATTTCATTCAATATCTAACGAGGCGAAACTCCAGGCGGACATGAGCTCCGTGTCTTCCCTCACCCCAGCCCTCGAAAACGCCCACACCGTCTTTCTCGTCACCAACTTCTGGGAATCCGCCAAGGAGGAGGTCGAAATCGCCCAGGGCAGAAACGTCGCCGACGCCGCTAAATCCGCCGGCGTCTCCCACCTCATCTTCTCCTCGCTGATCAACGTCACGGAGGCCACAAACGGCCGCCTGCCGAATGTGAGCCACTTCGACAGCAAGGCAAATGTTGAGAAGTATATCCGGACCATCGGGGTGCCGGCCACGTTCGTGTTGCCGGGGTACTTTATGAGCAATTTTGAGACCGCGTTGAGGAAGGGGCCCGATGGGGTGTTTACGTTGAACATGCCCGTGAGCGATAAGGCGCAGTTCCCGCTGTTCGATGTTGTTGGTGATACGGGTGAGTTTATACTTCTAGTTTCCTTAAATATTGAGAAACGATCCAACATCAGAACTAAATTACACCAACCCCCAGGAAAATTCGTGACCGCCGTCATGAAGAAATACCCCGCCACCCTCGGCAGAGACATCTACGAGGCTACCGACTACTACACCCCAAGCCGCATCGTCTCCGAATTCACGGAAGTAACAGGCTACCCAGCCAAGGCGGTCCAGATTACCCCTGAACAATACAAGTCCTTCATGCCCCCGCACGCCGCACAGGAAGTTTTGGAAAACCATCAACTGCTAGAGGGACCCGGGTACTTTGGCGGCGCAAGTTTGGGTGAGAGTCTTGCGCTGTTGGAGCAGAAACCGACTAGTTGGAAGGGGTTTGTAGAGAGGGCGAAGAGTTACGCTTGGAAGTAATGAGAGGGTGGGTGCTGAGTTCAGTAGGCTGGGGAAAAGTCATTTGATTTTTTTTAACCTTTCAAGTAACTATAATACTGATGTACGCTTTAGTTGTGGATGGTTTATTTTCAGCTGTATAAAATTGAGGAGGAACTCCTCTCTGACTTGAGTACATACTTAAATAGGCATTCGTCGATTATTGACATAAATTAATGGATTTAATATATCTAAATACTTATATCCCTTTTCTGAACCAACCCCCTCAATCATCATTAACATACCTCTCAAAAACATCCCCATAAAACCTTTTCCCAACATCCCGGTGACTCCTTACCTTCGTCCTCAGCTGCGACTCACCCCACGTATCATACTCCCCCCTCAAAAACGGCGAATCAATCCCCCTCCCCTCCTCAGACTCTCCCCCGTCACCACCACTACCACCCAACAAACCAACCTCCCAAAACTCCTTCAGCCTCCCCAGCGCCTCCTCCTTTGTCAAATTCCCCCTCACCCCCTGGAAAAACGGCACGCTAAACCTCTCCGCCGACCCAGGTTCCATAACCACCCGGTGCGTCGTGGCCTTGCACACCCCATTCGTAACAACCTCAAACGCCTGCCCGATATTCACCACGAACGTGCCCGGCACGCAGGGAACGTCGATCCAGCCGCCGGCTTTATTCAGCGCCTGCAGCCCCTTCACGGAGGGCGGGGAGGCTTGAAGGAGGAACGTCCACCAGCCCGAGGAGTCCTTGTGCGGGCCGACGCCTTGCGTGGGTGTTTCGCCGGAATCGGCGGTGGGAGCAGTGGTGCCCGGGTAGCGGATTAGTTTTAGGCGGTGCTGGTCGGAGAGGAAGGGGAGGAATGTTTGGGGAGGTAGGGCGAGGGCTTCGGCGACGAGGTGGAGGAAGCGCTCGCCTAAGGAGGTTAGGTGGGAGATATAGGACTGGACGATTGGTTTTACGGTTGGGAGGCGGGAGGGCCACTGGTTGGTTGTTTTTTGTTCTGTGTTAGTATCAGTATGCTCAACAATGTATGTATCTCTGTGAGCAGAAAAATTGGGGGGGAGGGGGGGGCATATATAGTAAATAAGCGTCCGAAAGTTGTATGGTAAATAAATACCTGATTCAGCCCCCTCAATCGTTCATACAGTGGCTTGCCGGGCCCATACGTGACATCCAACTCCGTCGCAAACTCCACCTGCTCCCGTCTATCAGCTTTTCCCCCCGTCGTCTCCGTACCTACCCTACTATATCCCAAGAAATGGGGCGAATTGCGCAATGCAATTTCATCTTTGGCCGCCTCGGGCAAACTGAACAGCTGCGGGAGCACGTTGGCGAGGTCTGCGATGACGTTCTCTGGAACGCCGTGGTTGGATACGTAGAGGAACCCGACGGAGACGAGGGCGTAGTGGAGTTTTTGGAGGAGGGCGGGCTTTGTAGCGGGGGAGTCGGCGAGGGAGAGGTCGATGGTTGGGATCGAGGAGAAGGGGAGGGGGGCTGTCATATTCATATATATATTCATATATTCAGGAGGGGGATAGAAGATGTTTCCGTATACCAGCAACAATGGTAGTAGACAAGGAAGTGAGGTTGGTATTGACACCCCGTATCACACTGGGAATACATATGTCCGCAATTCGGTCTACCGTTCGCGCATGTAATCAACTTGAAGCATCTAAAATGTAAGCCGGGACACTACTCAGCCTACATCAAGGGGGTGAGCCAGGCCAGCCGAGACACATCCGCCGGGATGCAGAGTTGCTGACCACAATAATACTAAGTGCCGGAATGGCGTCGGGAGGGTTGAGAGGGAAGCTCGGCTATGCATTCCAACTGCCGGGCATGGACGGGCCATTCGCCGGCTATTGCTGGGAATGCCGAAAGTTATATCAATGAATAAATTATATAAATAAACAAATAGATAAAGTCAAATAGGGGGACACCATTCATTTACAAACAACGCCCAGCAAGATCTCTATCAGGCTTTGGCGCCTCGACAGAGCAATTAAAACTAAACTGTCTCTGTGATGAGTTATGGTATTACATTCCTAAGACGCCCGAGCTGTGAGGGCGAAGAGGGGTTTCGAGATGTAGAATATAATAACCAGTCAACGGGACAAGCTATCTGTTTTAAAACAACCATTAATTTGCGCTACCAAGATCACAAGAGAATCCTGCCGCCTGTTGTTCTTGGTGATACTTGGCTTCCGTTTTTAAAGAAGGGAGATTTTCGATTTTCCGTCTAACCATATTCCGGAAGTATAGCAGATATCCCGATTTTAGAAGAATCACGAAGCCCCATCCAACCCAAGGCAACCACAAATTCGAGCATCAGGATCCCATCGCCGTTGAATTTCCGATAGTTTCTTAGTCTGCTCAATACCCCAGACCTCCGATCTCCGTTCCTGAAAATCAAACTCCCCCCCATACGCTCCAACAGAATGTGGTTCAATCCCCTTCATAACAGCACCGGCCCAGGCTTTACATGTTGAGTCCTCACTTTCATGACTCCATATGCCGTAAAGTGCGAAGAAGTGATCGGATTGGAGGCTAAGGGCCATGTCCGGTAGCTGTCGTCTGCTGCAAGGCTTCATCCCCGTCCAGAACACTTGGGACGTCTTGGTAGGTAATGTCGTGAACGCTTGCGCGAGAACGGCGACGACATCCGCATCGTTTTTGAGATAGGCATTATCAACATAATACCTGTGTCCGTGTGGATAGGCATCGGCTTTACTCTCCAGTAATTCGCTGAGGCTTGTTTCTGTGCCGACAGAATGAGTTAATGCACCGGGTGGGCGGGAGTCTTCGGCCTTCTGCAATGCCTGCTCTAGAGTATGCTTATCCTCGCCAAAGCCGACAAGCGCAATTGTAAGGCATGGCTCTTCTTCTCCTGGAGGATAGCTGCCAATGGCAATAGCTTCGATACCGTCTTCGGGAGTAAATGGGACCTAATTCATATCAATATAATGAGCTCCAAAGGATGGAATCGGGCTACAGTGCAATCAATAGAGTTTATACCTTCAGTATCCATGAAAATGCAGCGTGATAATCTTTCATCGCGTACACATATCGCGATAAACGCACCTCTTTTATAGCCGGCCGAGTCCGCAGGTGAAATCGAGTGACAACGCCAGGGAATCCAGGGCCCGCTCCTCTGGCAGCCCAAAAGAGGTCGCTATTTTGTCGTGCGTCTGCTCGAATTAGGGCCCCGCCAGCTGTCACCACATCGATAGAGAGTATTTTTTCGCATGACCAGCCCCAGTTCTGCTCCCACCCAGTCAGTCCATCCCCATGAAGAATAATATCCGGGAAACCAGGCATACATTGCAATTCCAGCCCACCCCGCCCGCTAGAAGAAATCCCCCCATACCTACATCAGGACAGTGGCCAACCTGGAACATCCGACCCCTCGCGGTGAGGTACTCATTCAAAGCCCGAGCGGTCGTGCTTGGAGAAACGCTGACAACCCCCGTCTCTTCGTCAAAGGAGGTATTCGAATAATTTCCAAGGTCTAGTAGCATAGCATCATCGCGAACGCTCCAGGCAGGAAAGCTATGTCCGCCGGAGAGGACTGAAACTCGACATCCTTTCTCAATAGCTAGTTTTACCGCGTCAACAATGTCCGACTCGGCTTTTGCGAATGCAATGGCTACTGGATATCTTTTGGGTATGGCGCGGTTAAACAGGCGTTGAGTACGTGCTTCTTCATAAGTTTCTGGCTTTGCAGAATGGCGCCACACAACGGATAATGACATGTTTTGTCAGGGAATGAATGGTGGGTTTTCTCTAAGGTACTACTCAGTCGGCAGGGGACAAAGGGATGAGAAGCATGGCTCGCATATATTATTAGAGTTGCAGAGGAGGTCAGAGACGATGCTCTAGACCAAGCTCAGTCTACACTCTCTTGATGTACTGCGTATATTGCCAAAGATCATTGCGGGGAAAAGCGCTTGCCCGAGGTCTAAAGGAGTGTGTGGTTAACTAGTTAGTTTCCACAGCCTGGCTGATTTCAAGCTTTATTGATATCTCCAACTTACTCTCAGATCGTTTAATATCCTCTTACCGAACATCCATAGGTGCATTCAGTCCCTCCCATACATTCAAATTGCAGCTTGAAGCTAATATATAAATTATGCAGGATATATGTTCCTTATCAAACATGAAATAGCTGAGCTGTAGAGCCTACTAAAACTCTTGAGTCTTGGAAAGATGGTTTAAGTAATAAGATACATATATATGCATACGGACAACAAAGGTTTCAAAATACCACTTGTCTACTCGGTTTGACTTTCCTTCCATTCCCCGAAGGGCTTAACCTTCGCTTTCTTTGAAGACATCTCGGATTCACACACTCACAAACACGAAAGGGTGATACGGTTGTTTCTTTTGTTATCCGCGCGCTCTTTTTGTGCGTGACGGCACGCTCTTTTGTGCTTTGGCCAGTCCGAAGATTGGCATGCCCTCGAGCAATACCTACATCTCGCGGCATGCCACTATGGTCAAATTTCTCTCACTTCAACAACAAATAGAAAGGAAATTCTAGCACCAGAGAGCCTGGGGAACCGCAACTGCAGTAGCTTACCAAATCCGCTTACAGCCAGCGCAGCGCTTCACATTTTTCACAATTCCGCAGCTCTCACAGCCATATTGAGAGCAGGTGATGGCTTTTGGCAACACATCTCTAAATGATTGCTTGGCTACCTCCTCCGCCTGAAAATCACACTCCCCAGCGGTAGTGCAAATAGGGACGACGGAGTCCCACACCGATGGCTGAAAGTCACTCGATGGCCCCAGTTCGGAACATAGAAATGGCACCATACCGTGGTATAGTACTTTTGCTGGTTTCCCGCAAACCTGACATATCCATCGACGCGCAGAGAAAATCTCCTCGTTATAGACGGCCATCACACTCTGAAGGAATTGATTTTCAGCACCATGGTCGACGGCCTTTCCGGTTGGAAGATTGCAAAGGGCAAGCGGGCAATCCACAGTGAACTTGAAAGCGTAGGTATCACCCTTATAAAAGGGCGCACTTGGAATGCCACATACTCCTTGGTAAGTGATCTGAGTTGTAAGGGCCTGAAGCTTTTCCCTGGGGATATATTTTTGTCCACCATCCATCGCAGTGGTTTATTTTTCAGCGGCCCGATTGGAAAACAGAGAGAGATTTGACCACTGCAAATAATTCAAAGTAGGCTTGCAAGCGATGACAATGAGCGAGTTGGATTGTCCAGAATTACTTTTTGGTGTCGTTGAGATTGCGTTGAGGATGTCGACGTCCTTGTGTGCTGTCCATTTTGGGTAATCTCGACGACACCCCTTAAGCCTCCCCACATACAACGCAATTGTTGGCAATATATTGTCGGGAATTTTGGAATAACGACACTTTCAATATACAGCATTATATTAACTGTGGGATGTCTTGCATCCTCCCCTAAACTCATGCATACAAACGCAATGGTTGTGCTGTCGTCCCTGGGAGACCTGACTAGCAACACAGTCATTTAGAACTAAACTGCCACCACCCGCCCTCTTCGCGTTCAATAAACTTAACTCCGAGCCTATGGCACCCGGAATGTCACGACAACCGCACATAAGACTGCAGAGACGGGTTTACTCTGCTAACAAAGCGTTATTCAACTTCGTGGATGCGCTCGTTTGATGTCTGGGTTCGGCTGCATTGAATACAAAACCACAGATTCCGCAAGCCACGGCGAGGGCCCCTCTCTGTGAGGACAGATTTGGTTAGATGTTAAGCTACAAACTGAGGAGATATTGGACAAGTTCTCGTTCTGATTAAGCAGAGCTCAGTCAGGCCACATATTTGAGGTGCCGTGACGGATAAAACGGATCCCTTCAAGCTTATATTGTCAATAAATAATCTTTACCATTCCCGATCATAGCACAGTTATGGAGCTTCCTCAACACGTTGCTATAGTTGGTGGGGGTCTTTCTGTATGGCAATTTCCACCCCTCGCCTTCCGAAACATGGGACAGACATGACTAACTGTTCGTATTAGGGTTTAAGTCTTTCACTTGCACTACAGAAAGTTAACATACCATGCACCGTGTATGAAGAGCGCGCTGAATCTTATGAGACCGGCGGTGGAATAACTCTCTCGCCCAACATTCTCGATGAACTGGGTGTATACGACCGTGTCCGCGACAAGGGTTATCACTTTGACACTCTAGCCTTTAGTGACAACGATGGAGCGATCAAAGACGTCTATTATTTTGGCTCTGAGAAGTTGTACGGCTACAGAGGCTTCCGTATTATGTGTCAGTCACTCATTAATGAGATGAAGTTGATGCTTCGGGAATACGGGATATAGATCCATATCAACAATATCAACAAGCAATTCATGAAAGCCATCAAGGACTCAGAGAAAGAAGTCGCCATTGAATTTGCTGATGGATCGGTCGAATCTTCCGATATCGTGGTGGGAGCTGACGGCATTCATTCAGCTATCCGGAAACATATCGTTCCGGACGTGAAACCTGGTTACTCTGGTTTGATGGCTATTAACAGTGCCTGCTCTCGGTCTGGACTTCTCATTCCCGAGAACTTTCACCTCCCTGCAACTGTTATGTCCAAGGTTGATGCATTTTTGATGGTACTGCAGGAGGCAGGAGGTTGACGGCTCTCATGTCCTCATTGGTGCACAGCAGCGTTTCCCCGAGAAGGATAAGGAAGGCTGGGATGCTCTGGCAGCGGACAAGCAAGGACTACTGGACATGCTACGAGATAATTAGTCCAACTGGCCCGATATCGTCCAATCGGCACTAGAGAATGCACGCGTTGAGAACATGGGCATCTGGCCGTTCTATGGGATCCCGAAGTTCAAGCAAGTGGGCCAGCTCCACCGACAGGGTTATCGTATTGGGCGACGCTGCACATGTTATTCCACCCACAGCCGGCCAGGGGGTTAACCAAGCGTTCGAAGACGTGAATATGCTAGCTTTACTTCTCTCAGAACCTATCTCCTCAGACGCCTCTTGTGGAGGCTTTGAAATTTTGGCAGGACTACCGCCAGCGCCAGATCGATAAAATCCTAGAGCTTACCCAGCAAATGAACCCGAAGCATTTACCCCCTGCAGAACAAGCCAAGCTTTCGCCAGGTGCAATCTGGACTGACGATTCAGCAACAAGCGGAGAAGGCGGCCAATTGGGGTGGTTGTATGAGCCGGACCTCGATGAGGACGTTGCGAAGTGGCTTGCTGATCATGGTTCATCGACAGGAGATTCTATTTACTCTCGGCTTTTTCTTACAATTCCTCTTGTGTCTGCGGTAATATCGAGACGTGAACTGGGAGGCCTTCTAGTGTTCCCCGGGGGGGTATTTGGGCCTCTCAATGTGGGCTACAGTCGAAAATGATTTGGCAGCTGATACCAGCCCTTCCGCATGAATAACTGACTTCAATATTGTACCGCGTATTTCTTGATGTTGCCATGAAGAAATCTACTCTGGTTTCGCCTTTTATTTTTTATTTTTATTTTTTATTTTTTTTGGTGGTTGCAATCATGCTGCTAGGGCTTTCACATATTAGCCGATTTGGAAAGTGTCCACAGGTACTGCATGATACCTTATCATCATCTTACCCTGTCCTGTTCGCTGTCAAAAGAATGGTACGACGTGCTGGGCCACGATGCCCAACGAACCCGCCCCTATTACAGACTAATACGTAAATAAACTTTTGATACACAGTTGAGTGTTCCATTTGTGAAATGATACTCTGTGCATGTATTGTAAAGGTGAGCAACTATCTGATCATAATCAAGGTTCATTTTAGAGCCATGTTAAACTTTTCTAATCATTCGCAGCTATAAAATTGATTGAAACTGGGACATAATCTCGTCAAACCATTAAACGCAATGAAACACTCGGGAGACACCCAATTGCAAAGGCTAATGGCCAAGCTCTGTAAGAATCGTGGAGGGTCATACCAATGGCATCTGACTACGGTCCCGTCCCTCCTGGAGCTCCCCGTGATAATAGAGCCACCTCCCCTAGCTATCGGACTATCGTGAACATCATCATAGGCAAACTACGTCGTCCGCCGTGCTTGTTGACGCGTCTTCAGACTGGCGGACAGCAACGCCCAATCGTCCCGCTTCGTCTCGCGAATAAGGTCATTGGCCATGTCCAACCTTCTGCCATACTTTATTGACTTCTCCATCGCAGAGATTCTCCTGCCATGCATGTGGAGTTCTGACGTCATTGCATTGGCCGAGGCTAGTAGTGTAGTTGAGAAGACAAAAAGCGCTAGAATTAAAATCTGTCCCGATTTGCTGACATTACTGACGAGCGCGACGTCAGTGTACACAAGCAATGTCGCGAACGCGGTGGCCGAGTCTTCGAGAAAAGAGCAGTCGCGCAACCATTGACCAGACGTCACTGCCTTTAAGCCATTCCACCGCGCCCTGAAGTCTAATCCAGCGATCTTGGCTAAGGAGAATGAGCAGATCGCCCTGAACACAAGGCTCGGAGGCGCCTTTCCAGCCAATCGTACTTCGTCGGTGGATGACGAGCACATTGCAGAGGCGAGCGAAAACTAATGCGAGCAGGACGGAGACCCCACCAGTCCCGCGCAATAATTAGGACTACTAGCACCGCTAGGGACGTAATGGGGTAAAGGAAGTATGGAACGCTCGAGAAACTAAAGGATGTAAGGGTCAATGTCCGACTGAGTTTAGTATTTGTTTCCAAGGTTGGGGTTACTTTTAGATAGGTGAGATGACCGGTAACGCCCATCTTCTGCAGGAAGAGTACCGTGGCAGGATTTTCAACACGGAATACATGTCCAGATGTCAGCGCGGCGACTACTGGTGCCTCGCCATTGTGGAGTTCAGTTGCCGACTGTTGTCGATGGATGCCAGGGCAAAGGACGAGTATGTCGAGAAGAGTTGTCCGTTTGGCGAGAACGGAAACTTCTGCAATGGCCACAAGGCCCGCGACGTTTAGCGACACCCCAGAAATCTGCAGAAAGTTCCAGGAGCGGGGATAAATTTCAAACTGTTCGAATCCGTTATTAGTGAACTGGATATTTTGTTGGCAAGCATTTCAACAGCCTTCTCGGGCTGTGTAACAGGCGCGGGATGAACATGTTCGGATGAGGGTCAGGGACCACAGCATATTTGAGACACGACCATTTCGGCCAATCTACGGCGATCTGACTCTTTGTCAAATTAACCCAATTCCCACCAGCGAGTAAGATGTAAATACGTTCGGAACACTCTTCTGCACGTTCGATTGGTGAAGACCTGGATGTCTCGGCCAGGCATATCGAGATCTGCTTGGAGAGAAAGATAGGGTCTAGTCAATCTGGCTTATCAAGCGCCTAGAGATGGCGTGCGCAGATATCTAAGTTCCAGCCGCCTTGCGGCTCTTATGATTCTATGAACATAAATCAGCCCACAGAACGCTATACAGGCTATGCTGTGCCTTTCGCACTCTAGCGTTTTATTGACAATGCGACGGGCGTTTGTCAAGTCTACGATATCCCCGAGCCCATGTGCATAATACACTTTTGTAGCTCAGGGCTCTCCAGGCTAACTACTTCCAGCAGAAGCGAAAAGACGAAACTAAAACACTATCAGCAATTGTTCCTCGAACAAATTGCGATAACCACACATGGCGTCATACGACTACGCAGACAGTTACCTTTACGGCGAGGAGAATTTCGATTATTACGACTCCATGGAGGAACAGGGAATGCTGAACTCGAATGCGATCTGCTAAGGCGCTCCCTCCCCACCGACGATGACCCAGAACCTAATCGCTTCGGCTATGGGGTCCGGGCGCCTACTCCAGAGCCCTACGTCTTACACCTGGGGCCCCAAGGGGCAGAACTGCCAGATTAAAATCCTCGAAGGTAGCAAATCGCATCCGATGGAAATAAGGCCGAATCTCAAAGCAGCATTGTTACGATTTCGACTCCCGAGTTCGCCTAGATACTTGTGGGTGGATGCACTCTATGTGGATCAGGCGAACCAAGAAGAGAAAAGCACGCGAGTAAGCATGATGTTTCGAATCTTTGATACTGCCGATAATGTGTGTGTATGGCTCGGCGAAGAGACGGATGAAAGTAGTAGAGCTATGGAATTTATTCGAAGTCGCTTAAAACCATCGTTATTGAAGGAGTGGATTTCACTGTCTGCCTTGATAAGGCGGCCTTGGTTTAGTCGGCGATGGATTATCCAAGAGATAGCCCTGGCAAAGAAAGCTACCGTGTATTGTTGGAGGGAATGCGTGGAATGGGAGGAGTTCGCTAACGCGATCTCCCTTCTCGTCCACAGCAAAGAGAATGTTCAGCAACTCTTGAGAAAGTCGAGTGATTATTGTAATCATCCGGATTGTCACGGAGATGTTAGTCAATCGGCCGCCGCCCGATTGATAGATGCTTCTGATAATATGTTCAGGAAGTCAGAGCAGGGACAGATCCTCGAGCGACTCCTTTCCCTCGAAGAGCTCATGTCCTCTTTGTCTGCATTCGAGGCATCAGACCCTCGAGACGTCCTCTATGCGATTTTATGGTTAGCTCGTGATGCCCGCCCGGGCTTCAAAAGCGGAAAGTCATAGCTTCCGATGATCAAAGCTTGTTCTCAGGACCCTCTGGATGCGCGGAGTATCCGATATCACCAACGAACAACTCGGATGTATTACCTGGTGTTCTTGTGCAGTTTGAGTCCGTGGAAGGGCGTAAAAGAGCGCTTTCAGATATTACATACAATGCTGGAAGTCGGAAGTGATTGGACCAGCACTATCCGATCCCGCATATTTTCGTTAGCCCCGATATTATGGATGAACCGGCGATTATATCTGACCAGATCAATGGCCATGGCCGTGAAAATGGGCCACTGACCTAGAACACCATGCTACCCGAAAAGAACGTCGGCCCTCCTCCAATCCATCTACACATCCCATCCACCCAAGGATCCGTTGACTCAAATCAAAGCCCAAGGGGTGACTCGGACAGAAGCTCAAGAACAGACTCAGTAGAACCGAGAGAAGTCCTAGCGATAAAAATTGCGAGATCACTCCAGGCCAAGCAGCGCAAAAATAGAATTCCAGTTGACTATAATAAAAGCGTCCTGGATGTGTATAAAAATGTTCTAAGATTCATATTTACTCGGTCGGACTCACTGGACATGCTGTGTCGACCCTGGGCGCCTGCTGGCTTGAATCTACCTTCTTGGATGCGGCCTGTTTCGGACAATCCCTTTGCCACGGAAAGGCATGGGGTTTATCGTCGGGTTAATGCTGATCCCCTAGTGGGTAAGCCCTGGCCTAGCCCGAATCTTTACAGGGCTGCACATAGTATCCCCGCCGACTGGAAATTTGACCCAGATGTGAACGAAAGCCTCAACGTTCAAGGATTTGTGCTGGACGCAGTACGGAAAAAGGGATCAGCCGCACGCGCTGGGGTTATTCCATCTGACTGGAACACTATTGCCGGCTGGGACAACTCAAGCTCGCCACCTCCGGAGACTTTCTGGAGGACATTGGTTGGGAATCGGGACTTTTCAAGCCACAAACCACCGCGGCATTGACGAAAGGCGTGTCAGGACGCCTTTTGCCTCAGAACGTCAGGTGGAGATCTCGATATTAAGGAGGCAGTTGCATATGAATGCCCAAAATTCGTGCAGCAGTATTTAGAACGAGTACAATGCACTGTCTGGTCACACAGACTCGCAGTTCTAGCGAAAATACGAGCACACGAATCACTGTGTCTTGTTCCCATGAGGGCGAAGAAGGGAGACAAGGTGTGCATTCTATATGGATGCAACGTTCCCGTCTTGCTTCGCGAGAGAGATAGGGGTAAACGGGGTTGCTGTGGTGTTTTGGAAAATGGTTGCGGCTGTGGTTGTCAGAACTGCAAATCAGGCTCTGAGAGCGGACCTGTTAGTTATGAATTGATCGGAGAATGTTATGTGCATGGTATGATGGACGGGGAGGCCTTGGTGTACAAGCAGAGGAATAAAATCAAGGGCCAGAACTTCGACATCCGATAGGCAAGAATGAGCTAGGTTGGAAAATGGAAGAGAAGCTGTGCATGTTGGGTATCGTAAACACAATGGTAATGTTAGGAAGTGTTAGATAGGGTTAGTAAATCAAGTTGTGTGTGCTAGGTAATCTGTCGTCTTGCTTCATCAACGTAAAGAGTGATGAGATGACGATGAAACGAAAAGTTGGAAGGTATCCATAATCTATAGCCCGAGGAAAGTTGGAAAGCATATATTGGACCGGTCGCTCTGGGACACCCTGCTTGGAGCTTATTAGCAACACCAGGTCGGGGTGTGCGCCTGACTTAAGATATCAACATCAGGAATTTCAAACCTCATATGCGTCTGGACCATGGAGTGTCAACTTGAAATAGATGGGCTCTACCCCCAGTGCTCAGAAATAGGTCCAAGGTAGCAATGTACAGAGCTATTATATTTAACATTTCAAAGCAAAATAAGTAAACAAATGGCAAAATGACATGTGAAGACGAGCAAAAATGCGACACAAAAGAACAGAACCTCATAACAGAGAAATACAATGATACAGAATTAATTAGCCCCTCTTTGTCTAGAAGGTGGGGAAAATGACATAGTAAGGGCCTGTCTATATAAGCATGACTCGCAAGGTGAGAATAAGGGGATGTGGTGGCGGAAGAAGGGTAATGTAAGGAAGAAGAAAGAAAGTTAAATATTAGAAGAAGAGTAAACAAAGTACTACTCCGCAAACGCACATTACTCCAAATTTCTCAAATCCATTCCCACAGAATAAACGAGATGTTTACTTTTTATTTTCGGGCTTGCGTCCAACCATCAAAAACATGGGCGTGAACAACTTCTTCTCACCACCTTTGACCAAACAGTCAGCTGCATATGCCAGGCTGTCACCAGTCTTCTGGGCGCCATGAGGCATGATGCCAACTTTCTCAAGCCCACCGACAAAACGGTGCACGATCGCACGACCCCACCAGGTCATACGTAGAATGGTGAAAAAGTCTCCCATTGAGGACATATGTTTCCATGATCCAGCCAGCGGGTAGTACCAGGGGATGTCATCGGGCCGGTCAGCTAGATCTTCAGCGTGCACAAGTTCAAACCCAGCCGCTTTGATGGCCGCCAGGGCAACTTCTGCCTTGACCATATTGGAGATGCCGTCACCTTGCTCAATCCCCAGACGGATCTCGCGGTGCTCCGGGTTGTCGTTGTCGTACTTGTCCGTCATGACCCATTCGTAGACACCAAATGTGCCACCGGGTTTCAAGACGCGGTAGATTTGGCTATAGACACCCTCCAGCGATGGGGCATGGACGGTAGCTTCGATGGCATAGACAGCGTCAAAAGTCTCCGGCTCGAAGGACATCTGCATGAAATCGCCCTTCGTGAAGCGAAGCTTATGTGACAGACCCTCCTTTGCAGCGTAGTGGGTGGCGCGATCGATCTGGTAGTCGTTGTTGTTCAGGCCGATGACGTTGACACCGGCAAATTTGACAATTTCTCTGGCAGGACCACCAACACCGCAGCCCACGTCAAGAACAAGTTGGTCCTCCCGAAGGCCGATCTGGTGGGCGAGGTAATGTTCGTGTCTGGCGATGGCCTGGCGGAAAGGCTCTCCGTAGGCAAACCGACAGAAATGGAAGGATGAGCCCCAGCCATACTCATAGAAATCGGTGGCAAGATTGTAGTAGCTATAATTGAGTGATTGTATTTTAGCATAAGTAACAATGTCTGCGCATATTTTCTTTGGCTTCCTTTTTCCCTCGTCTCTTTTGTTGGTCGTTCGTGTTGAGTCTTCAAACCAGGTGGTACTTACTGTCGAGTAAGCGTAGCATATTCCGCTCTTCGTGCCTAAAGGGCCATGTTAGAATTTGCTCCCAAGAGACAGAATTTTCTAGACTAACCTGTCTTATTTCTTCCGTCTCTTCTGCGGATGATTTCTTGTCCCAGTGTTTGAAGTACTCCTCAACGGCGGCCTTTTGCGCCGTATGGTCTTTGGCGCTCATGGCAGCCAGGCCACCACGTCTCTTTGCTGATGAGCCATGAAGAGCCTTATTGAAAGCAGCATCGCGCTTGTGGTCCTCAGCCTCGAGAGCTGACGGTGCCATTTCGCTTGATATGGAGTAGTAAGAGTGAGTGGAGAGGAAAGGGGGAAGAGGAAGAGCGTTTGGATGGGTTTCCAGGAAGGTGATACAAACGGAGTTGGAAGAAGCCAATTGAACGGCAAACACACTCAATAGTATCTGGAACCCTGAAACTGTACTTTGTACAAGTATATAAGCGAGAACTGCGCTTCAGGGGAACGGGATGAGGTGTTGAGAACGCTGGAAGTTATTTCGAACTTCGAAACCCTGAAAACAATAATATCCCCAAAATCTTCTTTCGGCCACCAAAGGAAAATTGCCGGGTTTACGCAGTAGGAACAGGGGGAACACACTAGACCGGATATGGAATAGTGGATGGGTGAACAGGGAAATCATGAAGCGCTCATGGCCAATCAGAGCTTGATAAACTATGCAGCCCTTCACAAAAGAGTTGGCACTAAGCTGTATGTGGATTAACACTAGCCCTGGTTTATCGGATCTGGCCAGAATTGGGTGACGCCACATTGTCATTAGCCAATAAAAGGCCGGCATTCATAATATTGGACCCGGATAAAGTTGTTCTTCCATCCCGAAATTAGTCATCATTGACTCAGCAATCCATGTGATCTTGCCAAGACATTCCACCTTCCAAATTCCAAATGCGGTAAAGTGAAATATCGGAATCATTTGCCATACAAACGAGGAGTGCCTTATGACAACAACTATATCAACTACGACAAGATAAGTGCAGGAGACGCCTACCATGCCTCCTCCTCAAATAAAACAAGATATCAACCGCTCCGGCTGGGAAACAACAGACTTCCCCTCCGTCTGCGAATCATGCCTGCCCGACAACCCTTACGTCCAAATGCTCAAGGAGGACTACGCTGCTGAATGCAAAATATGTACTCGCCCAATGACGATGTTCCAGTGGAAACCAGACCGCACAGCACGCACAAAACGGACAAACATTTGCCTAACATGCGCCCGGTTGAAGAACTGCTGCCAGTGCTGCATGTTAGATCTCTCCTTCGGCTTGCCCATCGTTGTTCGAGACGCGGCGTTGAAGATGGTGGCTCCCGGTCCACAGAGCTCAATAAACAGAGAATACTACGCGCAGGAACACGAGAAGGAGATCGAGGAAGGAAGAGGGGCTGTGGAGGAATATGCTAAGACCGATGAGAAGGCTAGAGACTTGTTACGAAGACTGGCGAATAGCGAACCGTACTACAAGCGACAGCGAAGGATGGATAACAGCAACAGGGAGAACGAAGAGCAGCAGGGGAGGGAAGGCTCAGGACAGAGACAAATAGGATACGGACCAGGGCCAAGCACGGGAGGATCTACGCCAGGACCCATTCGAACCAGCGATATTAGACGTGGTGGGCCGCATGGTTGTGGAAGAGGGGCGGGGATGCGGCGTGGGCGCGGTCGTGGTGGTGGACGAGGATTCCCTAGCGTCGCCCAACTTCCCCCAGGGCCTCAAGACATCCTCCCGCCCGATGACCCCAACATAACCTCCCTCTTCATCACCGGCGTCGAAGACGACCTCCCCGAACACGCCCTCCGCACCTTCTTCACCGAATTCGGAACCCTGCGCTCCCTCATCTGCTCCCACCGCTCACACTGCGCCTTTGTCAACTATGCCACGAGGGAGGCTGCGGAAAAAGCAGCGAACCATTGTCAAGGCAAAGCAGTGATACAGGGCTGTCCATTGCGTGTACAGTGGGGTAAACCGCGGCCCTTGGATAATATGGAGAGGGAGGAGAGGATGCGATATGCACGGCAGGGACGTACGGCGGTTGCTCCTAAGAGGAACACGGGCGCAGGTGGTGCGGGTAAGGCTGCTAATGAAGCTGCTCAGGGTGGGAACGCTGGAGCAGTTGGGCAGGAGGAACGGAAGCAACCGTCGTATGCCGTCGCCCCACCACCGGGGAGTGGGGATGTGCAGTATGCTAGTTTGGCGGGCGATTGATATCACTATGAGCGGCTTTTCATGGGTTATTTGGCGTTTGTCAATACTTTTCTTGCTTTCATCGGTTGGATTTTGGGATCATGGGAAATGTGTAATCTTTTCCTTTTTGTGTAAATTATATACAAGCGGGTGCCGTTGTCGTTTTTCTATGCATATCTTACACATCGCACTCTCGCTCAAATGTAACAGACAGATACCCTCAAAAATTAGTGTACAAAAATCTCGGCCATCCCCACCGTATCTGTATCATGATTAGGGTATATCCAACCTCCAAACTCCCATCAGTCAAAGGCCCAGTGACATACATCTCGTTTCCAGAAATACCTTGCCTGCCGTCCAAGACCACGCCCGGTGTGACTATGTATCAGGGATTCTTCCGAGTTCCTCCCTCGATTAACATCCGTAACTCATATTTATGTATTAGGCCACCGGTTCTTACGACTGCGTGTTCGAACACGTCTTCCCAACCGCGACCTTAACTTTCTTATTTTTCCCCGCCGTCTTAATGGTATCATTATCACCGCGCTCGATGTGTTCGTGGATTCGCAATTCTACAACGTCAACACGTCAATACGTCAGCATACTATTCACCTCTTTTCCTTCCTTTCCTTACTTCCATGGTCCTCGTCAGCACACCGCAACCAACTCACGGCAAGCAACCCGAGAAAACCCCAATCCCCCCAACAGCATACGATACGAACAGAAATATATAACATGCCATATCGATCCGTATCCTCCCCAGCATCAGAAACTTTAATCCCCTGCACAACATTCGTCCTCAATATCTCTGCCGTCTCGACTGCATGCTGGATGCGCATGGGTGTATCCACACCCAGTTCGCGGTGTTGGTCGAACTGTTTTCGCGCTTCAGCGCGAGCAGCATGGAGGGTTGTAAAGTCACCTGTGGGGGGGCTTGGATGTTAGTTAAGCTAGAGGGTAGATAGTGAGTTACATATACAGCTGGGGGGGTTATGTTACCGTGGAAGGCAATGCGAGTTGCCCGGAGGAGGAGGCGGTAGGCGCCTAGAGCGGTGGGGACGGGTGTTGCAGCCATGATCGGGAGTTATATATTACTTTTCGCTATGTATATCCTCGGTGAATAATAGATAGCGGTTGTAATAGGCGTTAATGCATAAAAGGCTGGAAATGGCCAAGAATCACCAGATTAAAATCATTATTGGCGTAGTTTAGCCCCCCCGGAATCATTCAAATGAATCTATAAGTTCAACTTGGAGATGTTAAAAAAGTCCAGGATGCAGCCGGGGATTGACTTCTACGTCCCAAACAGGTTTAGCGTTATCCAGTCTCGCCTAAACAAATCTGTATCATTTTTTTTTTTTCAGCTTTCACTTTTTTTCAGTCGCAACTCTCATATCTACCTAATATCTATAGACAAGCTCTAGATATTATATACGAATTGAAGCTGACACGGGATGGCTACTGCTGAGATTGTACACCTGTCTCTTCCCGCCCTCCCAGAGGGCTGGAGTGCAGAGAAAGACTTCAAAGTCATCGGCTCGCTCTCTAGCGCTACGCAGCGCAATGTCGAGCCTGTTGGACCGCACTTTTTGGCTCATGCCCGAAGAGTACGTTATTTTGTCATTTACCTGTTTGCCTTTATAACTTTCTTGTCTTGCTGTGATTTTGTTGCGGAACTAACTGAAAATCCCCCATTAACAGAAGCGCCACCACCGGACGTTCTCTGAGGATGACAGAATCCAGGCCCAGGAAAATGTGAAGAAGATTGAGGAAGAGGAAGTTGACGAAATCAGTGAACCCGAGGATCCTATTATGCTTCAGCGGGACGCCAAGGATTGGAAGGTATTACTTCTTACAGCATTTCCCTTTATTCAATTACAGCCTGGATTCTAACTATATAAGTAGGGCCAAGATCACTATGCTGTCCTCGGGTTGAGCAAACACCGATACCGTGCCACAGACGAGCAAATTAAACGCGCTCACCGCAAGAAGGTCCTCCGTCATCATCCGGATAAGAAGGCCGCGTCAGGCAACGCCGACGAGAACGACAGTTTCTTTAAGTGTATTCAGAAGGCTACCGAAATTCTGCTTGACCCTGTCAAACGCCGTCAATTCGATTCCGTCGACGAACTTGCCAATGTACCCCCACCCGGCAAAAAGAAGGGCAATTTCTTCAAGCTCTGGTCTCCTGTCTTCGAATCAGAGGGCAGATTCTCCAAGACCCAACCAGTCCCTAAACTTGGCGATGAAAACAGCACAAAGGAAGAGGTCGAAGAATTCTATAACTTCTGGTACAACTTCGACAGCTGGAGATCATTCGAATATGAAGATGAGGACGTCCCCGATGACAACGAGAACCGCGACCACAAACGCCACATCGAGCGCAAGAACGCCAATGCCCGCCGGAAGAAGAAGACGGAGGACACTGCCCGTCTGCGCAGACTTGTAGACGACGCTCTTGCTGCTGATGAGCGAATTAAGAAGTTCCGTAAGGCGGAGCGTGCCCACAAGGACAAGCGCAGGCTCGAGAAGGAGGCCGAAGCGAAGCGCCTAGCTGAGGAGAAGGAGAAGGCCCGCCTGGAGGAGGAGCAGCGGAAGAAGGAAGCAGAGGAGGCTGCCAAGGCTGAGAAGCTAGAAGGCAAGAAGGCCAGGGAGGCTGAGAAGAACGCTGCGAAGAAAAATAAGCGGGTGCTTAAAGGCAGCGTTAAGGATGTGAATTATTTTGCTGAGGGAGGGGATGCCACTGCGGCGCAAGTGGATGGTGTGCTGAATGATGTTGACCTAATTATTAGCAAGATTAGCAACGGGGAACTTGCTGCGCTTGCTTCGAAGCTTGCGGCTGCCGGCAAGGATGCGGCTTCTGTCAAGTCCACTTACGGTGAAGTTGTGAAGGGGCTTATTGGCGCTGGGAAGCTGAAAGAGGGGGAGACAAGATTTTTGACTGTCTAAAAATTTTATCTAGAAAGAGGTTTTATCTTTTATGACCAGTTTCTAATTTATATATATTCAAGGTCTATCCTATTATTTTTTCCGCCTTCGATCGGTTCATTGAGCGTGTTTCTAGTTCGCAAAGCAAAACAAAAGTAGATTTCACTCGATGATCTCCACGTCGTCCTACCGTATGCACATAGATTTTATATTATTAATGCGGATTGGTTGTGCTTGGGAATCTATGGTGGCTCTAGAACTCATACCTCCCTTATTTTTACCCCTTCGACCCGTCACTAGTTAGATTTTCACTAAATTCCCAGCGGCTTACGGCTTACTTGCCATAAAGCGAGCGAATCTTTTCACGGTTCATAAACCCAAGATATTCATACTATGCTCAACGCTACATTCTCCTCTAACCTCTCTATACCATTTCGTTTCCCAGCTATGATCATAGCTGTCATATATTTTACACCATATGTCCCAAATAACTAGACTCTACATCAAACGCCTTATTGTCCAATCTAGATCATGGACATCCCCTTGGAGAAAGATGACCAACTCGAAGCCTCCAAAACTTCACCAGGCCTCTAGCAAGCAATCTGCGTGCAACCAACCAAGGACGATGATCCCGCCAACAAACGTCTGAAAGGTTTCTGAGTTCCCAGCCCGTTGGAACAGGCTCCATGGGCTTCGCAGGAAGTGCCCATAAACCCCAAAACCCAAACCCTATAGAATAATGCACATACCCTATTCTCACGGATAGGGACAATGAAAGGAACTCATAGAATACCAACCTAGAGGATTCTGTTAGATAAGTGAACTATAGTGCATTCTGGTTAGCGGGCTATTTTCCACTTTTTCTCCCCTCAGAAGAGAATCCAATCGTCCAGATATAGTTGTAGAAGTGGCCCACATTCCCTGGATCCTGGTCTACGATGATGCGTTCGCGTCGGCCTTTCTGCTAGCGGATTGGAAGGGAACCTATTAGAACACGCCCGCCATAGCTCTCACAGATTTTGCCTAGCTGTTCCGTATCGCGTTGGTATATGGACAACCAACCGTGCGCTTTGAGCCATGATATATTATGCTTGGAAAACTGGTGGTTACGCAAAGTACTTTGCCGCGGGAGAATCGAGGCCGAAGTTGGTCCCCTCGGATCACCTAGTTCCGTTTCCTTGAGCCTTAAGGGGGTATCTTAAGGACAGTGTCGCCGACTGGCCTACACTAAAAACAAAGGAGAAACAATCCGCAGTCGAACAGACTGCCTTTGTTGCATTCGCCTTGGTGCGGGCTCCAGAAACCTGCCGTCCAACATCGACGCGTGTCCCGTTAAAACACATATGTTCTCTAAAAGGGAGACGAAGGAAAAATAGAGAATAATGAGCCAAACGACTAGGTCGAACATCAAATCAATCTGGCCATTGCCATTGAAAACAATGTTGCATGCGTTTCATTGCATAGACATGTTCCACAGCACCGGGTGTAACACCAGATAAGCTATATCAAAGAAGGGGGATGGGGGACAGACATTAGCAGTGGATAGGAAATTTTTATGCCATTGGTAGCAGGACAAGGCCCGCCAATTTCGTGGGTAAAAATGGCCATTTCTTTTTTTATGGTGGGGGAAGCTGAGAACTACAGTCATTGATATGTGGCAGGATTGCTTTCCCAAATCTTCGAGACGACTATTGACCACTAAGGACACCAAGGCGATGCATATCCCGTATGTCAAAATGTGGAATTTCCATATACAGACAATTTGCCGATTGCCTCACAATATTTTAGCTGGAGAAGCCCCAGCTTTCACTCAGTCTCACCACGAATGCAAAGCTCGGGATATGTTTTTATTTCATCTGTGACCAATCCCGAAAGAAGCCGTGATTCAAACATACCGGCCACAATCCAAGAATTGGAGCCGGTTCCATTTTCAACACGCAAAAGATGTCAGATAGTATTTAAGCCAGGACTGGACGACAATATTCACTGATTGCGGAAGGGCGCCCTTTTCGAAATCGAGAAACGAGTTTGACGGACACCCTCCAATAAAGAATATCCCCGGTTTTGACGCTGTAAACACGCCAGAGACTCGCATCGGTAACCACACTAGAAGCTAAAATTCAGCTTCAAGCCGGGATCTTATGTATAACCAGAGCAATGCCGCAGCAAACATGTTGGGGATCGATGCCCAGCTGCCGAAATATGCGTGGCCATTCAGCAGTATCAAAGTAGAATTATATTAAGCCCCCCCACAACAGCAGGACTTGCCACTCGTACAGCGAAGGGAATTTTCAACAACGCCATCTTATCAGTCTATCACCCATCTCTGCGCCATGATTGGCACGGATCCTCGCACTGAAAGCGGAATCAGTTCGTTGCCTTCAATAATTGAGGGGCAATGGAATGGAGCAATGTCAACTGACATTATGATTCAGCCGCATCCGCAGTTCCATCCGTTGGACGGCACACATTGCCCAAAAACTTGAAGAAATAGACTATTAGGTAATAGGAAACTGATATCTTGCCGGGTCTGGACAGTCGGGCGATGGCAAGAGGTGCTGGACAGTACAAATGTGTCTAGCGTATGTGGGGAAGCGTCCATGGCAGTGTAAGGAATTGCATACTTGTCTGGAACAAGTATGTGCGAAAGGAGAACTCGACTGGAGCACACCAAGCTGAGCCCTTTGCTACGAGAAACGGTCCTTCGCAGGCTGGTTCGTTCGGTGCCGCAAACACGATAGAAAAATCGCAGGTCCACAGTCTTCAGGAGAAATGGAAGCTCCAGGCTGCATGTTTTGGTATTACGGTAACTCTCCGCCTAGACATGTGCGCTGGCCGTATTGAATACGCGCCAAGCTTATTTCCGACCAAGCCCTAACCCTAACTGCATCCCGACCCCTGGAGATCGCATCTTTTTGCTTTTTCTGGCCTCTTAAATCAACCGACTGATAAGCTTATGAGACAGACTATCACTGCCGCTAGTTAACCAGTTTTGCCCTTCTCCTTGTGGGTTTGGGTTTATGGCTCCCACTAGCCCCGAAAAATTGGTTGGATTTGGACCGTGGCCCATCTAGGTGACATCAGAAAGCGCGGGAAAGAAACCATGGGCCCAATGCAGCGTTGGGTGCGATGATAGGTGGGCCAAACCCGAGAAACTGCTCAAGAATCGGGCGATTGGAGTTTCCAAGGTTGGTCCAAGGGTGGAGGCGAGATGCGTAATGCGGAAAAAGGGAGCCCTGGAATATGCGAGGACAAGATCTGCTGGCAACTTTTTCAGAGATGCAACACACACCTCTTAACTATACATACCTAGTTACGACTTAAATGGACGGGAACTCTCAACTCGAGTACGGACTTGCCGAAACAGCAGCAAACATAGGAATTGCAATTATTGCAAGGCAGGCAGCATACATAATAACTGATCCAGGAGATTGAAACGCCGCACTGCACTGTCGCAAACCAGGCCCGTCAGCACGCAATCGCGGACTGGCGGTGAATCTGCTGCACCTTAATAACTTATTATTATCAACTGGACAGGACTCAATTTTTTGATCCACGGAAATAATCTAGTTGAGCGCAAAATAATAGCCCAGCCATCTTTCGGTCCCATGACTCCCATCTATGTGGGACGGTTTTGCTCTGGATGATTGAAGAGCAATTACGCAGCGTATGGGAAAAAGTTTCCCCACATTCACATCCGACTCTTGTTCTTGTACTAGAAAAATGTGTGGCCTCCAGTTTTGGTTCATAAATGGCGAAACCTGGCCACCGGGAAGATTTTTCATCTACTTCTTTACTCTCTTTTCCTTTCATTCTCTCTTTTCCTCCAAGAAGCGTAGGTTCATATCACCTACCTCTATTTAATTATAATACTTCAAAGCCCTGCCTCATTCGTTCTATCTGCTCCCTATTCCTGTCACATCATTATCCAAGAAAGTCAATCACTGTTAAAAAGAAAGGCACGCGACACATCTCTCATCATGACTGACCGCAAGAAACCAAACATTCTCTACATCATGGCGGACCAGATGGCCGCTCCTCTTCTTTCCCTATACGACAAAAACTCCCCGATAAAGACACCCAACCTTGACCGTCTCGCGCGTGAAGGCGTCTGCTTCGAATCTGCATACTGCAATTCGCCACTTTGTGCCCCATCTCGCTTCACCATGGTGACTGGGCAGTTACCATCTAAGATCGGAGGCTATGACAATGCAAGCGACTTGTCAGCGGATACCCCTACTTACGCACACTACTTGCGCAAGGAGGGGTACCATACTGCGCTGGCGGGGAAAATGCATTTCGCGGGACCGGATCAGTTGCATGGATACGAGCAACGCCTGACGAGCGATATATACCCAGGAGATTATGGATGGACTGTTAATTGGGATGAGCCTGTAAGTTACCCGCAGACTTTTAAGGGAAATTTTATAGAATCTGTGAATCTTATGTTTAACTGACACAAAGGGCAGGAGGTTCGCCTGGATTGGTACCATGACATGTCCTCGGTGATGCAAGCTGGACCCTGCGTCCGCACAAATCAGCTTGATTACGACGATGAGGTGATTTACAAGTCAACCCAATATCTGTATGACCACGCTCGCCACCGGCGTGACCAGCCGTTTTGCCTCACGGTTTCCATGACCCACCCTCACGACCCATACGCCATGACTAAGGAGTACTGGGACCTATACGAAGATGTGGAAATCCCTCTTCCCAAAACCTCAGCCCTACCACACGACAAGCAGGACCCACACTCCCAGCGGGTGCTAAAGTGCATTGATCTCCTCGGCAAGGAAATCCCCGAAGAGCGCATTCTAGCTGCGCGCCGAGCATATTTCGCCGCCTGCTCATATGTGGATGCGCAGGTTGGCAAGTTGATGGCAACCCTGAAGGCTTGCGAGCTTGATGATAACACGATCGTCGTCTTCACGGGCGACCACGGTGACATGCTTGGTGAGCGGGGCCTGTGGTATAAGATGGTATGGTACGAACATGCCGCTCGAGTGCCAATGTTTGTCCACGCGCCGGGCCGCTACAAGCCAAGGCGCGTCAAGGAGAACGTCTCCACCATGGATTTACTCCCTACCTTCGTAGCAATGACCGGTGGCGAAATGAACACCGATCTCCCCATTGACGGCGTCTCGCTGATGCCCTACATCCTTGACGAGGGCTCGCCCGAGGCAGTTTCCGGCGTGAAAACCGACACCGTTATCGGCGAGTACATGGCTGAAGGTACCCTCGCGCCGGTTGTTATGATCCGGCGGGGTCCATGGAAGTTCGTATACTCACCCATCGATCCGCCAATGCTCTATAACGTTGAGAACGACCCAACCGAGTCAAACAATCTTGCGGCTGGTCTTGAAATACCAACAACAAAGCCGCAACTCGAAAAGTCTCTCCCAACAGGACCTGCTGCACCACCAACACCGCGTGTTTCGCCACTACCAGACACACTCAACGTCCCCTTCTTCTCCAACCACAAGGTCAACCCAGCACAGGTCCTGACACCTCCACGTACACCAACCCCAAGCGCTACCCCCGCGGGCGGGCTCACCAGCCCATCCCAAACCGACATCCAAGCACTCCTCTCCGCCTTCATCTCCGAAGCCCATTCGCGCTGGGACTTCGAAGCACTGCGGGCGCAGGTTCTGCACTCACAGCGGCGCCGACGGCTTGTCTACTCAGCCCTAGTGAAGGGGCAGTTCACGCCATGGGATTACTCGCCCGTCACCGATGGCAGTGCGCAGTTTATCCGCAACAATGGCAAGGGGGCGTTGGGAGATGTCGAGCTGCTCAGCAGGTACCCGCGCGTTATGCAGTGGGGTGGAAACGGGGCCCGGAACGGCGTGTAGAGAAGACGCCTTGGAGGGAAGGTTTTGGGGGGGGATAAGGTGGTGAGTTTTAAGTGAGTGTGCGGTTTTTATGTGTTGGAGCGTATTTTATATATCTCACTATATATATTGTTCGAAAATCGAACTCTACGAACGACGCCCGCCTAGTTTGCCAGAAAAGCCAAGGGAACCCGACAAAAAGGAAACGAAGAACGAAAAATGGAAAAGATACGAGGCCTAGAGCCCATCTCAGGTTGGTGGACGAGGTGATAGTGATATGATACATATCAGACAAGTTGGTCTATGAGGATATGAGGCCAGGGTTTCTAGGTACGTACAAAAGACCTTTGTTCATAAAAACAAATCACCATCACGTCTCATCCCCGGGTAACTGTATCGTATATATATGGGCCATTCCATATATGCCGTACGTATGTGTGTTTGTTTATTTACAACACCACGGGAAAGCATACCCCCGCGCCCGTACAAACAAGGTGGGGGAAAGGGGATCTATGAGATAAGAGACTGTTTTCCTGTGTAGTCTGACAACATATATACATATATATATATATATACATTGATATATATAGCTATTTACATATACATGTCCTGCACGTGTATATGTATAAAAACACGCGTCTCGATAATATGACTAACGGAATAGACAAGTGTAGCGATTTGAGGTATAGATAAACTATATACATATATATATTCGTATATTATGATTTGAACCGGGAGGAAATAACGAAAGATTGAACCCGGATCAAACCCTCCCCTAACGAAATTGAACAGAAAGCTTCTCCATTGACTTTTTATTTTCCTTCTCTAACATGCTTTCCGCCGCTTAAGCCGCCCATGCTTTTTACCGCCGAATTATCGTTGCCGTTTTTCCCTCCCCCTTCTAAACAGAATGTTCCGTTGTTTCCCACGATATTCCTTCCTCAAGCGACTCCTGGTTATCGGACATGGTTTGGTTGCGCCGTCTATCCTTGCCTCGGAATTTAGTTAAACAGTATACAGTATAATAAATAGTTTTTTCATTCGAATCTAGATCCATTAAACAGGGGGTGAAAAGTAGAGAGATGTAAAATTATCTATATAATCTCTACACAACAACCCTCACGAGGGCAGAGAGTATGAAACCCTTAGGCAGTTACTTTATATGTATGGTACGACTATTTCCACAAACTCGCTGAAAATCCGAAGCTGCTATTATTTCAGTTTATCCCCTCTTACTTTCTTGAACAAAACCTTCGCCATCTTCTCCTCCCGCCAATACCAAACAGTCGCCGCCGTTGCCCCAGGTCCAACAGCAACAGTACCCATCATAATGGCCCCAACCGCCACGCCTATGTTAACCCGTGCCCTGCCAACACGATTCATATCCCACACGGCTAGAACGCACCAGACCGTTGTAGCGATCCAGAAGACCCCAAAGTCCACAAGCCAGAGGGTGCGGGTACGCGTCTCAGGCACAGAGGGAAGTTCCAAACTGCCGATGGCGAGTGGGATGAAGATATCCACGATGGATATGCCTGGATAACTAGGCGCGAGCGCCGCGGAGAGGGTAAAGAAATGTGTTAACGCGGCAACATTGAAGACCAAAAGGTAGACGCGGTTCAGGAATGGAAGGTCTGGCATGGGTTTATCTGCCGGTGGAGTTCGAGGGCTGTCCGGGTAGCCTTTGGCGTATACTGTGGAAAGAAGGCTGAGGATGATGTTGACGTATATAGGGGCTGGTTTCCAGATTAGGGACATGACTTCAGCGAGGCGGCGGCCCGAGTATCCGTGATATGAAAATAAGAGGGTAGGTAGGAGGTAGCCGAGTAGGAGTGCTGGGAGCAGTGCCTTCGCGTAGGATGTTGGAACTTGACGGGAGACTGGCCACCAGTAATTCGTGTTTGATGATGTTAGAATGTATGCTATATAGTACAGGGGCCCAATAATGGCAATGCCAAAGACTTGATATAGGATGGCCCAAAAGCTTGTGCTAAAAGATATTAAATGTTAGTTAACACTGTTGTACAGCAGCAGAGAAACGACTCAGGGGTAACTCACAAGGTAAGTAAGTTCAAGCTGTTGCGTTTCCTGACAGACTCAATTGTGTATATGGCAACCATAGGGAAAAGCGAAATAACAAAATACAGATGCAGAATACATTGACTAGGTGCAAGCATCCTGTTGACAGTTTCATGACGTGGAAGGGAACTGGACAGAGCTTTATAAAGGAACTCGATTCCTAAGGACGGAACCATGTTGGCATTTTCAACCGAGCCTGACGCCCGTTCTGTCGTATCCCAGACATCTACCATCCCAAATCGAATAGCTGAGAGCGCTAGGAAAAACGAAGCCAAAGCCCAACCATACCAGCCTCTCCTGTAAGGGGGGTTGAGGATGTCAGAGTCAAATGGAACAAGTCGTGGCTGGTGAGGTAGGGCGACATTCTCCAACATTTGCGCCTGTGGACAAAACTGTGAGTTATTGTCAAGGACGCGATCTACATGGAGTCGCGGGAGTAGGTGTAGTGTGAAAAATCTGGCAAAGGGGCTTTCTAAACATTGTACGCGCTGGTGGGTGTGAGACACTGCAATTAGCCTCTTTACTGTCTTATGGCGCAGGTTCTGGACGCCCTGGAAGATATCCGAGATTTGCGAATTGGATAGTGCATTGGAAGTTGATCCCTTGAGCGCTCGTGCCAAAGCATTGGTTAGAGCGACACCAGACTCGAGGGCTGAATTGCCCCCGTGACCAGCAATTGGATGAAACTGCCCAGGAGTCAGTGGTTATATTCAGATGTAGAACACACGATGTCAATATGTGCACAGCTAACCTTGTGCGCAGCGTCACCAATTGTTATGAGCCGGTTGTAATGCCACTGCTGAAAAGTGTATTCTGGAAGCGCAGTCATATTATACACGATGTGCCCCCTTATAAGGTCCTCGAAGCTCAAGCCAGGGGCGAGTATATCGCTTTTATGCTTCTCAATATGTCGTAACTCATCCTCCTTAGTGAATCGCGGGATGCCTGCCCCATAGGCGGGCTTCTGCAGCTTAAAAAAGTGAAACCAGTAGACATGGCCATGGAGGCCGCCCAGAATTCCATATGAGTTATTGTGTCGAGGCGCGCTAGTAAAGCAGCCCGCAGGTATAGGGGTAGGAAGCTTGGATATGCCAAAGACGCAGCCATAGTCACACGGCATATCTTCCCAGGTCAGTAGCCAGCTTGTGATGTGGGTTCAAGAACCAAGAGCGAATGCTACTCACCATCATATTCTCTGGAAGGGAAGTATCCAGGAGAGGCTTCATTTGCCAGTCTCACCATCTCGCGGCGAACTTCGCTGTGGATGCCATCGCATCCAACAACAATATCCCCTGAATACACACTCCCATCTTTCGTCGTGACGGTGACGCCATCGTGTAAAAGCGCAACATTGCACACTGCCTTTCCCGTCAAGACCTTTGATTTATCCAAGTGCGAGTAGAATATTTTCAAAGCCAGCTGGCGCTCGAGGAATATGAGAGGATATCCATGACTGCGAGCCATAACAAATTTAGCCAATGACCATATACCACTGGACGGACGGAAAGCGAAGCTGAACCCACCGCTGGACGAAGCCGTTCTCAATATCAGGGAAGGAAGCCAGCAGCTCGCCCTTATCGCCTCGCATGTCAAACTGATTGACAACAGTGACCTGTCTGCAGAAGTCCTGATACATGCCCAGCTGGTCTAGGATTCGAAGCCCATGAGGCTGGAATCCGATGCTGGCCCCGACCTGGGGAGCAATGTCTGGGTAAGCTTCCAGCAGGAGGAACTCGATGCTCTCCTCCTGGAGCATATTCGCCAGCGAGAGGCCAGAGATTCCTCCTCCTACTATGAGAACGCGAAATGGCTTTTTGCTCTCCATCGCGCTTTCAATGTTGTTTCTGCTGGAAGGGGAACCGGCGAAATAGTTGGCACCGCGATAGGTTGATCAGACCATAGAATAGGGTGATGTGCTATAGCAAATCAACTCCTAGAACGTAGAGAAGGGAATTGATCCTCAAAAGAAGGATCCTGGGTGTCGGGTTAAACTGATATCTCATGGTACCATATCGTGTTGCAGCGACGGCGGCAACAGTTCGCAGTGAATGCAAATAAATCAATGGCAACATTGCCAACAGTCATAATGGGGACAATTAAACGTAGCAGAGGCAAATGATTCACAAGGCTACTATAACACCAGATACGTCCAGACTTTGGTAGCAAACAAGATTTGATGGTGGTACGTATATGTGTTGGTCATATATATATAAGATGGAAGAATGAAGAATGACGTCTCAAGATGGATGCCGATATAGGAAAATTTATAGCGCAACATGGAACACAACGCCATAGCTCTAGGGATTTGCTCTCATGGCGAGGTTATTGTATTTGTAAATATACATAGTAAATATACATAGTAGAATACAATTGGATTAGCTCTTTCTAGCATCACGAGCGAGAAGCTGACTTGATAAAGGGGCCTTTCTCCCAAAGAGGAAACGAGAATGAAAAGAAGAGTAAAAAACCCAGAACAGCAAAATGTCAGAAATGTTTCAGATCTACTTTACTCTATCTATGTGTAATTCCTCTATATAGATATGTTTATCAACAAGACTCTCCATGTACTAACCTCCCCGCAACCCATACAGCCTTTACATTCCTATCATCCCCATTCCAAACCCATTTCGCGATTTTCTCCTCCCACGACTCCCACCCAAAAACATCCACATTACTGGTATTTCCTCCTCGACTGCAATCACCACAGGCATCAACCTGCTCCCCGATCTCTACCATCTGCGCATCCCAATACATGCCCACCTCAAACCCACCAATTACATCCTGCAACCCAACAACCCTCGCCCCGCCTCGGGTAGCCAAATACAACCCTTCCTCAACGCTAATCTTCTCACGCCCATTCCCCGTTCCGCCCGCAGCAGCAGCACTGGTATTACCAAACCGCACAAGCCGCGAGACAAGACATGCCTGCCGCACCGCCTCAAGGATACTCGGGCTCCAGCCGCCAGATACATCCGTTCCCAGGCCGACCGTGATGCCATCATCGAGCAATTCGCGCACGGGACACAGCCCGGAGCCAATCGCGGAGTTAGAAGCGGGACAATGTGCCACGGCCGAGCGACGCGCGGCGACAAGCGCGCGCTCGTCGGCGGAGAGATGCACGGCGTGCGCGAGGATGGTGTGTGGGGTCAGCAGGCCTGCGGAGTCGTAGACGTCCGCGTAGGATTTGGCAGTGGGGAACAGCTCTGCGACGAGGGAGATTTCATTGAGGTTTTCGGAGATGTGGGTTTGGATTGGGGTGGGCGGGGAGGTGGAGGCAGCGAGGGCGCCGAGTTGACTGAGCGCGGCGGGGGTGCAAGAGGGGGCGAAGCGCGGGGTTATGATTGGTCTGATGAGGGTGGAGGATGGGTCGAGGGTGTGGATGTGGGCGATTGTTGCTTTTGTGGCGGCGAGGGAGGAGGCGGTGGAATTATCGCGGTAGTAGTCCGGGCAGAGGTCATGGTTATCCATGCAGACGCGTCCGACGAGGGCGCGCTGGCCCTTTGTGTGGCAGATTGTTGCAAGGAGGTTGGTAGCGGGGACGTGGATGGTTGCGAAGTAGGCGGCGCAGGTGGTGCCGTGGGAGAGGGTTTTAGATACCACACGATTATAGGCTGTGTGAGCAGATTGCGGGGCTTCAGAAGGGTTGTCCTTGTTGCCGAAGGACGATTCCAGGGGAAAAGTGTATGTTTCTAGCCAGTCTAGAAGAGTAGAGGAGCCGAATATGCCGGAGTTGGGATATTGAGGTGCATGGATGTGGGAGTCTGCAACAGGAAGTTAGTTTATGGCTAAACGTCAAGGAGGAGATATACAGAAAAACGAGAAAAGGTAAGGAGACCGCAGCATACCAATAAATCCCGGGAAAAAGAAGCCATTCCTTTGCTTCCGAGACTTTACAATTCTCACCAACTCTCCTGCTCCTGCTCCATCGCCCTCACGCTCGCCTTCCACCCTCCAACCCATCCTCTTAATCAACTCTCCCAGTCCCGCCTCATCCTTCACCTCCCAGTCAGTTCCGGCAATCTTCCCATCTGGCTGCGAAACCCACAGAGCACCGTGGTTGATAGATAATTTATGTTTTGGCGGCGAAGTGGGTGTGGCAGACTGCTCCGGCAGAAGTGGGAGGTGGATGAAGGTACCGTAGTAAACGGCATAAGTGTAGTCTGCCATAATCACTGTTATAGATCAACGGCAAACGGCCCGATTGTTTCTATATGCTCGAAACCGAAGCAATATTGGGAGCCTGTGGCTAAGTGAAAGGGTTCAGGATATAAACTATCCTGCTATCATGAGTCTGAGGTGAACCGAGCAGCAAAAGAACTATGACAAATAATTCTCCCGCATACGCAGGGAATAGAATAGTTATATATGCCGAACAAACGAAGCAGAAAATATAAGACAAAAAAGTTGTTTTCAAATTTTCATCCCTTCAGAATGTTTCAGACCGAAGGAAGAGATACCGCATGTGGCAGAAAAGAAAGGACACTTTCAAATCTAAGCAGCGTGGGTGTTATGAGATCAACCCGTCTGCAGGATGCAATATCTAGATATCTTAGCTTAAACAGGAGCAATTGAACTCCGGACTGAGCTGTGAACCGCCAGCACGGCGGGGTGGAGGGGCAGATATAAATATAGAGAGGGAGAGGAACTAAATTCTTTCTTAGCAGCACGGAACAACCTAACAGATAGACACGCGGAGAAAGCCAGCCTCCGACGTCCAATTTGTATACAATTGACGTGACAAGTTGAAGTTCAAAAGTTCAAAAGTGGCTTTTGATATCTCGGGCTTCGGCGCCTCCTGCCCTTTTTAGGCTCTCGGCTCGGGCAGCTCCGAGTCTCGGCAAATCACATCGGCGGCGGCTATCGGGGACACGTGATATGATGTGAGCAGGTAACCCTTGTCGGTATGTATGTTATGCTGTGAATAGGTATTTTATCTACTGTGATTAATGATTGCTCTGATACTATCCCGAAAAAGCCGGGATGTGTAATCATATCATGCAAGGACTGCATTTGAGCGTGAGTAGGGAAATGGTTCCTTAAGCTTAGGTAAATATAAAATATACATAGGTAATAGATGTAAATGAGAATCAGAATCAATTCAACACCAGAAAACTAAGACAAAAAGATAAATATAAAATACCTCATTACACCATTTTAAATCATACGGCGATTTTTTGTTGTTATATATGCAAGAAAAGGGAA